GTGGCTGATCCCTTCAAGGGGGACTGGCTATGATGACCTTCTTTCATGGGGCTGGCTATGATAAACCTTTTTGGGGCTTTCTTGATAACCTTCATGGCTGGCTAATAACCTTCATGGGGGGTGGCTATAAAACCTTCTGGGGGGTTTTGGTATTGATTAACCTTCATGGCTGGCTTGAAACCTTATGGACTGGCTTGTAACCCTTTAGACGGGGTATGATATTTTTCATGGGGGCTGGGTATGATAACCTTCATGGGGCTGTTTTTAGATAAACCTCATGAGACTGGCTAGATAACCCTTCATGGGGCTGGCTTTGATAAACCTTCATGGGACTGGCTATGATAACCCCCCATGGGGCTGGCTATGATAACCTTCATGGGCTGGCCCATAATAACCTTTTTCTGGGGCTGGCTTGATAACCTTCATGAATGGCTATGATAACCCTTTTGGGGCTGGCCCCATGATAAAAACCTTATGGGGCTGGGTATGAAAACCTTTTATGGGGGCTGGTTTAATAAACCTTTTCATGGGGTGGGGTTATAATAACCCCTTTTTCATGGGGGCTGGCTATAATAACCTTCTTCATGGGCTGGCTATAATAACCCTTCTTCATGGGGCTGGCTATAATAAACCCTTCTTCAAGGGGTGGCTATGATTTAAATACATGGGGCGGTTTTTGATAACCTTTTTCCCGAGGCTGGGTTTTTGATAAACCCTTCTTCAAGGGGCTGGCTATATCCTTCTTCATGAGGCTGGCTATGATAACCTTCTTCAAGGGGCTGGCTATGATAACCTTCTTCAAGGGGCTGGCTATGATAACCTTCTACATGGGGCTGGCTATGATAACCTTCTACATGGGCTGGCTATGATAACCTTCTACATGGGACTGGCTATGATAACCTTCTTCATGGGGCTGGCTATGATAACCTTCTACATGGGACTGGCTATGATAACCTTCTACATGGGCTGGCAAATGATAACCTTCTACATGGGGCTGGCTATAATAACCTTCTACATGGGCTGGCTATGATAACCTACATGAGATTGGCTATGATAACCTTCTACATGGGGCTGGCTATGATAACCTTCTACATGGGCTGGCTATGATAACCTTCTACATGGGGCTGGCTATGATAACCTTCTACATGGGGCTGGCTATGATAACCTACATGAGATTGGCTATGATAACCTTCTACATGGGGCTGGCTATGATAACCTTCTACATGGGGCTGGCTATGATAACCTTCTACATGGGGCTGGCTATGATAACCTTCTACATGGGGCTGGCTATGATAACCTTCTACATGGGGCTGGCTATGATAACCTTCTACATGGGGCTGGCTATGATTACCTTCTACATGGGGCTGGCTATGATAACCTACATGAGATTGGCTATGATAACCTTCTACATGGGGCTGGCGATGATAACCTTCACAACTATCTACAACTGTCTTAACCACAACTTAGCTACAACTATCTTAACTATAACTATCTTAACCACAACTATCTTCGCCACAACTATCTTAACCACAATTATCTTAACTACAACTATTTTAACCACAACTATCTTAACCACAAATATCTTAACTACAACTATCTTAACCACACCTATCTTAACTACAACTATCTTAACCACAACTATCTTAACCACAACTATCTTAACCTGGAGTTTACCTGGAGAGAGTTTCGGGGGTCAACGCCCCCGCGGCCCGGTCTGTGACCAGGCCTCCTGGTGGATCAGCGCCTGATCAACCAGGCTGTTGCTGCTGGCTGCACGCAAACCAACGTACGAGCCACAGCCCGGCTGATCAGGAACTGACTTTAGGTACTTGTCCAGTGCCAGCTTGAAGACTGCCAGGGGTCTGTTGGTAATCCCCCTTATGTGTGCTGGGAGGCAGTTGAACAGTCTCGGGCCCCTGACACTTATTGTATGGTCTCTTAACGTGCTAGTGACACCCCTGCTTTTCATTGGGGGGGATGGTGCATCGTCTGCCAAGTCTTTTGCTTTCGTAGTGAGTGATTTTCGTGTGCAAGTTCGGTACTAGTCCCTCTAGGATTTTCCAGGTGTATATAATCATGTATCTCTCCCTCCTGCGTTCCAGGGAATACAGGTTTAGAAACCTCAAGCGCTCCCAGTAATTGAGGTGTTTTATCTCCGTTATGCGCGCCGTGAAAGTTCTCTGTACATTTTCTAGGTCGGCAATTTCACCTGCCTTGAAAGGTGCTGTTAGAGTGCAGCAATATTCCAGCCTAGATAGAACAAGTGACCTGAAGAGTGTCATCATGGGCTTGGCCTCCCTAGTTTTGAAGGTTCTCATTATCCATCCTGTCATTTTTCTAGCAGATGCGATTGATACAATGTTATGGTCCTTGAAGGTGAGATCCTCCGACATAATCACTCCCAGGTCTTTGACGTTGGTGTTTCGCTCTATTTTGTGGCCAGAATTTGTTTTGTACTCTGATGAAGATTTAATTTCCTCATGTTTACCATATCTGAGTAATTGAAATTTCTCATCGTTGAACTTCATATTGTTTTCTGCAGCCCACTGAAAGATTCGGTTGATGTCCGCCTGGAGCCTTGCAGTGTCTGCAATGGAAGACACTGTCATGCAGATTCGGGTGTCATCCGCAAAGGAAGACACGGTGCTGTGGCTGACATCCTTGTCTATGTCGGATATGAGGATGAGGAACAAGATGGGAGCTAGTACTGTGCCTTGTGGAACAGAGCTTTTCACCGTAGCTGCCTCGGACTTTACTCTGTTGACGACTACTCTCTGTGTTCTGTTAGTGAGGAAATTATAGATCCATCGACCGACTTTTCCTGTTATTTCTTTAGCGCGCATTTTGTGCGCTATTACGCCATGGTCACACTTGTCGAAGGCTTTTACAAAGTCTGTATATATTACATCTGCATTCTTTTTGTCTTCTAGTGCATTTAGGACCTTGTCGTAGTGATCCAGTAGTTGAGACAGACAGGAGCGACCTGTTCTAAACCCATGTTGCCCTGGGTTGTGTAACTGATGGGTTTCTAGATGGGTGGTGATCTTGCTTCTTAGGACCATTTCAAAGATTTTTATGATATGGGATGTTAGTGCTATTGGTCTGTAGTTCTTTGCTGTTGCTTTACTGCCCCCTTTGTGGAGTGGGGCTATGTCTGTTGTTTTTAGTAACTGAGGGACGACCCCCGTGTCCATGCTCTCTCTCCATAGGATGGAAAAGGCTCGTGATAGGGGCTTCTTGCAGTTCTTGATGAACACAGAGTTCCATGAGTCTGGCCCTGGGGCAGAGTGCATGGGCATGTCATTTATCGCCTGTTCGAAGTCATTTGGCGTCAGGATAACATCGGATAGGCTTGTGTTAATCAAATTTTGTGGCTCTCTCATAAAAAATTCGTTTTGATCTTCGACTCTCAGTCTGGTTAGCGGCTTGCTAAAAACTGAGTCATATTGGGACTTGAGTAGCTCACTCATTTCCTTGCTGTCATCTGTGTAACCACAACTATCTTAACCACAAATATCTTAACTACAACTAACTTAACCACAACTATCTTAACCACAATTATCTTAACCACAACTATCTTAACTACAACTATCTTAACCACAACTATCTTAACTACAACTATCTTAACCACAACTATCTTAACCACAACTATTTTAACCACAACTATCTTAACTACAACTATCTTAACCGCAACTATCTTAACCACAACTATCTTAACTACAACTATCTTAACCACAACTATCTTAACCACAACTATCTTAACCACAACTATCTTAACTACAACTATCTTAACTACAACTATCTTAACCACAACTATCTTAACCACAACTATCTTAACCACAATTATCTTAACCACAACTATCTTAACCACAACTATCTTAACTACAACTATCTTAACTACAACTATCTTAACCACAACTATCTTAACCACAACTATCTTAACCACAACTATCTTAACCACAACTATCTTAACCACAATTATCTTAACCACAACTATCTTAACCACAACTATCTTAACCACAACTATCTTAACCACAACTATCTTAACCACAACTATCTTAACCACAATTATCTTAACCACAACTATCTTAACCACAACTATCTTAACTACAACTATCTTAACTACAACTATCTTAACCACAACTATCTTAACCACAACTATCTTAACCACAACTATCTTAACCACAATTATCTTAACCACAATTATCTTAACCACAACTATCTTAACCACAACTATCTTAACCACAACAGAACCAGACTGACAGCTGGAATACCATCAGTAAATAAACAGACGATGGGAAACATCTTGGCGGCTCCTGTCAACTTGTGTGATAATTGAAGGATAAAGTCGTAATATCGAGGCTGTAACGTTTCACACTTTGCATAGACAATTTTGGACGACGTTTCGCTTTATCCTGGACCTTTATCATAACAAATGAGTTGATGTGATCCAGGGCGGATAGCAAGGATACCTGGAGTTTACCTGGATAGGGGTTATTTGTGATTTTTTTTCTGCGGTGTCTTGGATGGATTTTTTTTTTCATATATTGTACCTTAATATCTGAAAGACAGTCTTGAGTGCAGGCATCTAGGGTTTTTTGAGTGCAGGCACCTGGCTTTTTTGAGTACAGGCACCTGGGTTTTTTGAGTGCAGGCACCTGGGTTTTTTGAGTGCAGGCACCTGGGTTTTTTGAGTGCAGGCACCTGGGTTTTTTGAGTGCAGGCATCTAGGGTTTTTGAGGGCAGGCACCTGGGTTTTTTGAGTGCAGGCACCTAGGTTTTTTGAGTGCAGGCACCTAGGTTTTTTGAGTGCAGGCACCTGGGTTTTTTGAGTGCAGGCATCTAGGGTTTTTGAGGGCAGGCACCTGGGTTTTTCTGAGTGCAGGCACCTATGGTTAGTGAGTGCAGGCGCCTAGGGTTATTGAGTGCAGGCATCTAGGGTTATTGTTTAGGCACCTAGGGTTATTGAGTGCAGGCATCTAGGGTTATTGTGCAGGCACCTAGTGTTATTGTGCAGGCACCTAGGGTTATTGTGCAGGCACCTAGGGTTATTGAGTGCAGGCATCTAGGGTTATTGTGCAGGCACCTAGTGTTATTGTGCAGGCACCTAGGGTTATTGAGTGCAGGCATCTAGGGTTATTGTGCAGGCACCTAGGGTTATTGTGTGCAGGCACCTAGGGTTATTGTGTGCAGGCACCTAGGGTTATTGTGTGCAGGCACCTAGGGTTATTGTGTGCAGGCATCTAGGGTTATTGTGCAGGCACCTAGTGTTATTGTGCAGGCACCTAGGGTTATTGTGTGCAGGCATCTTGGGTTATTATGTGCAGGCACCTAAGGTTATTGTGTAGGCACCTAGGGTTATTGAGTGCAAGCACCAAGGGGGTATTCCCCCCCCCCCCAGTAACCCTTTAATCAGGACCAAGAGGCAGCTGGCATAGAATAAGTAAGTAAGTAAGTAAGTTTATTCAGGTATACACAAATACAGTTACATAGAATTATCATACATAGCAGCATATGTGTAGAGAACCTAGGATAACCCAAAAAAGTCAGACAGTGACTTATTTCCATTGGGGTCCTCTGATCTGACAAGCATAAGACTCCTGGTATTGTTATATTTAACCCCAATATTTAAAACTCTTAAGTTGTGCTCTGGAAATGTTCACTTTCATTGACCAGGGGATCTGCTGTCACCGTCCCACTTTCCAAACCACCCACCTCATATGTCTGTGCTCATTTCTGCTGGGTTCCAATTTCCTTTCGTAGGAAACTGACCCAGGCTACTGGTGAGAAGTTTTTGTACACAAGTCTAAATTTACCATTAACCTAAATTATTTCTTTTCTATGCATTTAACTACTTCATGATTTAGTTGATTTAATACAACTGTCACAACTGCAACACAACTGCCACAACTGCAGCCAATTACTGCCACTGCATATCACAAAATTAATGTACTATTTGGTCTTGAAACTAGTTTAATTTGTCAGCTTTTGCAGTAAATTCTTCAGCATTATATCCATTCCTCCCTTCACTGGGGGGCCTTAATGCTGGTGAAGGGTTCTTTTGTGAGGCATTGGATCGAGCCTGATTACCTTCTATTTCTCAGGTGCTATGACCCTTGTGGGTTTAGTGATTCTTCATGAATACCTACATGATACCTACTCCATATATGCACTTGGAACAGATCGAAGTGAATTAAGCTGCTGCCTGTTAAGAAAAATGTAGAATATTGATACAACAGATTTTGACCTGTGATCACAAAGCAACGGCAATTACTAAAACACATTAATTTTTATAAAGTAATAATAGTAAAGAACAGTACGTATATAATCTAAGGCAGAAGAACCTTGAGAACTGTATTTTATAACAAGTTTAGTGAATGAAGGATGATTAACTCTGCAAGAAATACTATCTAGCCAGCCTTCAAGATATATTAGATATATAAGTTGATATCAAGATGACTGAAGCTGATGCAATATTTAAGGTACTGTACTTATATTAAATTTATATTAAAATTTAACCTATGTTAATCTATTTATAATATCACTAGAACATTATTTTTTTTAAATTGCTTTATTCTGCCTGTAAACTGAAATTAAAGCAATAAGCTGATTCAGCTTACTGCTTTAATTGCAGCATTTGTGCCCCTTTTTCAGATTTTTCTTTTCTTCATATTTAAATTGTTATATCACCTGAGATTGAATCATATCACATCATTCATAATTGCTCCAACTTCTGTTGAGGTTAAGCCCTGAGATCACAGCTCAGTAGATTAATTAAAAACTGCATAAGTTTTCTGTAAATAATTTCTCTGACATTTCCATGGTCATGTGAGTTTATCAGAAAATAAATGTAGTACATACAGCTTCAGTACAGAATAAAAATTCAGTAAACAGACTTAACATAAAATTTATGAAATTTAAGTGATGAGTATTATTGTTTAAAGTCAAAATGTACTGAGCTATAATGAATTGCAAGCCAAATTATAAGAGACCAGCTACAGTTTGTCAGTGGGTTGAGGGAAGAGGTAATTTGACCTGACATTTAATTGAATTGTCCAACTTAGGAGCAATTTCATGTGATAGTGATGTGACCTGTATCTGTCAGCTTAGGTTAAGTCATGTTAGATACTGTACTAAGCTTGAGGCATAATGTGAAGCTCTATCAGATTAGATTATGCCAGGTTATGCCATGTCATCATAGCTGATTAAGTCAACTCAGTTTATACTAGGCTGAGGGCTGGTCATGGACCGGGCTTTGGGGGCATTGATCCCCGACACACCCTCCAGGTATGCTATAGGTATGATGTTTATTTTTTGGGTCACCCTGCCTCGGTGGGAGATGGCCAGCATGTTTAAAAAATGAAGTAAAAAAATTGCACAGCTATGAGAATTTTTAATAATTCTCATTGATTCTGCTGTCATACAAAGGATAAAGCCACTACCATGTCATGTGCTGAATGACCCACACAGGTTTAGTGATTCGCTTAAATATAATTATAATAAATGTGTAATCATTAATCACTACATATAATAAATGATTATGCTATCTATTATGTAGTAGAGCTTCTCTTTAACTAATAATAATGGTCAGAAGGTAATATTAAATTATGTGTCAGAAGAACACAATTAGACACTATAAATCTAGTTATTTCACATAAAAGGCTGTAGCAGTGATATAGTGTTTTCTATAAGCTTTACTAGTATAAAATAAAGTTTATACATTTGACAAACATACAGTTTCTTGAGTTGTTTACTCTTGAGGGTAAATAATTCAAATGCGTAATCTTTTTGACTGAATTAATCATAAGTAAAGTATATTACAAAATAATGCTGTATGGTAATGCTTTCAGGGCAAAGTACACTACTATGGAAGGGAACAGTATTACCAAGCAATGCAGGATACTTGCCTTGCAGCCACTAAGAAATTTGGCAGTGATCCTGTGTATCGTTTCTATTCTGCTGTGTCTCACCTTCTGCAAGGCTGTACACAGGAAGCCATCAGACAACTTCAGCCCCTGCAGGTACAGACACATTACAGTGTTGTACTGGGTATATAATTAATGAAAAATAGAATAGTACTTCTTAATTTCAGGTACACATTTAATTTTCATAGTGTAATAGTATAGCCTCTCCTCACTTAGTGACATACTCGTTTACCAATGCCTCACTTACAATGGGCTCTCTGACCAGTATTCATACCTAAATAATGTATATTAGAGCTGATTTCCTCTATTCTGTTTATTTCAGTATACAGTACACTACTGTATAAACATTTAAAAATATACCAGAAATGTTATAAATGGTGCAAAGGTGACATTAACCCTTTCAGGGTTTCGGCCGTACTAGTACGGCTTATGCCCCAGGGTTTTTGACATACTAGTACGCCTAAATTCTAGTGCCCTCAAATCTAGTGAGAGAAAGCTGGTAGGCCTACATATGAAAGAATGGGTTCTATGTGGTCAGTGTGTGCAGTATAAAAAAAATCCTGGAGCACACAGTGCGTAATGAGAAAAAAAACTTTGACCTTTTTTTTGGGGGGATTAAAACCGCAACTTTGCACTGTATTTTTGTGTGGTATTTATTGTTATATTCTAGTTTTCCTGGTCTCATTTTATAGAATGGAAGACATATTACAGAAATTGAGATGATTTTGACTGGTTTTACAATGAAAAGTACCTTGAAATTGAACTCAAAGTAGCAGAAATGTTCGATTTTTACCAAAGTTCAAAAGTAAACAAATCATGCCAAGCGTCCAATACACATCAACTGGTGAGTCTAATATTCTTTTACAAGTGCGCTGATAATATTTATACCATTTCTACACTAATGCAGTAGTCTGCATAACAGTAAATCTTCTATTTTTTGTAAGAATAAAAATTCAAAGTGGAAAGCCAAAGATATATAAGAGGGGCCTGGGGATGTGACTATCGAACAGAGAACTTGTTATTTTAGTGCCAGGAATGTCTTTCTTGTTTATTCTGGACCCTATTCGGAAATTGGCATCTTTTGAAATTTGTGTGAAATTGACAAAATTGCTAAATTCTGACCACTTTATTGGATAGTTGAAATCGGTAAATGGGTGGTTTCTTGTACTCATTCGATAGAAAAAATGAAGTTCTAGCGAAATAGTTATGATTTTTGTCGGCTAGTACACAGGAATTGGCCGAAAATAGGGCTCAAAGTGGGCAAAATTGCTGATGCGTAAACATCGTCGAGACCACTAACTTCGCGAGAGCATAATTCCGTAAGTTTTCCATCAAATTTCATACTTTTGGTGTCATTATGATCAGGAAAAGATTCTCTATCTTTTCGTAAGAAAAAATAATTTTTTTTTTTTTTAAAATTTGGGGACCCTGAGAACAAGTCTCGGAGAGGACCTGGGGACCCTGAAAAGGTTAAAACAATATCAAAGATGGTTGACACAAACTCACTACCATGATAGTATGCTCCTCACTTAGCAACGAATTTGTTTAATGACATATTAGGAATGGAACTCCATCGTTAAGTGAAGAGAGGCTGTATACAGTAGTTCTTCCCTATTGTATGTTCATCCATTTGCATGCTTGGGACTTGTAAAAGAATTTATATACTCCAGAAGTCTCTCATGCTTATATAAATGTTTTTACCAACTTATATTACATACTGTATACAATATTTCATGGTATTCTTTGAATCATCATATAGCTATTGTAAAATTAACAAGTACATGTATATGTATGTGGGAAAATATCTATGAGGGCATAAGAAATATTACATAAAACAATCTGTTTGAATAAGTTTTAATAGGATGTCTGAATTTTTTATTTCATTGCCCCTTTCCTTCTTTTTTGAAGTTGGTGCAAAAATTTATCCCACATAAATAATTTTGTCTTTGGATGGTACTTGCCTTTTTCTAGCTGATGCAGTCAAATCAATGCTTCTGGCTCTACATTTAAACTACTTACAAACTCTTATGTTATTCCTGGCTTCATGGGCTGATTCATACCAAAAATGATTAAATACAGCATCTCCTCACTTAACGACGGAGTTCCGTTCCTAAAACCACGTTGGTTAACGAATTCGTAGCTAAGTGAGGAGCATATGTACTATAATGATAGTGGGTTTATGTCAACCATCTTTGATATTGTTTTAATGTCATCTTTGCATCATTTATAACATTTCTGGTATATTTTTAAATGTTTATACAGTAGTCTACTGTATACTGTAATAAACAGAATAGAGGAAATCAGCTCTAATATATATTATTTAGGCATGCATACTGGTCAGAGAGCCCATCCTAAGTCTGAGTCGTCGGTAAACGAGTATGTCGCTAAGTGAGGAGAGGCTGTAATTATTTAAACAAATTGAAGATTTTGAGGCGTACAGTATTACCTGACTTTCAGAATGATCGAGATATAATGCTTGGCACATTGTTGGCTTTGATTTATGCTCACCGACACTGCCAAGTGGTGGATCGTGAGGCTGTTGCACAGTTGGATGCCAAGCTGAAAGAGGAAAGGAAGAAGGCATCTGAAATGGTATGTAGACAACTGGTTCTGAGAACCCATAGGTTAATGAAGTAGACACTTGTGCAGCACTTTGATATCTTTAGTGTGGAAACACTTTGCCAACTAGTGGCTTCCTCAGTCTAGTACACAGAAGAATGATTAAAGATCAGAAGGAGTTTGAAATAATCAATCCCTCAGCCTGGAGTCAATGTGATCAGTCCTCTGAGCTTCATGTCCATCAGGATTGATGGACTGATCACATTGACTCCAAGCTGAGGGACTGATTACCTGCATCTCCTTCTGATCTTCAACCATTCTTCACTGTATTTTACTGAGGAAGCCACTGGTTGGCAAAATGCTTCCACAATACGTGTTTAATTCATCATCTGAAATGGTACATTGTTAACCACTTCTTGTAGTAAATTCTGTTCTAACAGTTTCATGTATGCATAATAAGTTAAAATTAATCTGCAGTTATATTGATTGTCATGAATGACATGTTAACTGGCAGCAAGTGGTAAAATTAAACACGTATAAAGGCCTGCCTTTATTTGAGTATTTACTTAGGTGTGAATTTTGTAGTCCTTTTGAGGAACAGATAATATAAAATTGTGTACCAAATCACAAAGTTAGAGGAAAGGTATTGAAAAATGTAGTTGTGATAGATGAGACCGGGAATGATGAAGAATTAGACATGTACAGCATCTGGATATCTTTACTCTAGACATTTTGCCATCCAGTGGCTTTATCAATACAAATTCAAGAATATAATTGGAAGCCATAGAACTATATACAGAAGATGGTAATTAGTCCCTTAGCCTTGGAGTTAGTGAAGAGCACCGTAGTCATGAAGAGTCCGAAGCACAGGCATGAAGATTGGCACGTGTACACTGGCATTACTGGGATTGGTGCCCTTAAGTGTTGGTGTATGTGGGAGAATAATTTAAGCAAGAGGTGGTGTGATTCTGTAAGTTCCTACCCTTCAACAGAAGTACCTTGATGCTGGTGAATAGCTCTTGATTTAAGGATTTAGAGCTGTCCTCTCCTTCCTTGGAACATAGCACCGAAATTCATATTCAGTAAAACAAATACATTTGCAAACACTCATAATATTAGCAACATATGTCACCCATTGTGATAAATTTGAACTCATGGAGTGGAACACTGCCAGACTTGTAATTAATACTGAAAACAGAACATAGGCTAAGCTTGTGTGGGTCATTCATTATACAGTTTATTTCAACATAATATATTGTTTATACAGAAATAGGTGACACTTGAGAGCTAGTTGAAAGCCCATAGTTATGCAAAGTGTTTCAGGCAAGCTTGAGCCTAACTTAAGACTACAAGGGGTGTTACAAAAAATGCGATTCTAAAAGCTTAAAGATCTCCAGTGAATACTAGAAAGGACTGCCCTTCTAGCATCCAGCTTGTTTCTGGGTTTTCGTAACAATTAGTCAGTATCCTGGTCCAATTATCCATTAGAATTCAGTATGATTCAATAGTGCTTCAGGAATCCAACTGGTAGGCTACTAACTAGAGAAAATAAAATTTAATAAATTTATTAAGTATCGTCTAGAGGTATATCATCAAATTAAATTAAATTAATCAATTCAAACAAATTAATAATAATCACTTCTCTCGTGTACAGTATTATTGTGCCTGGTGGCTAAAGCTCCGCTTCACACACGGAGGGCCCGGGTTCGATTCCCGGCGGGTGGAAACATTTCGACACATTTCCTTACACCTGTTGTCCTGTTCACCTAGCAGCAAATAGGTACCTGGGTGTTAGTCGACTGGTGTGGGTCGCATCCTGGGGGACAAGATTAAGGACCCCAATGGAAATAAGTTAGACAGTCCTTGATGACGCACTGACTTTCTTGGGTTATCCTGGGTGGCTAACCCTCCGGGGTTAAAAATCCGAACGAAATCTTATCTTATCTTATCTTATAATTCTTAAGTACTGTCTGGTACATTAACATTTAATAAGATATTACAAATATGTACAAGTAACTTTGTGTGTATGTGTGTAAGTGCTCTAAGTAGTTCGCTATGTCTCACGAGTCGACTAGACTTAAACAAGTGATTGACAAAGTCCTCAAATAAACTAAGTTCTTGACCAACTGGCAATCAGAACAGTCTGCTTGAACAATAAAAAGAATGCTAAGCCCAATACCAATATAACAAGCAACTGTGACACAGAATCAGGAACAAGGAGATAATATAACGACACTAAGTAGGGACCATGTGCAGATCCTCCACAAAAGTCACAAAACTCCCATACTACTGAATCTAAGTTCAGCATAAGAAAATCCCCGACTGTGATAGTACACAGATACCAGTACAAGTTGGGTCAGAAGCTACAGCTCAGGACCTGAGTTGTTTAGAGTGTTGATGCGACACACAACCTCAGTACAACGTCGAAAACCACTAAGTCTAGTCTTAGGAATCCACCTTGATAATAGACTCAAATTTCATACACATATACAACAAATTTCTAAGAAAATTTCCAAGACTGTAGGCATACTATCGAAGATACGGTACTATGCTCCACAGTCAGCCCTCCTGGCCCTATATCACTCTCTTATTTACCCCTATCTCACCTATGGAATTTGTGCATGGGGCTCAACAACAAGTAACCATCTCAGACCACTAATTACCCAACAAAAGGCTGCAGTTAGAATGATAACAAATTCTCACTATAGGCAGCACACTCCACCAATATTCAATACACTAAACCTATTCACCATACAAAACATTCATACTTATTACTGCACCTATTACATACATAGAACACTTAACTCTGATATTAACCCTCCCTCAAACATCTCCTTGCCAACCTCAACAGAACACATGACCATAACACAAGGCACAGATCACTCTTTGATGTTCCTCGTGTCCATCTCACACTATGCAAAAACTCAATGCACATAAAAGGCCCTAAAATCTGGAACTCATTACCTGTAAATATAAAAGAAACACTACCTGTTTATAAATTCAAGTCTCTTCTCAAAGATCACTTACTCACCCAAAACCAAATAAATACTGAATAACTGAACCTTATAAATTGTATATCTTAAATGTTTCTCACAATTATATCACATAAATGTTAAACCTAAAACCCAATCTAACTTTATTATTTTTTAAATACACTACCTAACAGAATACTCCATTCTACTGAATGTACAACAATGCATACAACCATATGACCTGTCTTTGTAATACTCACTTGTGCTTTATAGTAATCTGTTTACATTAAAGTTTTATCACCGATGTCATCATTGCTTAGTTCATCTTAAGTTAATTTTAAGCCAGCCCGTAATGCTATGCATAGTATAAGTGGCTTTGGCATACTGCTCTTTTCTGTATTTTTTGTACCTCTGTATGTGTGCACAAATTTTTAAATAAATAAATAAATAAATAAATAAATGTTCTGTGAACAGAGTCTCACAGAACCTACAAGAAAGCTAGAGGCGATCTTCCAACAAGGGCCTATAAGGGAGATTTAGGCACTTTGTCTGGAATACGTTCAACCACCCAGCGAGTCTAGACCAGACTGAATACTTCAGGCGAGGTGAGGACACCCCCCCTCGATCACGTGATTGCTCCGTGGACAGCTGTTGCCCAGCAACAGAAGCCGGCAGAGAAACGAGCCACAAGCGATAATTACAGTAGTTAGACAATCAAGACTTGAACTTTGAGCACATAATATATGTGTTACATCCTACCTAACAAAAGGAAACTAAGTCAAATAATAATATAAAGTCATATATTTACGATTTAGCTATTATCACAAATATAAACAATATAAAATTATATGAAAAGGTAATAATTATTTATATACATATTAATCATTGCAACCCATTCAGGGGTTGCAACAAGGGGTGATGGAGGCTCAATCCTTTGTCTGCTAGTCACAACTGTGTCTTTGACCCCTCATGCTGTTACTGATTCAAAGTTGCCAAATAGTGGTTATACAGACACAAAATACCATTGAACAGTGTCAAGATGGTTCAACATTGCACAGATCATTTGACAAAAAAAAAAAAGTTTTAGCTTACTTAACAACGTTAAGCCCTGCTGCTGCATCTGCCACCATTAGTCCTAACACCTCTACTAATTTTGCAATCCTCTATGATGCAATATATAAGTTCACTAGGTTTATGCCTTTTTAGGACTTAATGAAGCCCAGATTTTAGCAAAACATTGTCATGTAAAGGCTTACCTTGATGTGCTCTTTATGGAAGAGTGGGTTATCCTGGTACCGGCTCGTACGTTGGTTTGCGTGCAGCCAGCAGTAACAGCCTGGTTGATCAGGCTCTGATCCACCAGGAGGCCTGGTCACAGACCTGGCCACGGGGGTGTTGACCCCTGGAACTCTCTCCAGGTAAACTCTAGGTACCAGATTGAATCTGATACTTCTTGTTCCTTAGGTGCTGCATGACCTGTGTGGGTTTAGCACTTTCTCATGAATCTATTAATAGTCTTGAAATGTGTCTTTGTTTTGTCTTAACTAATACCAAGTAGCTTTGGTTAATTACAGTACTTCTAAACTGTAGAGTGTGAGGATGTTGGTAATTACATTGGCAGGAACCCAGAAGAAAATTTGATGTACAATTAAGATATTTAGGAATGAGGTTTATATTTTTAAGAGTTCTCTAATGTTTCAATCTTTTTTTCAGCCATTATATTATGCCGGAATGTTCCTTCTTTTATCTGGAAAAGTTGATAAAGCTCGAGAGTATTTGGATCGCATGCTGAAACTGAGTCCAGAGCATGATGAGGGTTTAGTGCTGAAGGGATGGATTGAGCTGACAGCAGGTCGTGAGAGTAAGAACAGAAACATAATGCAGTACTTTGATTCTGTTCTTCAGCAGTAAGTCTTGTCACAAAGTTTAAAAGCATGCAGTAGGCCCCAACTTACAATATTTATGCATTCTTGAAAATTGTTCATTACCAGTACTCACGTGTTTAGAACTCAAAATGTATTTTCCCACAGAATATATAATACAGTACTCAGACTAGTCTCTTCCTTTTTTCTTCTTCTTCTCCTCCTCCAATTCCCTAATCTCCATCCCCTGCATTCCCTCCATCCCATTTTCCTATTGACTTCCACCTGCTCTCTCATGTATCAGACTCAACACAGGTAGCAGCTACAGGACTGCCTCCCACTCCCATTCCTTCCCAGGGGTAGCTCCAGAAGTTTTAAACAGGAAGGTGGCAGTCTGGTTGCAAGCATTGTTATTATTATTTTTTTCATTTTGGGGGCTTTGGAAGGCTGATAGAATTTAGGGGGGCTTCATCCCCTCCTTGCTCTTTCCTTGGCGTTCCCATGTTACTTCCTCTTCCATTCCCTCCCTCCTCATTGTATCTAACATATCACTCTTTGCACATGTTTTCCACCCTTTCACTGTTTTGGTAAGGTATTGGGTGCTTAGGAATATGAAACTGGAAGGTAGTGGTGAGAGTTGTTGTGGGCTAGACTGCAGTGTGAGTAGGAGGATGTGGTGTGAACCAAGCTTTCCTTCCTCACTGATTGACATACTGGACAATCAAGTTGAGTTGCTCCCCATCAGATCAGTGTAATTATTAATTCTACAGTTTTTGACTAATCTCTACTAAATATGAGTCCTCCACACATGCATAAAATGATGCTGCACACAACCTGTGTGCAGTTGGTATAAAAATAACTAAGAAAAATTAATATTGAAAATAATTTGTCTCACTGTTTACAATGTTCATTTCTAAAGCTCAGCATTGATTTGAAATTGCCATACTTGGTTCCAAAGTGCCCTGTGTGTAAGTGTTGTTCATCATAAGTTGGGATCCTTCTGTATGTGTAAATTTTCTATGTTTAGCTTTTATCTAGGTCTTGGTGCTTCATAAATGTTGTTACTTTTAACTTTAGAATTAAGGTACAGTATTTCATATTCATGTTCATTATGTCTAACATGTGTAGCCCTATTCCTCTCTTTTGGTGATTTTGTTTCATGGATTATTTGTATTAAATTGTATTACCCAAGCAAAAGGTTTAGATTTAAACCATTCAGTAACACTGACTTAATTCTAATCTAGTCCAAATTGCAAAATATAGATTCTAGGTAGGAGCAAGGGTTAGTAACCCCTTCTCGTGTATACGTTACTAAATTTAAAAAGAGAAACATTGGTTTTTATTTTTAGGTCACCCTGCCTTTGTGGGATATGGCCAGTTTGTTGAAAAAAGAAGAAAGATTCTAAGTACCACAAATACATTAAATGTTTTCAGCTCTTTCCAAGTCTAATACAGTAGTAGTGGACTAAATATTCTGTTGCAGGATATAGTTTTTATTGGTATAATTTCAGCATATCTCTTTCTTCTAGCCTTTTATGTACCCTTCCAGGGTGGGGTGCCTTGATGCTGGTGAAGGGCTCTTGATCAAGGGAATTGGAGCTACCATCCTCTTTGGATCAAATACGGGCTTTATAAATTAGATCCTGACAAGAAACTTTTCTGCCACCCATTATTTATAAGAGTCATAATGACCTCTGACTGTACCATAGCACGTGTTGGCTGAGTGTAGCACAGTTGCACACTCAATTTAACAGAGGAATTATGAAAAAATTTTCATGCTTTCACTTGGAGCAAGACATGATTTTAGCATCATTACAATTCTTTCTTTCTTTCAACACATCGGCCGTATCCCACTGAGGCGGGGTGGCCCAAAAGGAAAAACGAAAGTTTCTCCTTTTACATTTAGTAATATATACAGGAGAAGGGGTTACTAGCCCCTTGTTCCAATCATTACAATTATTCCACCTATAATAATTTTCAGGGATTTGCTTGATTTTATCTACTCATTGGCTCTATTTTTCTAGCTCACCTCGACACATGGATGCGCTATTTGGGAAAGCCAAACTCTATGAAAGTCGAAATTCCTATAAAGAATCCATGGAGACGTTAAACCTGCTTGTTGTGGCTTACCCTGGCTTTACTGCTCCGTTAGTGGAGAAAATGAAGGTTAATCTTGCAGAACAAGACTGGGACCAGTGCCTAGAGTCTGCTAATCGGTAAGACTTGTGTACTTCTAAGTCCTTTAAACAAAAATAAAGTGGAGTACAGTATATTATACAATTAAGATGATTGATATATACAAATCCTTTATAGAAAGCCCCTTGTTATGCAAAGCTTTTTAACTTCTGTACATGTTTTGGTGTGCTTTCTAGGTACTTTAGTGATAGAAATATTTGATGTGATAGAAGTCATCTGCCAGTGTTCTTGAAAATGCTTATCCAAGTGTATCTGAGTAAATGATTTGTTCTCGAGGACTAAAATAATTTTCTAAAAATTTCTTTTACTGTACCTGTGAAACTACGAAAATTACTTTCTATATTCCATAGTTAAATTGTCATTGTGGAAGAGCTGTAATGCATAGTAAGCAATTATCAGTTACCATCCCTTAAATGGAGTTGCCTTGATGCTGTTGAAAGGTTCTTTATCCTTGGTGAGAGGTGGCTGGTGTGCTAAATTAAAAAAGAATGAAGAGAAAATGAATGTAGGAATAGAGGGTTAAAGGTAAACAGATGTCCATACAGTCACAGTACTTTACCTTCCTCATTCAATTTCATGAGAAACTAGCACTGCAGCACATTTTTTATGCTATTAAATGTACAGGTTAAGATCTTGTTGTCCTCTCTCGGGTTCACTTCCAAGTCTGGCCCTATCTAAAGTATGTATACTACCATTGCCAAAGATGCTATGCACAACAGCCAGGTAACACAAAGGGAGCTACTTTCTGGTAGGTGAACAGAGTTGATAAGTGTAATGAGACTTGCAAAATATTCTCAGCAGTATATCAGTCTTTTCATAGACCAGGTGTAACATATTCTATGGATATAAATTTATTGAAACAAAATTTAATTTTCAGAAACTGCTTTTACTTAATCTGGTTTATTGCCAGTAATGATACACTGTTTTCATATGTTCTGCCCACTTGGGCTTCTCTTTTCTTTTTTTAAATTTTCTTGGAAGAGCTATACTTCACCAGTCATTGATCTGCTTCTCCATTCTATCATCATCCATTCATTGAGCAAGACCATACCATCAGAGCACAATTTCTTTCCTTTATTAACACTGACTTGTTAAAAGTAGGACAGGTAGGCTTGCTCTATTTATATCAAAAGTCATAGTCGAACAGTTAAGGAAAAGTAGTTGTATACTGTGCTTATACAGTAAAATAAATAGCTGCATTAGCAACTTGCAAACTCTGCAAATTAAGGACATACGCTCTTAAAAATGGGATACCTGGGAACTAATTAAGTTTTTTAACCTCTGAGTCATAGTACATAACCTTCCTTTGTCAAATATTATAACTTATTATTAAGTTGAAAAGCCAGGAATGCTATTCATTTTTAAGTTGGAGACCTCATATACATATTACAATTTCTAATTTCAGTGTTCTGGGTATGGATTCACACAATGTAGAGGCCCTAAAATACAAGACATTATATTCTCTGTGTCGTCAGGGTAACTACGAGGATACAGCACAGGGCTTACACAGTTTGTATAGTGAGATGGACAGAAGTGAACCAAATAATGCATCATTATTTGTCCACAATGCTCAGTTATTTTCAAGACTGGTAAGATGCTCTTGACTTTTTCCCACATTATATCAAATAAATTATTGTAAATGTGTTTTTTTAAGTCTGCTTTAGTAAGAAATGACCGATGTGGTAATAAAATACAGTTGGTATGGTGGTGGCCCGGTGGCCTGGTGGCTAAAGCTCCCGCTTCACACACGGAGGGCCCGGGTTCGATTCCCGGCGGGTGGAAACATTTCGACACGTTTCCTTACACCTGTTGTCCTGTTCACCTAGCAGCAAATAGGTACCTGGGTGTTAGTCGACTGGTGTGGGTTGCATCCTGGGGGACAAGATTAAGGACCCCAATGGAAATAAGTTAGACAGTCCTCGATGACGCACTGACTTTCTTGGGTTATCCTGGGTGGCTAACCCTCCGGGGTTAAAAATCCGAACGAAATCTTATCTTATCTTAACTAATTTTTATTGTTGGTATCTAGAGTTGTTAATATTTATGTGGTAATATGTACGTGAAATTTTCATAATACAGTAAACCCTCTTACAATACAGCTTCACTTGAAAAAGTGCAACCATAAATATTGATTTGATACATAAAGTCTTGATATTATACACAAAAATAACTAGGGAATTAGCTAATGTGCAAAATATTGGTATTGTGTGCCATAGCACTGAACTAAGGAATACATTTCAGCTTTAGATGCTGTAGTACATGACTCATTTCCTTCCACTAGATACCCTCACCACCTACAGTTGTATTCTGTCAGCATCTTGTGTCTCATTGACTCAGTTTATCAAGTTATTTTGGATATTTTTGTCATTGGTCTCAAGATATTAACCATTGCACCCAAGAGAAATATTAGTGATTCTGGAGGTACTAAGAAGATTATTAACGAATCTGTCACTATGTTGAAAACAATGGAAGTGTTAGATATGCTTAGAGGAGGTGCATATATGATAGAAACTGGCCATGAATTCTTCTTCTTTCAACAAATTGGCCATATCGCACAAAAGCAGGATGGTCCAAAAAGAAAACAAAAAAGTTTCTCTTTTAACTTCAGTAATGTATCAGGAAGGGTACTTGCCCTTGTTTTCGGCATGTTAGTTCCCTCTTATGACATGCATGTCTTTATTTTAATATATTAATTATTATTATAATTATTATCATTATTATTATTATTTTATTATTATTATTATTATTATTATTATTATTATTATTATTATTATTATTATTTTTTTTTTTTTTTTTTTTTAAACAAGTCTGGATGCTACTTGGTAAATAATGTTCTTTGCCATCACACAGTATTATTAACTGAGTACTTAAAAACCTTATACTATTTTAAAGTGTGGGAGAAATCGTCTTGTGCTGGAAGAAACATACATGATGGCAAGTAAGGCAGCCAAGGTGGACACAGGAAGTGCTGAGTACCTGACAGAGGTGGGATATCAGTGTCTCCTTCAGGGACGCAACAAGGAGGCTACAAAGTTTTATAAGAATGCCACCAAGCTAGACGAATCTTCAGTGGCAGCATTAACAGGTCTGTTTACCACTGAAGTCCTTATACACAAATAACTCACACATTGGAGAAAGAGATGTTATGATGACATATTGGTCCAACTTTGACCATTAAAGTGTGACTGGTTAATGGCCCAAGTTAGACCGAAACATCATCATGAAGTTTTTTCTCCTTTGTGCTGGTTATTTGAGCATTGTTCCAGTTGTGGTATTTTCTCTTTGTGTTCTTTTCAAGTGCTTGATTAGTAAGTTTTAAAGGAGGATTCATTTGTATCCACATCTCAGATGACTGTACAACTTTGTGTTGTATAAGATACAGTAGTAATTATACTTCGTTACTAGTATTTTGTGAAGTTCACGTCAACAGCATGTCTCATAGCATTAATTTACTGGGACAGTTTGTTCTCTGTAGAGCTTTATCAACATTTATTGTGACTCTTCTCTGTAGAGCTTTATTGGCATTTTTTGGGACTGTTCTCTTTAGAGACTTGTCAATATTTATTGGGACAGTTTGTTCTCTGTAGAGCTTTATCAACATTTTCACTCTACAAAGCAGATAGCTGTCCTAATAAATGCTTGATCTGTAACTTGTATGTTTGTACTTATACTCATTGGCAATATACCATTTCAACCAACATGTATTCTGAAAACCTTTTCACAAGCTAATTTTTCAAACTTTATAATAAAAGCAAGTGAAGTTTTAATTCTCAAATAAATGAGTTACAGCTCTGATCATTAACACTTTTGTTATACAGTAATTTTAAAATGGCATTAATATCAGGCAGAGATTATTAATTGTAATATGCTGTACTTTTTTTTTTTTTTTAACAGGGATAATTTCATGTCAGCTTTTAGAGGGTCAAGTGGATATTGCAGAACAACAATTGGAGTTTTTAAAAGAGGTAAAGTGATGAGTTAAAGAATTTCCAGCAATGTGAACATTAAATACAGTAGACAAAAACTATACAGTGGTACCTTGACTTACGAGTGTCCCAACTTATGAGTTTTCCGAGTTACGAGCCGTCACTTGGTCGATTTTTTTGCTTTGAGTAGCAAGCCAAAATGGTGGGTGAGAATAGATTGGTGTGGGTTGGAATAATGAGGGTGTGGTGTATAAGAATGGTGGTTGGTGGAGTAGTGAGGTGGTGGATGAAGTATGATAATGGGGTGGAGTAGATATGAGTGTGGTGGAGTAGTGAGGTGTGGATGAGTTAGTGATAATGGTGGGTGGATAGATATGGTGGTGGGTGAGTAGTGAGGTGGTGGTGAAGTAGTGATAATGGTGGGTGGAGTAGATATGGTGGTGGGTGGAGTAGTGAGGGTGGTGGATGAAGTAGTGATAATGGTGTGGAGTAGATATGGTGGTGGGTGGAGTAGTGAGGGTGGTGGATGAAGTAGTGATAGTGGTGGGTGGAGTAGATATGGTGGTGGGTGGAGTAGTGAGGGTGGTGGGTGTAGTAGAGATGGTGTGGTGGGTGGAGTATACAATATTTCTTATTTATAAATACATTTTTCTTATTTAAAAACAGATAACAAAAAAAAAAAATGGGGTGGTTTCTTGGGGGCTGGAACAGATTAATGGCATTTCAATTAATTTCAATGAGGAAAATTGATTTGATATACGAGCAAACTGAGTTACGAGCTTGGTCACAGAACGAATTAAACTCTCATGTCAAGGTACCACTGTACATGTATGTATTTACTTTTATCTCTTAAGTCTAGGTTTTTCTTAGAATTTACCTGTCTTGAAGGAATTGCTGAAGAAGGAGCTGCTTCAAATATTTGAGCTTTAGTGGTAAAGAACTAATGAAGTTTTATAAATGGAACATTCAAGGGTAATAGGTTAATATTATATCTCAAAAGGCACTGAACCACTGTAAGTAGTAGTGGAAGCTTGATCATCCTTCCGTTAACTGTGGCCTGATCATGTGTGTGTCAAATAGAATCTGTTATATATTTTGCATTTGAGCAGTTTTTCTGGTCTTTTCTTTTGTTTATATGTATGATGGCAGGTAAATTTTACAAACTTCTGCCTTCATTCAGTATACACTTAGCTGTTCTCTATTGTGTTTTTCTTATTAGTTTTATTCCTCTTTTGTTCCTCTAGTTTAAGAGGCCTAGTTCAAGCCTATGCAGTGGGTGCATTGTTCCCAAGAACTATTAACAGATAACAAATGAAACTGGTATGTGATAAAAAAAATTAAGGATAGGTAAGGTTTGTCAGGAAACAGGACAAATATTTTCTGATGTGGGTCTTTAGTGATATGATGACTCACAGCTGGAGCTTTTGATCATCTGACTGAAGCTTTCAACTGGCTTACCAGTCTGCCCCTTTAAAAATTATAGTCATGATTGTAAAAAAATCATCTAAATAGTTAGACTATCTTGAAATTGTCATCACTTTCTTGCACTCGAAAAGTCGAGTGTGTGTAAAGAGCTTGAAGACTGTTGCAACCTCAACAGATATGGTAATATGGGAAAATTTAAGAAAATAAATTTGAAAAAGGAATGGTTTGGGATATTTGCTGTTTATAGTGACATCTAATCTGTCATATCTGTGCACCTTTGCAAAGACAGTGATAGTGTGAATGATAGTGAAAGTGTTCTTTTATTTTTTATTTTGGATCACCCTGCCTTGGCGAGAGATGGCCAGCTTGTTAAAAACAAAAACAAAATTGCAAAAATATAAGTAGGAAAATAATCCCACACTTAAAAAATAAATGATAAAAGACAACCCTCTTTACATCTTACACATACTGTATCTTTCTTTATGAGGTGTCACTGTATATTTGCCCCACAAAAAATGAACTCCCCTATATGAGCTCTAAGGGTTGCCTATATGAAGCACATTATGTGAATTCACGCGTGATGTCGTGGTACTCAGATTTTCAAAGAATATCAGGGATATGTTGTGTATCTTTATACGTATATGCTTCTAAACTGTTGTGTCTGAGCACCTCTGCAAAAACAGTGATAATGTGTGAGGTGAAAGTGTTGAATGATGATGAAAGTATTTTCTTTTTGGGGATTTTCTTCTTTTTTGGGTCACCCTGCCTCGGTGGGAGATGGCCGACTTGTTGAAAAAAAAAAAAAATAATAATTTCTCCATTTCATTTTTTTTATAGTCTGTACATGGTACCTGTTTTTCAGTTAGACTATTTTCTTGAATTTTTTTTTTTTTTTGTCAGGTTCAGCGCAGTCTTGGAGCTTCACCAGATATCTTGTATTTGTCTGCTGTACTGGGTCGTATGAAAAATCAACCCTCTGAAACAATTCTAGGTATTATACATTCGTCATTCTTGAGATTTTACAATATTTCTTAATACTTAAAAATTAAAGAATATCAATCTGAAATTGTATTAATAGGTTTTAACACTGGAATATTAAACAGTTCATGAAAGGTGAGCTCTGTTTTACATTTTTTTACAACTGTGTAAAGAATCTTTTTGCACCACTTCCTTGCATAGGTCATTCCACTTCCCTGGCCACTCTCAGGCTTTAAAAAATATTACCTGATGTTCCTGTGGCTTTCTCTTATAACTCCCCTCATCCTTGATCCCTGCCTTTCAAAGTGTCCGAATATGTGTGCCATATTAAATTTCCTAAGATCCTGCAGGTTACATTGCCAGCATGTCTTCACTGGCCCTTCTGTCAGGTTCACTTGTTTTAGTCTTGAGTCAGCTCTGTGACCAATACAGCCTCTCCTCATTTAACGATGGGGTTCTGTTCCTAAGAGTAGGTTGGTAAACGAATTGGTCATGGGTGTGTGTCAACCATCATTAGATATATTTTTAATGTCACCTTTGCACCATTTATAACATTTTTGGTATATTTTTAAATGTTTATACAGTAGTGTACTGTGTATTGAAATAATACAGTAATGTAGTGTATACTGCAGTAAACAGAATAGAGGAAATCAGCTCTATATACATTACAGCCTCTCCTCACTTAACGACGGAGTTAAGTTCCTAAGACCACATAGTTAAAAGAATTCGTCGCTAAATGAGGAGCATATTATAATGGTAGTGAGTTTGTGTCAATCCGTAAGTCATAAGTCCGAGCAGTCAGTAAACAAGTATGTCACTAAGTGAGGAGAGGCTGTATATTGGAAATTTCTTGGATCAGTTGTGAACTCTATGCTAGCACTGCATACTCTTTATATAACTAGTTGTCTGATATACCTGTACGTATATTTAAAATCCTGAACAACTTTGTAAGGTTCATAAATACTCATGTTTGTTAGGCTTTGCATATGCTGCTTAACCCTTAAACTGTCCAGACAGATCTACATTCACATGCGTAGTGCTCCAAAAGTAGATCTACGTTTTTTAACATATTTTCAAATATATAAAAAAAAAAATGTAGATCAAAGTTTTTTACACGTTTTCAAATGTAAAAAAAGAAAAAGAAGCTCTACGTTTTTTTACATACTTTCAAATGTTGAAAAAACGTTGATCTACGTTTGGACAGTTTAAGGGTTAAACTGTTTGATTAATGTGTGTCTGGTGATTTGTTGTTTTCTGAAAGTTGTCCGTTTCTTGAACACAACTCCTTGGCAGACACCTATCACTTTGCTACTAAAAGTTGAACAACATCATTTACTTGTAGTTCATGAAATTCTTTCCCTCCAAGGCATCTGTCAGACTACAGTTATATCTAAATTGAAAGGTGAAACTTTAGGCAAAGTTGTTATAGATCCTGTGAAGTCCATGGACATACTCAAGCAACTTCTTTCAACAAACCAGCTGCATCCCACCAAGGCAGGGTGGTCCAAAAGGAAAAAGTGTTTCTCCTTTTAAATTTAGTAATGTATACAGTTTCTCCTTTTAAATTTAGTAATGTATACAGTAGAAGGGATTACTAGCCCCTTCTCCCAGCATTTTAGTTGCCTCTTACGACATGCATGGCTTACGGAGGAAGAATTCTGTTTCACTTCCCTATGGAGATACTCATGCACACACAGGCAACATCTCCAGATTCTGTGAAGTCATGGACACATACAGGCAACATCTCCAGATTCTGTGAAGTCATTGACTCACAAAAGCAACATCTCCTCCAGATCCTGTGAAGTCAGAGACACACAGACATCATCACAACTGAATCAGCACGCAAGCTAATCCTTGAGTATCTTACCGGCCCTCCTCCTTTTCTTATTTGCTTTAGGAGTAAAATGTTATTTATTCATGTTTTCAATGTATGAAGATAAGCTATAGGTATAGACATGAAAATTCATTTAATTACATTTATTATTTTTTAGATAACATAAATTTTTAAGTAAAACATCAGGTGGTTACTTACCAGCAAATTTTCAACTTAGATTATAACCTATTTCTCTGTATTTTTCTCTTATAAAGTAGAAAAAGAAGATTTATACAAATAAAAGTTATTTTACCAATTGTAGTTTTGTAACTTAATAGCCACTGAATCTTTACAGGAATGTTGCATGAGGCCATTGATAATCACTTCAAGAATCATCGGGGCATGTCATTTGGTGCCACGTATCTTGCTGCACTCAATCCTGACTTTTTACTCCTCATTGTTAATGAGTGCCTTCTTTATGCACCTACTCAGGTAATGAAAATTGTTGGACCTTCATCAGAAAGAATGTAGAGACTATGACTGAGAATATTATCATTTGTTTTCCATACCCTTAACAACTTTATTTGGTTTGATAGAAGGAATATATGGTTCAACAGTTTTGAACTGAGTTACTATATTCTTCAAGAAGCATGCAATATAACTACAGTGATTTCTTAGGATATCACCTGTTTCTTGTGATTTTATTGCTTCAAGAAGCATATGTTACAAATTTTATAGAAAGGATTTATACTGAAGAGCTTTTATGTGGAGTACAGTATTTAAAATATGTAGTTAATTTTTATGTACAGAACATTTTTAAAATAGTTAAATTAATTTAACAATAAGGATGAGGATGAGGAAGGGTTGTTGAGGTGGTTCGGACATGTAGAGAGAATGGAGCGAAACAGAATGACTTCAAGAGTGTATCAGTCTGTAGTGGAAGGAAGGCGGGGTAGGGGTCGGCCTAGGAAAGGTTGGAGAGAGGGGGTAAAGGAGGTTTTGTGTGCGAGGGGCTTGGACTTCCAGCAGGCATGCGTGAGCGTGTTTGATAGGAGTGAATGGAGACAAATGGTTTTTAATACTTGACGTGCTGTTGGAGTGTGAGCAAAGTAACATTTATGAAGGGGTTCAGGGAAACCGGCAGGCCGGACTTGAGTCCTGGAGATGGGAAGTACAGTGCCTGCACTCTGAAGGAGGGGTGTTAATGTTGCAGTTTAAAAACTGTAGTGTAAAGCACCCTTCTGGCAAGACAGTGATGGAGTGAATGATGGTGAAGGTTTTTCTTTTTCGGGCCACCCTGCCTTGGTGGGAATCGGCCAGTGTGATAATAAAATAAAAAGAATAAGGATATATAAACTGATATCATGCATTATGGACTTTTCAAACTTTATTATACTACAGTATATAAGAATGAATTCACTTATATCTATAGGATTGTTAAGAACTGATTGAAAATAAAAACAGTTAAAGTACTTTTTTCTTAACTCTAAATCCACAGACGTATTTAAATCTACATTTTATTGTTCCTGGAGTTGGATTAAATTTTATCCTTATTTCCAACTTTTTTAACATTCTTCCTTGTTGCAAATCCCTCTTTAGTTCTTATGAGGATGCTCTGTTGCTCCCAAGCATAATAATAATAATAATAATAATAATAATATATCAAAGACACATGGATACAGTAAGCTTTTATTAAAATTATATACAGTGGACCCCCGGTTAACGATATTTTTTCACTCCAGAAGTATGTTTAGGTGCCAGTACTGACCGAATTTGTTCCCATAAGAAATATTGTGAAGTAGATTAGTCCATTTCAGAACCCCAAACATACACGTACAAACGCACTTACATAAATACACTTACATAATTGGTCACATTCGGAGGTAATCGTTATGCGGGGGTCCACTGTATTTTGCTCAGTGTAAAGCTGTCACTAAACAAAATATGGTATTAATAAAAGACTGTTTGTTTGTCTTTGCTTTACCATGTGTCAGCTTATGCCTCTGTTTCACCCAATAATAAAATTGTATAAACACTGCTATTTCATTTTAGCCAAGCCCAACAGATGGAGTTAGTGAGAGTGTACCAGAAGTTGTGAAGCGAGCATTGGGAGTGCTGGAGTCCATCACACGTGCTTGCCCTGCACTCCTCACTGCTCTTATATTGTCTGCCCATCTCAAGTTCATCACTGGTGATGTCAAAGGAGCTGCAACTTCCTTGCAGTATGTACTGGATAATATAGGTGCGTTATCTGTGATACCAATCCAATCTTTTTTTTTTTTTTTTGTAATATCGGTTTCCCACCGAGGTAGGGTAACTCAAAAAAAAAAAAAAAAAAAAAAAAAAAAAATCTTTCACCATCAATCATTCAGTCATATATTTCTTGCCAGAAGTGTATGACCATCACAATTTAAATGGCCATCTCTGATAAAAAATGGTATTTTTTTTGAACAAGTGGATTGCAAAACAACATAATCTTTGTTCTATTTTGAGCCACCCTACTTTAGTGGGAGACAGCCAGTGTTAAAAAATACCACATAAGAGATAGGGAAAAATTACAAGGATACCATACTAAAATATTAATTGCTTCAGATTCAACCAGCTCAGATGCTCACCTACTGATGGCACAGATCCAGTTATATCAGGGTAATTACAAGCAAGCACAGCAGAGCCTCGAAGTTGGTCTCTCGTATAACTTTGAGGTTAGCCATTTTTCTTATTATCCTAATAATATTAGTATAGTATATCCTTTTCTAAGTCAAAGTAGAAAAGATGAGTGTGTTTTTCTTGGTTTGTGTTTTGATCCTAGTGACATAACACAAGCTCAGTGCAAAGAAACTGCTGTCAGGATAATACAGGACCACGTACAAGTCATCGTGCAAAACAATGAAATCAAAGAAACACGTTTGTTAGGAAAAACCAAAGTAACACAGTTAATGACCCGATTATTCATACGATAAAAAAAGGCCCAATTAAATCAGAAATTACAATGAAAAAGGAGTGTACTAAAGAGTGTCTAACAAAAAAACGTCAAAACCTTCTGTTCAGGGGTGAAAATTAAAACGGGAAAACAAAATACATCATGTTTCACGCGAGAGGGGAAAAATTACAGTAAAAAAAACATAAAACGGACAAAAATATCCATCTCAAACAAACATGATTTCCTACCTCCTTAGAAAAGCTGACTTTTTCTGAACAGATTAGATGTGCCTTAATACTATATCGTGTGGTGCAAAAGGGTTACGTTACATTTATTGTACTTATTTTTTTTATTTTTTTCACATACTAATCCCAAACCCCTCCAATACTCATAACTTTTTTATGTTTTAAATTTGCTCAAAATTTTTAAATTAAAATCAAATCTTACTCCAAATTAATAAATTCATTTTTCTTCCCTCCATTTAATTTTTGTTTATCCTCTTTTTTTTTTTGTCACTTTACATTGTGTATGAAATTAGTGTATTTTCCCAAAATTATTTTTTTGCAAGTACCAAAACTATCTTTTGCTAGCTAGTACCAACTACCTCATTTTTTTTTTTACTTTTTTTGTGCAATTAACTGCTCTTTTTTAATATTCAAATCAATTTTACCCCCTAAACCAAAATTTTCTATGAACCATCTGTCCCTTTTAACTTTGTTTACCTTTTAAAAATTTTTGCCCCTTATTATTTTCTCCTTATTTTAGCTTTTATAAACTACCCTACTTTCTTTCAAATTGTTAAAATAATCAAGGTGCTATTCTCGGGTGCTAAAGTAGAACAATTTTCACAATTTTGCCATTATTTTCCAAAGCTCATTTTATTTTATAGACTCCTACTACAACCCCCAAGCTCCTTATTTTCTCACTTTTATTTGTACTAGTCCCTTTTATTTTGCCTTTTTTTTTAGCTTAAAAAAAAAAAAAAAAATACCTTACTCATTATTTTACATTTTTTTAAATAATTCGGGTGCTTTTTTTTTAGCTTAAGACATTTCTTTTTTTTATACTTAATTCACTATAGTTCACTACAAATCTTATGATTAAAGCAGGGACCCGATCCCAACCCTCTTTTTTTAAGATTAAAATGATCAAACAGTTACTGTTTTATACACTGAGAACAATAAAAGGGCACTTCTCGTGCCAACAAAATATAACTATTTTTAACTAAAATATCAGTCTTTAAGCAAGCATTACGATGACCTCATAGCATTACAAAATTTCCTTCATCCCAAATAGTCCTCATTACACTAACGAAACCTGGCAAAAACCCTGATAGAAGTTCTATGCCTTTCCTGGTACACGCCATACATAACTGTAGGCCAGACCACAAGGGGGTGGCACACCCTTTTAATACTCAGCCCAACTAGAATGTATAACTAAACTTGCAAAGAGATGAACAGGGATAAAAATAGAAATTCAAACCCAAAATCCCCTCAAAAACCTCTCACATTGATAAACATCTACAGAGTTCCCTCAAACTTTAGCCAATTAGTCAAAACCTGAAGTAGATAACTGAGACGCAGAACAAAAGATCACTTACTACCTCAGGTGACTTAAATATAAATCCCCTGCAAGACCAGGACCCACACTTTTACTGAATTCACAAACAAATGATAACTGTATTTTTGCTCCCAAAACAGTAACAAAACCTACAAGGTTACAGGACTGTGTTTCCCCTACTTGCCCAAAAAACATCGGGACCAACACCAATCCCCCTTTAAAATCAGCATAATTACAGATAATACCACAGCCCCACTACCCTATTTCCTCATAAAAACTCTTGGTAAAATTTCCCCAAGACACTACAAATCCCCCTTTAGACTTCACAAAGGGCCCATTAATTACTTTTACAACAGCAGTACAAACATTGACTGGGACACTGAGCTGAAAACAATACAGATATTTACGAATGTATTATAATTTTTTAAAAAAAAACTCAAACCTCATAACAAGCATGCCCTAAAAAAAAATAAGCAATGAAGCTAAAACTGAAAAGCCCCCGGCTAACACCCACATTCCCCAAACCATAAAAACAAAAAAAACCCAATATGAAAAACTACAGATGGGTCAATAAACCCAAAACCAAAAAAAACGTTACCGCAATCCTAAACCCGCCTGATAAAAAAGGGCAAAAAAATTTATTATAGAACAGATTATCCAACTTTCGAGGTGATATAAAAAAAACCTGGAAAACCCTATCAGAAATTTGGGAAAAAAAAAAATCACGAAATAGCAAAAAAAAATTTGCAAAATCAGATGAACCCCAACCCCCCCCAACAGAAACAAAAAGACTCAATGATTTCTTCCCACTATGGACAAAAACCCTTTCCAATAAAACCCAAACTCAGTACCCCACCCAAAGACACCTCACCCGGGAATTCCCGAACACACTGTTCCGCTCCGACTAACCCTACGAAGTCTCCCCATTATCAACGCAAAAAAAACAAGGCAGGAGTTTAAATCCTTCCCCTTTTTATACAAAAAAGTGTCAAAGTGCTCACCAATCATTGCAACACTCTTTAAAAATCCATTGAATCCCCACCCCTTTCCCCCAGTACTCAAAAAACAAGGGGGCACCCCCTCCCCAAAGGAGGAGACCAAACAAGTTGAATCTATAGGGCCCTATCCAACTTTTACCCTCTCTCAAAAACTTCGAAAAATTTAAATTTTAAACAATTTCCCCTACCTTATCTCCCCAAAAAATACCAACCCCTCCCCCTTTTGGTTCGGCCTTAAAAAAACTAATGAGCTATTATAAAAAGCTAGAAATATTACACTGCAAAGAGAAAAAAGAAGCCCACGGGGATCTCATTGACTTACGAAAGCTTTTGATACATTGCCATGACTTGTCCAGTAAAATTGTCACCTAGGTATAAAAAGGGCACTCCCTCAACCCTCAAATCATACCTCCAACAAAGCCCAAAAGTGTCCAAAATGGGGCAAACTCTTTGCACAACCAAATTTCAGTTTTGGGGGGGGTCCCACAGGGAAATGTCCTTTGGGCCCCCTTCTCTTTCTCCCCATCATAATGACCTACCAAATGCTTCTCAATTACTCAAACCCCCACTATTTGCTGAGACACAACATACGCTTCTCCCCACCCCCCCCAGTCACGCAGCCAATACTGTAAAATACCAATTACAGAAAAAAATCTACCCGGAGAGTACTAACAAAATTACATAAACATTGACAAAACCCTTCATTCAGTTTGGGAACAGAGCTACAGATGTCCCCCCCCTTTAAAAGAAAAGGTCACCTACACAAAATAACAGAGGGAAAAATTTTAGGAATCCATTTATAATACCTAAATTTCATACACATAACAAAAATTTCTAAAAAAATTTCAAAATGTAGGCATACTTCGAAGATACGGTCTTGTCCACATCGCCCTCCTGGCCCTATATCACCTTTATTTTCCCCTACTCACCCATGGAAATTTTTGGGATGGGGCCAAAAACAAGTAACCATCCAGACCCCTAATTACCCAACAAAAGGCTGCGTTTGAATTATAACAAAATTTTCCTACAGGCAGCACACTCCCCCCTATTCAATACACTCAAACCCTACTCCCCATAAAAAAACTTTCCATACTTATTACTGCACCTATTCAACATAAACACTAAAAACTCTGATTTTAAACCCCTCCCCTCAAACACTCCTTCCCCAACCTCAACAGAACACTTTCCGTAAACAAGGCCCAGATCACTTTTTTGTATTCCTCGTGTCCATTCACACTAGGCAAAAACTAAAATGCAAAAAAAAAAGGCCCCCTAAAACCCGGGAAATTTCTTCCCTGTAAATATAAAAGAAACACTACCGTTTATAAATTCAATTCTCTTTAAAAAAAAGGATCACTTACTCACCCAAAACCAAATAAAAATGAAAAAAACTAAACCTTATAAATTTATATTTTAAAAATGTTTTTTTCCACAATTATATCCCAAAATAAAAAACCAAAAAACCCCAAATTCTAACTTTATTTTTTTTTTAAATACACTACCAAACAGAATACCCCCAATTTCTAAATTTTAAATAAAAATTAAATGAAAACCATATGACCTATCTTTGAAATACCCCCTTGTGCTTTATATTTAATCCGTTTACTTTTAAATGTTTTTCACTGATTTATCTTTTGCTTAGTTAATCTTAATTTAAATTTTTTAAGCCCCCCGAAATGCTAGCATAGTTAAGTGGTTTTTGGAAAGGCTCTTATCTGTTTTTTTTTTTGGTCCCTTTGGTAAGGGGTGCTCAAATTAAAAATTTAAAAAAAATAAATAAATAAATTCAAAACAGATAAATTAGGTTGCTGCCTTGAGACACTTTTAAAAAAATTTGAATTAAAAAAAAAATAAAATTTTTTTTCCCAAAGGGAAAAGTCTATAGCAAACAAAACAGTAAAAATTAAAGCAACCAGTAAAAGAGGTGACTCGAGAGGTGAGGTCAAAATAAATAGGGGAGAAAAAAGGCACCCAAAAAAATGGTTTCTTTATAAAGACCTGAGTTTACTGGGTAGCCCCCTCAATTACTCTGAAAGGGGCTCTGTATGGAAAGGGGGGATCAAAAACCCGGGACAGCAAGCAACCCGCGGCATAGCCCTTTTTTATCGGGGGAAGCACCAAACAAGCCTGGTAATAAAAAAAAAATCTTGGAAATCATCAAAAAGGGAGGTTTAAACCCTTTCCCCTTTGGTCAAAAAATTATTACTGTACCTCCTGTTCTCCAAGCACTGTGTGATCCTTACAAACTTAGCTTTTACCACAAATATAATAATAATAATGGTAATGTTGAGTAGTAGCCCAGAGATGGTAAGACAGGCTGTTGCTACTTCCCTCAGCAATTATTAGGCAGTTCATAATCTTTCAACAGGTGGATATCTTTAATTACTCAGGTTGCTTTCCTGAGTCCTAGGAATATAAAAGGAGAGTATATCTGAGTACATCACAAAAGACTGTTAAGAAAAGTGGCAGCTCATAGTATAGGAGGGGAAGTTTTAACATGGATTGAGGTATGGCTGACCAATAGTAAGCAGAAAGTTTGCATTAAAGGGGTCAAGTCTGAATGGGGACTGGTCACAAGGGTTTTCTTCTCACAGACTCAGTAGATAATTCAGTATGGTATAAACTGTTCTTAGGATTCATTGGTTGCACATGAGGCATTGGCTCTAGTAAGGGTGATCTCATCTAAACTTTGGAAAGAAATGCATTAAGATGTTATTTATGCATGTAAATATTTTTTTTTTTTACCACATTGACCATTTCCCACCAAGGTGAGGTTGCACAAAGACGGAAATATATTCAATCATTCATTCAATGGCTGTCTTGCCAGAAGTGTGTGGTAATCACAATTCATATTGCTCTCTGAACCACACTCCATTTTAATAGAGTACTGGGATTCAAACTGAAAGCTTGAAACTCATGACAGTGACAGACTAGCCCTCTGCCAGTCATACCACAGAAGGGCATAGGGTTTCACCAACAAAAAATAATGGAAAGGTCTGCAAATGGCCATTAACTGGGACCCTATTACATGTTTTATGCTAGGTGCTGGTATTTGTTTAAAGTGTTAAGTTTAACCTTACAAGAGACAATGATTAATATGTAAATTTGTGTACAGTGTGTGCGAGTCTAATTCAGTGCTATATGTGTATTATATGGTAATGTTAGCAAGATTTTTCACACAGGTGCGAGAACAGCCCACTTACCATCTGGTACGAGCACGAGTTCTGAAGAAACAAGAGCAGTATGTTGAAGCAATTAACACGTTGAAGTCATGTCTTAATATTGCTAATAATCGACCCACTAGTAAGTTCCTAGATGTGTTGTTTAGTATGTGATTTTTGCTGTAAGTAAGATAGCTTCTTAACATAATCTTGTAAGACTGTGATCTGTTGTGCCACAATATGATAAATATAGAAGTTCAGAAAATAAGCATACACGTAATTGAAATTTTTTTTTAAAATGAACTATGCAATATGAGCAGAACTCTAAGCATTAATGTATGATCCCTAGTACACTGTAAAAATTAGAACAAAGGATTATTATAGTTGAGCTTTTGGTGTGCAGTTGCTCTGGAAAGAAAACCCTGCCATTGAACATTCATGCACATGCATCAGAGCAAGCAACAGCAGGCAATCATTCCATCATAATAACAAATAGAAGCCCACCCCACAAGCAGATGTGAATGACCTACCAATAACAGAGCCAAGGGATCAGTCTGACCTCTGGAGGCATCTCCTGTTTGTATAGGCAAGGCTTTCCAAATGTTTGTCTAATTGATGATATATGAAGACCAGAGAAAGAGACCCCTGGAATAAAAGAGGTATGGTGAATATAGTGCTTGAGGAACATCCCAGTGAGCTGCATGCTCTCAAGTCAGTCACAGGCAAACATAGGACACTGAGGCCAGAGTCAGTGACAGGTAAACATAGGTCACTGAGGACAGAGTCAGTGACAGTGAACGTGGGTCACTGAGGCCAGAGAGTCCACTACACCCCTGTTGCAGGGCAGAAGGAAAGCAAGCAAAAAAAAAAAAGAAAAAACAGTGAGAAATAAGGAAGGTGTGGCTACACTGTCATCTGAAGATTCAGCTCTAAATTATGGGTTATTTTTAAGATTAAATGCCTTATTGTTTGATATCAATATATTGTACCCACAATTATGGGCTTTATTAAACTACTTACTAAACTGAATTTGAGCTAAGAAAATTTTTATTCAGGTGGAAAATTTTATGAATAGATGATTGCCATGTTATTCTGCAGATATTACTGCACTCACATGACAGAAAACAACTAAATCTGTGACCTGTTGACAGTAATTTGTGAACTCTTATTGTGCTCTTAAGGAGCAAGGGCATGTTTTTATATATTGTTTGCATACGTGTATTTGTTTTTTAGGTTTTTTAATGATAGGAACTAGATTAGAGTATTTATTTTTCCATATAATCAAATATTTTCCTTTGCTATTTCCAGAGTTATAAAGTATTCTACTTTTCTGTACCATATCATTTTCTTGGGCCTGATTATTAGTAATAGTTTTCCCATGTAAAGGTTGTGGAAGACTAGTGAGAGTTGACTGCTGATTAATATAATACACAAACCTATATAGAGACAGAAATACACAGGATAAAATGGGTGCTGAAGAGAGGCTTGGTTGGAAGCTTAAATATACAGTTAAATATTTCATTTAGTGTTTCTGTTTCTTATGTTATGTACTGTTATTTGTCTCTTGATCCAAAGAATTGGAGCTACCCTTCCTTTCCATGGATTGAATCTGATTGCCTTCTGTTCCCTGAGGTGCTGTATAACCTGTACAGTTTTAGCACTCCCCCAAAATACATAAATACAGTGGACCCCCGGTTAACGATATTTTTTCACTCCAGAAGTATGTTCAGGTGCCAGTACTGACCGAATTTGTTCCCATAAGAAATATTGTGAAGTAGATTAGTCCATTTCAGACCCCCAAACATACACGTTCAAACGCACTTACATAAATACACTTACATAATTGGTCACATTCGGAGGTAATCGTTATGCGGGAGTCCACTGTATAGTGTATATGTAGGTATTTATAATATTTATTAAATTTAGGAAAATGTTTTCACAGCAACTAAAGGTACCCGAAACAAGGCTGAGATGACAGTACCTGATCGAGTTTCTATATTTTTGGAGTTATGTGACATTTACCGGCTAAATAATCAACCTACTGAAGCCTCCAACATCATGACACAAGCCATGACTGAATTTCAGGTAGGTTTTATGTGTTAATTAGAAGACAGAAAAGTCTGTAAAGACAATACACTTCAGTTGGCCATTTATGGAGAAACAAGTAGGGTTTGGACACTTTCAAAGATATTTATTTGCTTTTTAAATCTCAAATCCCAGATAGACAATTTTTCTGAATATTTTTTCCTCTCAAGGGGTGCCTTGATGCTGATGAAGGGCTCTTGATTCAAAGAATCAAAGCTGTTCTCACCTACCTTGGATCAAATCTGATTACCCTCTCATTCCCCAAGGGTTGTATTACTGTACTTCTTCATACTTGGTTCCTACACACTTAGAGTTTCCCCATAAAAATAAGTTTTTCTCATAAGTTTCATCTCCACAGTGCAAGTTATTTGTGACCAATAATGTAAATTCTCCATGGGAAAGTGGAACAGAATTCTTCCTCTGTAAGCCATGCGTGTCGTAAGAGGCGACTGAAAATGCCAGGAGCAACGGGCTAGTAACCCCTTCTCCTGTAAATGGAGAAACTTTCATGTCCTTTTGGGCTACTCTGCCTCGGTGGGGTATGGCCGGTGCGTTGAAAGAAGAAAAAATAATGTAAATCCCCTAGCCTAACGTAACCTAATCTAACCTAACCTAACCTAACCAAATTATCTTAGTAACCCTTCTTCCACTCTTCAGATTATACATTTCGTACATACCATAGCATCTACTAGTTTCTTCCTTTTCTATTAAATATTCACACCACACATTGATATTTCCATTGCCCCTTAACTTTTTTCTTGCTGCAGTATATAAACTTAAAGATTAATATTTCAAACTGCAGTGCTGTATTACACAGAATAACCTTAGGATCTGAGGGCATTACCTTCCTAGAGGCATAGAAAATATCAGATAAGTGAATAATACTTTTGACCACAGTATTTATACAGTGCAGGTCATATATTATTTACCTTTAATGATGTGAAATGTAACTACACAATACAAATTATGTAAGGAATACAGTCAGTGCTCATATTCCTTGATTTCCCTCATCTATTTGCTTGATGCATCTCCCTTTGAGGGTTTCTACATTCACATTTTTCTGGAAACCTAACCCTTGCAACTAAAGGTGTTAACTAGGGATTTAACTCTCATTCCTGCAGTTGCAAATTGAGAGCAATACTAACTCAGCAACAACTGGGCAACCCCGGCTGTTGCTCAGCTCACATTTATACAGAAGTCTTGTTGACTTAACATAGGTCTTGTGGATACACCATCAGATCAACTATCCATCACTCCTCTTCATAAAATGACAGTATTGTACAGTGTATAGTACTACATGTATAGTACATGTAAAATAAAATTGTTGTTTCTTCACATCAGCATTGATGCACTGGCTGCTGGGATCCATAAATGGTCAGGTATTTATTGGATATAAGAAAATACATCAAAAAGCTAAGTGTTGTGAACGCTAAGACCATGAAGACTGAGGTATTATTTTCTTTTTGAATGCACCAACCGCCTACCACCAAGGCAGGGCGACCTAAAGAAAAACTAAAGTTTTTCTTTTTACATTTAGTGATTTATACAGGAGAAAGGGTTACTAACTCCTTGCTCCTGTAAGGTATTATTATACAGCAATAAAAAATATTTTTTTCTTTCGCACTCCTACAGCATTTTGGCCTTCTGTTAATTATTTGTGTACATACTTTGTTTTTTAGGGTACGAGTGAGGAGATAAGACTAAACATCGCAAGTGCAGATTTAGCACTGATGCGTGGAGATGTAGAACATGCTTTATCTATGCTGCGAGCAATAGGACCGGAGAAACAATATTATCTTCAAGCTCGAGATAAAATGGCTTCCATCTACCTGAATGAGCTCAAAGATAAGCGAATGTTTGCATCATGTTACAGGTAAGTTAATCTTAAGAAAAGTAATTTAATATATGAATTACATCAGCTTATTAAAATGTATATACCAGTACAGTGTTAAGCTAGTGGTGTGGTGGTGTAGTCTGGGACTAGCAGTATACGAAAGAGGTTGAAAGTTAGTTTTTTTATGGGGAAAAAGAAAGATTAATTTTGGGGAAATAATTTGAATAAAAAATTGCAAGAAATTTATATTCACATGAGAAAGGGATGACGTACAGTAGTCCCATTGAATTTTGGGCTCTTTTGTATGGCTACTTTGATTTGATGAGTAGAAATTGAAGGGGGGGTGGGATTTTGAAGTTTTAAACTGTAATATCAACACCCCTCGGGAAGACAGTGATGGAGTAGTGATGGTGAGTGTGCCCCTTTTTTTTTGGGGTCACACTGCCCGTGGGAAGGCTGGTGTTAAAAAAATGAGCATACTATAGCCCCCAATCCCTTTTCAAAAAAAAATTTTCCAAAACCCCCCAAGATTGTTTTTAAAGGGAAAGGGGAAAAAATTGCAACATTTTTCATATGGCCCATTTGTAGGATCGTTGAAAAGATAAAAAATTTTTTTCTGAAAAGCTTAAATGGGGGTTTTAATATTATAAAATTTATTTCAAAGCCCTTACATGGGGGTTTTTAAAATTTTAATTTATTAAGGCACGGGTTAGGATAAACTTTTTTTAAAATTTTCTTATTTTTCCAGGGGGGTTAGAATTTTTTCCCCTGTAATTGAAGACTGAATTTTGGACTTTGTTTTTTTAGTATTTTTGTTTGCAAGATCTGCAACACAAACAATAAACCTTTGAACCCAAAAAAATACATTTAAAAGATTGCTTAGCAGATTTGATAAAACACCCCCAGTATTCAGAAATTTAAATATTCATCACACAAAACAAACCTACATACTATCACAAATTTTTATTAAGACAGTAAAAAAAATTACCCATCAAAAATCTCTTCTTGGGAAGCTGCAATTGAATACGAGATACAACATAAGAAAGTATTTTCTTGAGACTGACCAACAACCTAAACCCAATAGAAACTCCAACAAATTAAACTTAAAAAATGGAGCTCTCTACCAAGACTCAAAAAATTGCCATCGACAAAAGCTGTTAAAAAAATCTCATATAATTGTAAATACAAAACGTCTTATCCAACTCCAATCACATTCAGCATGAACTTGTCATGCTTTTTTATATTTATAAAAAACCATTACACAAAACTGTCAATACGCTTTGTAGTACAGTATTATACTTGCAAAACTACAATGACAAATGTGAAAAACCAGGGCAAGTGAGGGGTTTTAACCCATGACAACCAGTTCTGAAAATAGCAGGCCCGTTGCTGTCTGCACTTTTGTACTAGCAGGCCTCTGGTTTAAGGACTGGGTTGCCCTGGGTTTTGATCCCCCCCATTCAGCGAGTTGTATTTTCAGTCTCATCATAGTAACATTGATTTTTAAATACGCAGAGTTTTTTTAATTAAAGTTATTATTCTGTTTAATAATTTTATCTTTAGATAACCTAATTATAGTCATCTTAGCATTCACGTAATCTAACTTTAGGAAGTAGTATCAGGAATATGTAGTTTCAAACTCCAGTCTGCTAGAAATGCTCCAGCATAAGTACCCCTCAAGGGAGGTTACTTGATGCTGGTGAGGGGCTCTTAACCTAGGAAATTGGATCTGTTCCACTTCCCTGAATTAAACCTGAATGCTTTCCCACAGGTGCTGTATAATCCCTGAGGGTTTAGTGCTCCCCTTTGATGATGATAATATTAATAATAATAATCCAGCATAAGCAGGGACTTTTCAGAATGCATAAAATAAATGTAACTGAATTTTGCAACAATGATGCAGATTTTAAAAGTAACACGTTTGTTTCCTGAGAGATACTCATATATTTTAACTAAATGCATTACAGAGAGGTGGTAGAAAAGAATCCAACTCCTCAGAGCTATTTGATGCTTGGTGATGCTTATATGTCCATACAAGAACCTGATCGTGCTATTGAGGTGAGGTAACTTATTTGATTTCTTTTTTAAATTGTGACATGTTTTTATTTTATTCATGAGTGAACACTAAACTTGCAGGGGTCATAAAGCATCTGGGGAATGAAAGGCAATCATGTGTGATCCAAGGAAGAGATTAGGTACAGGTGTTGGGATCAAGAGCCCTTCGCTTGCATCAAATGCTTTAATTGTGAAGTTGGCAATGTGAATGGATGTAGAGGATTTCAACCAACTGAAAGATGTATTTTTGGAAATGAATATTAATTCCTCCATGGGTAAATGAACAAGAATCTTTCCTCTGTAAGCTATGCATGTTGTAAGAGACGACTAAAATGCTGGGAGCAACGGGCTAGTAACCCCTTCTTTTTAGGTCACCCTGCCTTGGTGGGAGATGACCGGTGCATTAAAAAAAAAATTTATTTGTGAAAAATTACAATGCCATTTGGAGATATATTGCACCAAATAGGGTGCAAATTAATACATTAATTGCATTAACATTTTTTGTTGCAATGAGTTGAGGAAGGATAACAGCTCTTAGCCTGTAAAATTGATTTGTCAAAAAAAAAAAAAAAAGGCTCTTGGCAATCCTGGGTCCATATGACCTTGTTCTTGGAGTTTAACTTAGAAACATTGCCACAATAAAATATCATATTACTTGCACTTGTGTCTTTTTACCTAAAATTAAGGAACTTCATGACTGCCTTTTATTTCTGGTGTAAGGAACAGCTGGATTGCATTTAAAGGAGGACCCTGCTTATACAGGTTCTAGGCTACTGCTGTAAAGTGAAAAACACTGTAAAGTGAAGCATAGCCTTTTTCACTTTAAAATGCATATAAAAGCCTGATAACAGTTTTACACTATCATATATTAAGTGAGCAATAGAGCCAGGCCTAAAAAAATGCATATACAATAAACACATTACTTACCTTAAAATATTTTCATCCTTAGCTTATAGTGAGTGGCTTATATATCTATTGCAGGAAGTGCGAATAAATGAAGAATAGGTATAATTGAAAACCAATGTATTAGTGAAATGCTGTAAAGCGAGTGCTGTAAAGTGGGGCCTTCCTGTATCTGGGCAGCTGTTTGGTAACATTGTGTTGCCTAACTGGGGATCCAATTCAAGTTTTTGAGCTATCCCTTCCTTCTAGAAATCAAGCCTGATTCCCCTACAATTTTTAAGCACTGCTCAACCTCAGTGTGTTTCAAATTCGTGTTCTTCTTCTTTCAACAAACCGGCCATATCCCACCGAGGCTGGGTGGCCCAAAGAGAAAAACAAAAGTGTCTCTTTTTAAATTTAGAAATGTGTACAGGAGAAGGAGTTACTAGCCCCTTGCTCTCAGCACTTTAATCACCTCTTATGACACACATGGCTTATTGAGGAAGAATTCTGTTCCAATTTCCCATGGAGATAAGAGGAAATAAACAAGAACAAGAACTAGTAAGAAAATAGAAGAAAACTCAGAGGGGTCTGTGTATATGTATGTATGTATGTATGTATGTATATATATATATATATATATATATATATATATATATATATATATATATATATATATTATATATATATATATATATATATATATATATATATATATATATATACATACAAAAAATTATATATATATTTTTTTTTTTTTTTTTTTTTTTTTCAACAAGTATGCTTCTAGACTGTTGTATTCTGAGCACCTCTGCAAAAACAGTGATAATGTGCGAGTGTGGTGAAAGTGTTGAATGATGATGAAAGTATTTTCTTTTTGGGGATTTTCTTTCTTTTTTGGGTCACCCTGCCTCGGTGGGAGACGGCTGACTTGTTGAAAAAAAAAAAATTATATATATATTATATATTTTTTTTTTTTATCAAGTTGGCCGTCTCCCACCGAGGCAGGGTGACCCAAAAAGAGAAGAAACACTTTCTATCATCACTCAGTCCATCACTCTTACCAGAGGTGTGCATAGACTACATTTCAAAAACTACAACATATCTACACCCCTCTTTCAGAGTGCAGGCTCAGTACTTCCCACCTCCAGGACTCAAGTCTGGCTAACACATTTTCCTGAATCCATAAAGGTTACCCTTGTTTGTGTACATTTTAAAGTTAAAGTTCTTCTTGTTTCAGGTTTATGAACAAGCTTTGAAGGCAATCAAAGAAACCTTCTTGCAATGTCGCATGGGCCTTTGGCACTTTAAGAATCAATATAAAAGCTATTTAAAATTTTTATAAATGAACTATTAAGACATAGAGACAGGTAAAACCAATTTCAAGACAAGTAAAATCATTTTTAAATTATATTCAATCTAGCTTATATGAATTTATATTGGCAGTTGAGGAAAGTTGTTAATCAAAATGTGTATGCATACTAAACTGTTGTATTGGCACCTCGCAAAACTTGATAAAGTCGAGTGTGCTGAGTGTTATGATGAAAGTATTTGCCTTACTGGGGATTTCAATTTTTGTATCGTTCCTCAGAAACACTGAGTCGCCGACTTGTTGAAAAAAAAAAACGTGTATTTCAAAATTTTATTCAGGGAAAGCAGTACAGGACTTGGCTTCTGGCCAAAGGGAAGAACAAGTGCTATCTTTCTGAAGGATGGAGGATGTAGCAGCAGGAGTTGAGAAGCCAGTACGATACTCTGCAATACACTGATGAAGGATCAGTAGGATGTTGAGGTAAATGTCATTCTTTCCCAAATCATCTTAAAATAATCAGTCTCAACAGTACTGAAAATTTAGCAAAATTCAGATGGGTGTGTATATTATTATATAATATTATATAATTTTTTTTTTTTTCATACAAGTGGTCGTCTCCACCGAGGCAGGGTGACCCCAAAAAAGAAAGAAAATCCCCAAAAAGAATATTTTCATCACATTCCACCTTCACCACACTCACACATTATCAATGCTTTTGCAGAGGTGCTCAGAATATAACAGTTTAGAAGCATATACTTATAGAGATACACAACATATCCCTCCAAACTGCCAATATCCCAAACCCCTCCTTTAAAGTGCAGGCATTGTACTTCCCATTTCCAGGACTCAAGTCCGACTATATGAAAATAACCGGTTTCCCTGAATCCCTTCACTAAATATTACCCTGCTCACACTCCAACAGATCGTCAGGTCCCAAGTATCATTCGTCTCCATTCACTCCTATCTAACACGCTCATGCACGCTTGCTGGAAGTCCAAGCCCCTCACCCACAAAACCTCCTTTACCCCCTCTTTCCAACCCTTTCGAGGACGACCCCTACCCCTCTTTCCTTCCCCTATAGATTTATATGCTTTTCATGTCATTCTACTTTGATCCATTCTCTCTAAATGACCAAACCACCTCAACAACCCCTCTTCTGCCCTCTGACTAATGCTTTTATTAACTCCACAACCTTCTCCTAATTTCCACACTCCGAATTTTCTGCATAATATTTACACCACACATTGCCCTTAGACAGGACATCTCCACTGCCTCCAACCGTCTCCTCGCTGCTGCATTTACCACCCAAGCTTCACATCCATATAAGAGTGTTGGTACTACTATACTTTCATACATTCCCTTCTTTGCCTCCATAGATAACGTTTTTTGACTCCACATATACCTCAACGCACCACTCACCTTTTTTCCCTCATCAATTCTATGATTAACCTCATCCTTCATAAATCCATCCGCCGACACGTCAACTCCCAAGTATCTGAAAACATTCACTTCTTCCATACTCCTCCTCCCCAATTTGATATCCAATTTTTCTTTATCTAAATCATTTGATACCCTCATCACCTTACTCTTTCCTATGTTCACTTTCAACTTTCTACCTTTACACACACACACACACACACACACACACACACACACACACACATATATATATATATATATATATATATATATATATATATGTTATATGTATATGTATATGTATATATATATATATATATATATATATATATTATATATAATATATATATATATATATATATATATATATACAGTGGACCCCCGCATAACGATCACCTCCGAATGCGACCAATTATGTAAGTGTATTTATGTAAGTGCGTTTGTACGTGTATGTTTGGGGGTCTGAAATGGACTAATCTACTTCACAATATTCCTTAAGGGAACAAATTCGGTCACTACTGGCACCTGAACATACTTTTGGAGTGAAAAAATATCGTTAACCGGGGGTCCACTGTATATATATATATATATATATATATATATATATATGGAGGGATATGTTGTGTAAACTTTATATGTGTATGCTTCTAGACTGTTGTATTCTGAGCACCTCTGCAAAAACAGTGATAATGTGCGAGTGTGGTGAAAGTGTTGAATGATGATGAAAGTATTTTCTTTTTTGGGATTTTCTTTTTTTTTTGGGTCACCCTGCCTCGGTGGGAGACGGCCGACTTGTTGAAAAAAAAAAAAAAAATATATATATATATATATAAAATATATATATATATATATATATATATATATATATATCTTTTTTCTTTCAACACACCGGCCGTATCCCACCGAGGCGGGGTGGCCCAAAAGGAAAAACGAAAGTTTCTCCTTTTACATTTAGTAATATATACAGGGGAAGAGGTTACTAGCCCCTTGCTCCCGGCATTTTAGTTGCCTCTTACAACACGCATGGCTTACGGAGGAAGAATTCTGTTCCACTTCCCCATGGAGATAAGAGGAAATAAACAAGAATAAGAACTAGAAAGAAAATAGAAGAAAACCCAGAGGGGTGTGTATATATGTGCTTGTACATGTATGTGTAGTGTGACCTAAGTGTAAGTAGAAGTAGCAAGACGTACCTGAAATCTTGCATGTTCATGAGACAGAAAAAAGGACACCAGCAATCCTACCATCATGTAAAACAATTACAGGCTTTCGTTTTACACTCACTTGGCAGGACGGTAGTACCTCCCTGGGCGGTTGCTGTCTACCAACCTACTACCTATATATATATATATATATATATATATATAAGTGTGAGAGTAATGGTGGTTGGGGATTTCAATGCTAAAGTGGGTAAAAATGTTATGGAGGGAGTAGTAGGTAAATTTGGGGTGCCAGGGGTAAATGTAAATGGGGAGCCTTTAATTGAGCTATGTGTAGAAAGAAATTTGGTAATAAGTAACACATATTTTATGAAAAAGAGGATAAATAAATATACAAGGTATGATGTAGCACGTAATGAAAGTAGTTTGTTAGATTATGTATTGGTGGATAAAAGGTTGATGGGTAGGCTCCAGGATGTACATGTTTATAGAGGGGCAAACTGATATATCGGATCATTATTTAGTTGTAGCTACAGTTAGAGTAAGAGTAGATGGAAAAGAGGAAGGTGGCAACAACAAGTAAGAGGGAGGTGAAAGTGTATAAACTAAGGGAGAGGAAGTTCGGGCGAGATATAAGCGACTATTGGCAGAAAGGTGGCTAGTGCAAAGATGAGTAGTGGGGGGTTGAAGAGGGTTGGAATAGTTTTTAAAAATGCAGTATTGGAATGTGGGGCAGAAGTTTGTGGTTATAGGAGGGTGGGGGCAGGAGGAAAGGGGAGTGATTGGTGGAATGATGAAGTAAAGGGTGTGATAAAAGAGAAAAAGGTAGCTTACGAGAGGTTTTTACAAAGCAGAAGTGTTATAAGAAGAGCAGAGTATATGGAGAGTAAAAGAAAGGTGAAGAGAGTGGTGAGAGAGTGCAAAAGGAGAGCAGATGAAAGAGTGGAGAGGCACTGTCAAGAAATTTTAATGAAAATAAGAAAAAATTTTGGAGCGAGTTAAACTAAGTTAAGAAAGCCTAGGGAAAGTATGGATTTGTCAGTTAAAAACAGAGTAGGGGAGTTAGTAGATGGGGAGAGGGAGGTATTAGGTAGATGGCGAGAATATTTGAGGAACTTTTAAATGTTAAGGAAGAAAGGGAGCGGTAATTTTCATGCACTGGCCAGGAGGTATACCATCTTTTAGGAGTGAAGAAGAGCAGAATGTAAGTGTGGGGAGGTACGTGAGGCATTACGTAGAATGAAAGGGGTAAAGCAGCTGGAAACTGATGGATCATGACAGAAATGTTAAAAGCAGGGGGATATAGTGTTGGAGTGGTTGGTACTTTTGTTTAATAAATGTATGAAAGAGGGGAAGGTACCTAGGGATTGGCGGAGAGCATGTATAGTCCCCTTTATATAAAGGGAAAGGGGACAAAAGAGATTGTAAAAATTATAGAGGAATAAGTTTACAGAGTATACCAGGAAAAGTATACGGTAGGTTATAATTGAAAGAATTAGAGGTAAGACAGAATGTAGAATTGCGGATGAGCAGGAGGCTTCAGAGTGGGTAGGGGATGTGTAGATCAAGTGTTTACATTGAAGCATATATGTGAACAGATTTAGATAAAGGTAGGGAAGTTTTTATTGCATTTATGGATTTAGAAAAGGCATATGATAGAGTGGATAGAGGAGCAATGTGGCAGATGTTGCAAGTATATGGAATAGGTGGTAAGTTACTAAATGCTGTAAAGAGCTTTTATGAGGATAGTGAGGCTCAGGTTAGGGTGTGTAGAAGAGAGGGAGAATACTTCCCGGTAAAAGTAGGTCTTAGACAGGGATGTGTAATGTCACCATGGTTGTTTTAATATATTTATAGATGGGGTTGTAAAAGAAGTAAATGCTAGGGTGTTCGGGAGAGGGTGGGATTAAATTAGGGAATCAAATTCAAAATGGGAATTGACACAGTTACTTTTTGCTGATGATACTGTGCTTATGGGAGATTCTAAAGAAAAATTGCAAAGGTTAGTGGATGAGTTTGAGAATGTGTGTAAAGGTAGAAAGTTGAAAGTGAACATAGAAAAGAGTAAGGTGATGAGGGTATCAAATGATTTAGATAAAGAAAAATTGATATCAAATTGGGGAGTGAGGAGTATGGAAGAAGTGAATGTTTTCAGATACTTGGGAGTTGACGTGTCGGCGGATGGATTTATGAAGGATGAGGTTAATCATAGAATTGAGAGGGAAAAAAGGTGAGTGGTGCGTTGAGGTATATGTGGAGTCAAAAAACATTATCTATGGAGGCAAAGAAGGGAATGTATGAAAGTATAGTAGTACCAACACTCTTATATGGATGTGAAGCTTGGGTGTAAATGCAGCAGCGAGGAGACGGTTGGAGCAGTGGAGATGTCCTGTCTAAGGGCAATGTGTGGTGTAAATATTATGCAAAAATTCGGAGTGTGGAAATTAGGAGAAGGTGTGGAGTTAATAAAAGCATTAGTCAGAGGGCAGAAGAGGGGTTGTTGAGGTGGTTTTGGTCATTTAGAGAGAATGGATCAAAGTAGAATGACATGGAAAGCATATAAATCTATAGGGGAAGGAAAGAGGGGTAGGGTCGTCCTCGAAAGGGTTGGAAGAGGGGGTAAAGGAGTTTTGTGGGTGAGGGCTTGGACTTCCAGCAAGCGTGCATGAGCGTGTTAGATAGGAGTGAATGGAGACGAATGATACTTGGGACCTGACGATCTGTTGGAGTGTGAGCAGGGTAATATTTAGTGAAGGGATTCAGGGAAACCGGTTATTTTCATATAGTCGGACTTGAGTCCTGGAAATGGGAAGTACAATGCCTGCACTTTAAAGGAGGGGTTTGGGATATTGGCAGTTTGGAGGGATATGTTGTGTATCTCTATACGTATATGCTTCTAAACTGTTGTATTCTGAGCACCTCTGCAAAAGCAGTGATAATGTGTGAGTGTGGTGAAAGTGTTGAATGATGATGAAAGTATTTTCTTTTTGGGGATTTTCTTTCTTTTTGGGTCACCCTACCTCGGTGGGAGACGGCCAACTTGTTGAAAAAAAAAGAAGAAAAAAATATATATTATATATTCAGTGGACCCCCGCATAACGATCACCTCCGAATGCGACCAATTATGTAAGTGTATTTATGTAAGTGCGTTTGTACGTGTATGTTTGGGGGTCTGAAATGGACTAATCTACTTCACAATATTCCTTATGGGAACAAATTCGGTCAGTACTGGCACCTGAACATACTTCTGGAGTGAAAAAATATCGTTAACCGGGGGTCCACTGTATATGGGTTGACATGCCAGCCGATGGATTTATGAAGGATGAGGTTAACCATAGAATTGATGAAGAAAAAAGGTGACTGGTGCATTGAGGTATATGTGCAGACATAAAAACGTTATTTATGGAGGCAAAGAAAGGAATGTATGAAAGTATAGTGGTACCAGCACTCTTATATGGGTGTGAAGCTTGGGTTGTAAATAATGCAGCAAGGAGACAGTTGGAGGCAGTAGAGATGTTCTGTCTAAAGGCAGTGTGTGGTGTAAATATGCAGAAAATTAGGAGTGTGGAAATTAGGAGAAGGTGTGGAGTTAATAAAAGTATTAGTCAGAAGGCTGAAGAGGGATTGAGGTGGTTTGGTCATTTAGAGAGAATGGATCAAAGTAGAATGACATGGAGAGTGTATAAATCTGTAGAGAAAGGAAGGCGGGGTAGGGGTCATCCCCGAAAAGGTTGGAGGGAGGAGGTGAAGGAGGTTTTGTGGGCGAGGGGCTTGGACTTCCAGCAAGCGTGCATGAGCATGTTAGATAGGAGTGAATGGAGACGAATGGTATTTCGGACTTGACGAGCTGTTGGAGTGTGAGCAGGGTAATATTTAGTGAAGGGATTCAGGGAAACCGGTTATTTTTATATAGCCGGACTTGAGTCCTGGAAATGGGAAGTACAATGCTTGCACTTTAAAGGAGGGGTTTGGGATATTGGCAGTTTGGAGGGATATGTTGTGTATCTTTATACGTATATGCTGCTAAACTGTTGTATTCTGGGCACCTCTGCAAAAACAGTGATTATGTTTGAGTGAGGTGAGTGTTGAATGATGATGAAAGTATTTTCTTTTTGGGGATTTTCTTTCTTTTTGGGTCACCCTACCTCGGTGGGAGACGGCTGACTTGTTGAAAAAAAAAATTATATATATATTATATATTTTTTTTTTTATCAAGTTGGCCGTCTCCCACCGAGGCAGGGTGACCCAAAAAGAGAAGAAACACTTTCTATCATCACTCAGTCCATCACTCTTACCAGAGGTGTGCATAGACTACATTTCAAAAACTACAACATATCTACACCCCTCTTTCAGAGTGCAGGCTCAGTACTTCCCACCTCCAGGACTCAAGTCTGGCTAACACATTTTCCTGAATCCATAAAGGTTACCCTTGTTTGTGTACATTTTAAAGTTAAAGTTCTTCTTGTTTCAGGTTTATGAACAAGCTTTGAAGCGCAATCCAAGAGACTCTGTTCTTGCATGTCGCATGGGCATGGCACTAGTGAAGACTCATCAGTATGGAAAAGCTATTAATTATTATAAAGAAGCTATTAAAACAGGAAGTAGTAACCAGTTAAGGTAGGTAAATCATTTTTAATTTATATAATTAATTTATTAATTTATATTGGCAGTTTGGAGGGATATGTTGTGTATCTTTATATGTGTATGCTTCTAAACTGTTGTATTCTGAGCACCTCTGCAAAAACAGTGATAATGTGCGAGTGTGGTGAAAGTGTTGAATGATGATGAAAGTATTTTCTTTTTGGGGATTTTCTTTCTTTTTTGGGTCACCCTGCCTCGGTGGGAGACGGCCGACTTGTTGAAAAAAAAAAAAAAATGAAACGTGTATTGCAAGAATATATAGAGGAACTCAGGGAAAGCAGTTAGCAGGACTTGCATTCTGGAAATGGGAAGTACAGTGCCTATGTTCTGAAGGATGGGTGGGGATGTTGCAGTCCTGGAGGTGAGAAGCAAAGTACGATACTCTGCCTACACTGTGAAGGATGAGTAGGGATGTTGCAGTTTAAATGGTCATTTCTTTTCCAACCCATCATCTTAAAATTTTAAGTCAGTTTCTCACAGTACTGATTTCAGCAAATTTCTTGATATGTAGTGTTGTATATTATTAAAAAATAACCAGTTACTAAAGGAGATATTTTAATGTTGCAGTTTTGTAATTGTAGTGTAAGCGCACCTCTGGCAAGACAGTGATGGAGTGAATGATGATGCAAGTTTTTCTTTTTTAGGCCACCCTACCTTGGTGGGAAACAGCCAATTGTTAATAATAATAAAAAAAAAACAGCTACTGTATAACATGCCAGAAAACTGATAAATGAAGTATTACATACAGGAGATAAATCGTGAACAGAAAACAGGAACCCACTGAGTGCACTCTACAATACACAGATAATCATTGTTTAAGGTTTGAATAACAGTCACCCATATGACTGTCTAAGCCACAGTGAAATATTGACTTTATTTTGGAGAATGAGCTGCTATTTCCATAACATGATAATAAATGTTATATACAGTTTTTCACTTATATTTACTGAACAGATATGATATGGCAGAGCTACAGATGCGCTTGAAACAATATGATAAAGCTGAGAAAACTATTGCACAAGCTCTGGATGCTGAAAGTTACAATCCTGTTGATCTCAACTCCATGCTTTCTCAAGCAAAACTGCTCAATCTTCAAGCAAAGGTAAAATTTTGAGCTAACCATATGCTGCTGTTTATTTTTTATAGTACAGTATCCATTTAATTCAGATAGCAGATTAACCCTTTGGGGGTTTTGGACGTACTAGTACGTCTTACGACCCAGGGTTTTTGATGTACTAGTACCCCTAAATTCTAGCGCCCTCAAATCTAGTGAGAGGAAGCTGGTAGGCCTACATATGTAAGAATGGGTCTATGTGGTCAGTGTGCACAGTATAAAAAAAATCCTGCAGCACACAGTGCGTAATGAGAAAAAAAAAAACTTTGACCGTATTTGTGGATTAACACAGAGACTTTGCACTGTATTTTCGTATGGTATTTATTGTTGTATTCTAGTTTTCTTGGTCTCATTTTATAGAATGGAAGACATATTACAGAAATTGAGATGATTTTGACTGGTTTTACAATGAAAAGTACCTTGAAATTGAGCTCAAAGTAGCAGAAATGTTCGATTTTTACCAAAGTTCAAAAGTAAACAAATCATGCCAAGCGTCCAATACACGTCAACTGGTGAGTCTAATATTCTTTCACAAGTGCGCTGATATTATATATACCATTTCTATGCTAATGCAGTAGTCTGCATAACAGTAAATCTTACTTTTTTTTGTAAGAATAAAAATTCAAAGTGGAAAGCCAAAGAAATATAAGAGGGGCCTGGGGATATGACTAACAAACAGAGAACTTGTTATTTTAGTGCCAGGAATGTCTTTCTTGTTTATTCTGGACCCTATTCGGAAATTGGCATCTTTTGAAATTTGTGTGAAATTGGCAAAATTGCTAAATTTTAACCACTTTATTGGATAGTTGAAATCGGTAAATGGGTGGTTTCTTGTACTCATTCGATAGAAAAAATGGAGTTCTAGCGAAATAGTTATGATTTTTGTCGACTAGTACACTGGAATTGGCCGAAAATAGGGCTCAAAGTGGGCAAAATCATCGATGCGTAAACATCGCCGAGACCTCTAACTTCGCGAGAGCATAATTCCATAAGTTTTCTATCAAATTTCATACTTTTGGTGTCATTATGATTGGGAAAAGATTCTCTATCTTTTCATATGAAAAAATAATTTTTTTTTTTTAAATTTGGCCGACCCTGAGAACAAGTCTCTGAGAGGACCTGTCGACCCCCAAAGGGTTAATGTTCTTTAAGTACTCTATAATTGTTGTATCTTTGTAACTGATAAGTTGCTTTCCAGTATATGTGTGTGTGTTGGTGGCCCAACTAATCTTGTGTGTGTTTTCTTTGACTTCCGAACACCTGCCCTTCGTATGATCCCCTTCACACAAACATACACATGTGCACATGGTAATGGAAATGGGAGACAGCAAAAACAGGCCATATGAAGAATATTATAGATTAGAGAGGACTAATTACCTCAAACTCTTCTCATCTTCCACCATACATCTCTGTACCGAACTGAGGAAACCACTTGTTGGTGAAACATTTCCACAATAAAGGTACCCAAATGTTGCACAAGTGTCTCAGTCATCAATGTCTCAGTTTCTAAACTATTTATCTGCAATTATAGATTATGTAACAAAATGTTAGTATCAGAGAGATGGCTCCAGGGATTATAATTATTTATAGAAGATTGTCACCAGAAGATCATATAAACAAAGTTATGAGAAATTATATGTTGATACCTAAAGTCAGTTCCCAGTCAGCTAGACTATGGCTTATACATTGAATTGCATACCGCCAGCAGTAACAGCCTGGTTGATCAGGCCCTGACAGGCCTGATTAACTGGGAGGCCTGATTTAGGACTGGGCTGTAAGGCTGTTGACCCTCAGAACAACCTCCAGGTAGACTCCAGGTAATGGTAGCTAGGTTCACTTGCATACAAGCTTCTAAATATATGGAGAGAGAAATTAAAAAAAAAAAATCACAAATGTTAGACCAAAATTAGAATATACAGCAGCTCTAAGTGCTTATATTTAAAACATGTGAATAAGGGTAAGGCAGCCGGGGTTGATGGGATAAAGATAGAAATGTTAAAAGCAGGTGGGGATATAGTTTTGGAGTGGTTGGTGCAATTATTTAATAAATGTATGGAAGAGGGTAAGGTACCTAGGGATTGGCAGAGAGCATGCATAGTTCCTTTGTATAAAGGCAAAGGGGATAAAAGAGAGTGCAAGAATTATAGGGGGATAAGTCTGTTGAGTATACCTGGCAAAGTGTATGGTAGAGTTATTATTGAAAGAATTAAGAGTAAGACGGAAAATAGGATAGCAGATGAACAAGGAGGCTTTAGGAAAGGTAGGGGGTGTGTGGACCAGGTGTTTACAGTGAAACATATAAGTGAACAGTATTTAGATAAGGCTAAAGAGGTCTTTGTGGCATTTATGGATTTGGAAAAGGCATATGACAGGGTGGATAGGGGGGCAATGTGGCAGATGTTGCAGGTGTATGGTGTAGGAGGTAGGTTACTGAAAGCAGTGAAGAGTTTTTACGAGGATAGTGAGGCTCAAGTTAGAGTATGTAGGAAAGAGGGAAATTATTTCCCAGTAAAAGTAGGCCTTAGACAAGGATGTGTGATGTCACCGTGGTTGTTTAATATATTTATAGATGGGGTTGTAAGAGAAGTAAATGCGAGGGTCTTGGCAAGAGGCGTGGAGTTAAAAGATAAAGAATCACACAAAGTGGGAGTTGTCACAGTTGCTCTTTGCTGATGACACTGTGCTCTTGGGAGATTCTGAAGAGAAGTTGCAGAGATTGGTGGATGAATTTGGTAGGGTGTGCAAAAGAAGAAAATTGAAAGTGAATACAGGAAAGAGTAAGGTTATGAGGATAACAAAAAGATTAGGTGATGAAAGATTGGATATCAGATTGGAGGGAGAGAGTATGGAGGAGGTGAATGTATTCAGATATTTGGGAGTGGACGTGTCAGCGGATGGGTCTATGAAAGATGAGGTGAATCATAGAATTGATGAGGGGAAAAGGGTGAGTGGTGCACTTAGGAGTCTGTGGAGACAAAGAACTTTGTCCTTGGAGGCAAAGAGGGGAATGTATGAGAGTATAGTTTTACCAACGCTCTTATATGGGTGTGAAGCATGGGTGATGAATGTTGCAGCGAGGAGAAGGCTGGAGGCAGTGGAGATGTCATGTCTGAGAGCAGTGTGTGGTGTGAATATAATGCAGAGAATTCGTAGTTTGGAAGTTAGGAGGAGGTGCGGGATTACCAAAACTGTTGTCCAGAGGGCTGAGGAAGGGTTGTTGAGGTGGTTCGGACATGTAGAGAGAATGGAGCAAAACAGAGTGACTTCAAGAGTGTATCAGTCTGTAGTGGAAGGAAAGCGGGGTAGGGGTCGGCCTAGGAAAGGTTGGAGGGAGGGGGTAAAGGAGGTTTTGTGTGCGAGGGGCTTGGACTTCCAGCAGGCATGCGTGAGTGTGTTTGATAGGAGTGAATGGAGACAAATGGTTTTAATACTTGACGTGCTGTTGGAGTGTGAGCAAAGTAACATTTATGAAGGGGTTCAGGTAAACCGGCAGGCCGGACTTGAGTCCTGGAGATGGGAAGTACAGTGCCTGCACTCTGAAGGAGGGGTGTTAATGTTGCAGTTTAAAAACTGTAGTGTAAAGCACCTTTCTGGCAAGACAGTGATGGAGTGAATGATGGTGAAAGTTTTTCTTTTTCGGGCCACCCTGCCTTGGTGGGAATCGGCCAGTGTGATAATAATAATAAAAAAGTTAGAAAATGTCTACAAAAGCTAAAAGAAAGGGCTTCCAGAGCTTAAAAATGAGGTGTAATGAAAGGCTAAAATCACAAAAGATGCCCTTATTGGCTGATACTGTTAGAAGGTACCATACTGTACTTATTGTAGATCATGTGATTTTTTTTTCTAACATTGTCACTCACCTCATGTACACTTTGAAGTTTACATAAAAGGGGTATTCATTTTATTTTCTGTTTTATGTGCCTATACATCAATCATTCATATTTATTTTTTCTTCTCCAAGGTGCATGAACGAGCTGAGAATTACGAACAAGCACTCTTAACTCTGAGTAAGGGTAAAGATGTTCAAGTGAGAGTAATGAAGAGAGCCCAGGTGGAGTTACCAGACACAGTTCCTGAACAAAGACAGTTGGCTGGCAGGTTGGGTTACACTCAGTCTTGTGACTGTGTAAACAAAATTGCTTATGTATGTAAATGAACACAGGATATTGTAATGGCTTAACATGAATAATTTAGTGTACAATATTTTTAATAAGTAAATTAAAATTCAGATTATTGTATAATTTATTTATGTATTTATTGATTTAATTTAATTATTTTTAGCCCAGTCATCTTACTGAAGAAGGGTGACCTAAAGAGAAGGAACACTTTATATTACATTAAATGGATGAAATCTTAATAAAACGTGTGATTGCAAATGTGTAAAAAAATACCCGTGAATATAGGAAATAAAACCTGAATGCTTTCATGTTCTTACACACACACACACATCTTCAGAGGAATGTGTGTGTGTGTGTCAGCACATCTAAACTGTCATATTCTGGGCATCTCTGCAAAGACAGTGATTATGCATGATGATGGTGAAAGTGTTTCTTCCTTTTTTGGGTCACCCTGCTTCAGTGGGAGATGGCCAGCGTGTTAAAAAAAAAAAAGCGCATGAAAGCGTTCAAGTTTTATTTCCTAGTTTCACTGTGGTATTTTTACATTACATTGAATGTATGATAGTCATATGTGCATGTTGCAGCATGTGTGGGAGGATGGCAGAGCATGCAGCAAACCAGCGTGATTATGAACAAGCGATCAAGCTTTACAAGGAAGCTCTCCAGTATGATCCAGAACATGCTCCAACCCTCCTGGCTTTAGCCAAATTGTACATGCAGGTATGTTTTATAAATTGGAGTTAATTAACAGTTTAATTCTGCATAACTACAAGTTGTATATTAGCATTACTCTCCTGTATGTAAAAATAAAATGATGAATTACTGAATATCCACAAACAAAAAATGAACCAGCGCATGAAATCTTAAAACTTTTCTAGGAACTTGTATCTCATTTTATACAGGGCAGAGTTTGTTGTATTACACATGTAATACTGTAGTGCTCATAGTGTGTTCATTTTAGGCAAGACTGAAATAAATACCTATACCTTAATACAATGTATATATTTAATTGTTGCACAGATAAATGACTTGGACCAGTGTCAGTATACATGCATGACACTGTTGAGGACAGATAAGGAGAATGATAGTGCTACAGTGATGATGGCAGACTTGTCTTACAGAAGGAATGAATATGATACTGCGATGTTTCATTTCCAGCAGCTTCTTGGTAAGTTAATTATTGTAATACAGTAGATCAATTTACATGACTGTATATTACTCATATTAGCTGTATGTAACTTTTAGTTATTCTTTTGTAGTTTTGTCTGTTATTACTTGCTTTTTTTGTTTTATAAACACATCAGCTATTTCCCACTGAGGCAGGATGACCTGAAAAAGAATAAACACTTTCATCCTCATTCGCTCCATCACTGTCTTGCCAGAGGTACACCAGTACCACAATTAAAAAAAAACAATGATTTTTTTTGTGAAGCAGCATTGCTATTATTCATTGTCATTCAAACACTTGAGTCGGCATTTGTCTTCCTTTGACTAGTGCTTGCTCCTTTTGTGTAAAATATTCTTGTGGATTTTTCTAGTGGTGCACAGGGAAAAGATTTAAATGTACATTACTGGGAGAATTTTAATTTTCTGCAAAAATTCCATTAATGTCTTTTGAAGTGAATTAAAAATGCTCCTTTTTATATGTAAATGTACGTCAACAAATGCCACAACTTATACAAGTGCAGGTTATCATATTTAAACATAACTGGCTGGGCTGGTAATATGTCCATCATAAGCATTTAAGGAGTGAAGTCAACTTATCATACAGTATTACAGTAAACCCTCGTATTACACAACCTTGGAGTGTGCAATTTTGTCTTTATATAATACAAAAATTGTTGGCAATAAATTAAATAGTATGGATAAAACTTCTTTTCTTTCAACGTACCAGCCGTATCCCACTGAGGCAGGGAGGCCCAAAAGAAAAAACTAAAGTTTCTCTTTTTAAATTTAGTAATATATACAGGAGAAGGGGTTACTAGCCCCTTGCTCCCGGCATTTTAGTCGCCTCTTACAACACGCATGGCTTACGGAGGAAGAATTCTGTTCCACTTCCCCATGGAGGTAAGAGGAAATAAACAAGAAAAAGAACTAGGAAGAAAATAGAAGAAAACCCAGAGGGGTGTGTGTGTATATATATGCTTGTACATGTATGTATAGTGTGACCTAAGTGTAAGTAGAAGTAGCAAGACATACCTGAAATCTTGCATGTTTATGAGACAGACAAAAGACACCAGCAATCCTACCATCATGTAAAACAATTACAGGCTTTCGTTGTACACTCACTTGGCAGGACGGTAGTACCTCCCTGGGCGGTTGCTATTTACCAACCTACTTCCTAGAAAACTTCTTTTATACACTGTTATTCTAAAAAAATAAATAATAGGTGAAATTTGAGTGTTTCCAAGCATTTCTTATTTCTTAACCTTTTCACTGTCAGTCCCATAATATTAAGGCTTGCAAGCAAGTGTCAGTCTCATAATATTACGGCTTGCAAGCCAGTGTCAGTCCTGTAATATTACGGCTTGCAAACCAGTGTCGGTCCCATAATATTATGCCAAAATTCTAGTGGCTTCAAATCTTGTGGGAGAAAGCTGGTAGGACTGCATATGAGAGAACAGGTCTGAGTGGTTAGTGTGCGCAGTATAAAAAAATCCTGCAGCACGCAGTGCATAATGAGGAAAAAAAACTCCAATCCGTGTTTTTGGTTTAAAACAACTTCACGGTGTATTTTTGTATGGTATTTATGGTTATATTCTCGTTTTCTTGGTTTCATTTGATAGAATGGAAGATATATTACAGAAATAGAGATGATTTTGAATGGTTTATGGACTAAAAGTACCTTAAAATTGAGCTCAAAGCAGAAATATTCAGTTTTTGCCAATGTTCAAGAGTAAACAGATCAGGTCACATGTCCAATACTTGTCAACTGGTGGGTCTAATATGCTTTCACAAATGTACTGATATTATTTATACTATTTTTACATAAAGTAGTAGTCTGCATAACAGTAAATCTAATGTTTGTGTGAATAAAAATTCAAAATAGAAAGCAAGTGTAATGTAAGAGGGGCCTGGAGACATGACTAATAAACAGAGAAAACATTATTTTAGTCCTAGGAATGTTTGTATTGTTAATTCTGGGCTATTTTGAAATTGGCCTTACTTGAATTGTGTATGAAATTGGCCAAATTACCATTTTCTGATCACTTTATTGGGTAGTTGAAATCGGTAAATGGGCGGTTTCTTGTACTCGGTCAATAGAACAGATGGAGTTCTAGCGAAATAGCTATGAGTTTGGTTGACTGGAACAATGGAATTGCATCGGCGATTTTAATCGCCGATGCATGAACATCGCTGAGACCGCTAACTTTGCGAGAGCATAGTTCTGTAAGTTTTCCATCAAATTTCATACTTTGTGCCATTACCATCAGGAAAAGATTCTCTGTAATTTCGTAAGAAAAAATAACTTTTTGTTAAATTCTTTGACACTGAGAGCAAGTTTGTGAGCAAGGGTCTCGACAATGAAAGGGTTAATTATGTCCAGTAAACTTTTCCTATTTTAAGTTAAGTAATACTGCCCATAAAGAAAATTATACACCAGTAGAAACTGTTTCACAACAGTTGAAAAAGCAAGATAGAATGCATATATGAGACCATGACAGCTTCCTATTTTAAAATTACAATTGTGCTTTTATAAACTGAGGGCCCTTGCACTTCACTGAGTTCATAAAATATTACCCATATAGTCTGCAGTGATAAAATAGTACTGACAAAGCTGGTAGTCAGAGGGTGTCATATCTGAGCTGTAGAAGAAGTTGGCCACATGATCAGAGTACTTCTGGTAAACAAACTGGTGTATGAGCAAACAGAGCAGTAGTACCCCTTACATATCCCTGTACAGATGGGTATTTACCTTTTAAATATAATGGTGATTTTTATTTTTAACAGATCGTCGTCCAGCATACTTCCCAGCCTTAGCACGACTTGTAGAGGTTATGAGAAGAACTGGAACTCTAGATGAAGCTGAACCTTATCTGGATCGAGCAGAGCAGGCTATCCTTAGACCAAGCACTGATCCAGGTTATAACTTTTGCAGAGGGTTATATGACTGGTAATTTGAAAAAAATTATTTTGTGTTGGGAGTGAAGCTAAATGCTTATAGGTGATTAGCCAGGTATAAACATGAAAATTTACTAATTATTTTTGGAAAAAATATCTGAAACAAGCCCTTTCTATGTAAATTGCAATGTCAAAGATTCAAAGTTAATTATAGAGTAAACCACACCTCAGCACTGAGGTAAAATAGTGGGTTTAAATATTTTGTCTAGTTTGTAATTACTGGTAGCGCTTTATATCTTCAGGAGCATAGTTATGCTCGTTGTGTCCTGTCTAGTTTTTAATCTCTGTAATTTTGTTTTAAATTTCAGGTGCTTGTAGCCCTTACTACCTTTTGTAACCCATTCTTTATTCTACCATTCTGTGCATAAAGAAAAACTTAATATTATCTTCACATCACATTTCAGTCATTAGTTTACAACTATGACCTCTTGTTCTTCCTTAACTATTCTTTTGCACTCTTATAAATTTGTGATAGAATTTCTTGTTTTTCTTCCTATCAGCTAATGAGAACATATTCAGTGCCTTCAGCCAGTCTTCATAAATCATATTTTCACAGTTATTTTTTTAGGTGCATATATTATACCATTGCTGCATAGTCCAGTTTCAGTCTAACATGTGTTATGAACAGCTTTAAATACATATGTAAATGCTGTTTTAAAATTTGCCAGTGAATTATTAGTTTATTCATGACTTCATTCATATTATCTTTTAGAGGCAATCTTTTGTCAGCGGTAAAAGTAAGATTATTACTTTATTATTATTATGATTATACAACATTAAAAGTACTTGCTCAACCCACACAGGTCATAGTGGTGCGGTGTGAGCAGTAAGAGTAGGGATTAGTGGAGTTGGGAGTTAGTGGAAAATTAATGTCAAAGTGTACCATCTTGTAGTGAAATCCTCAAAATTTTCTTGATTGAATAACTTTAATTTCTTCTTTTAAAGACTATGTTAAAAGAAGAGGGGCTGTTGAGGTGGTTTGGTCATTAACCCGTAAACGGTCCAAACGTTTTTTTCAACATTTGAAAGTATGTAAAAAAAGTAGATCTTTTTTTTTTTTGTACATTTGAAAACGTGTAAAAAACTTTGATCTACTTTTTTTTTTTGTTATATTTGAAAATATGCAAAAAAAACGTAATCTACTTTTGGAGCACTACGCATGTGAACGTAATTCTGCTTGGACCGTTTACGGGTTAAGAGAAAATGGAATAAAGAATGACTTGGAGAGTGTAAAAATCTGCAGGGGAAGGAAGGCAGGGTAGGGGTTGGCCCCGAAAAGGTTGGAGGGAGGGGGTGAAGGAGGTTTGTGGGCAAGGGGCTTGGATTTCCAGCAAGCGTGTGTGAGCTTGTTAGATAGGAGTGAATGGAGACGAATAGTTTTTGAGACCTGATGAGCTGTTGGAGTGTGAGCATGGTAATATTTTGTGAAAGGAGTCAAGGGAACCGGTTAGCCTGACTTGAGTCCTGGAAATGGGAAGTACAATACCTGCTCTTTAAAAGAGGGGTTTGGGATATTGGCAGTTTGGAGGTACATCTGAACTGTCATATCTGGGTGCCTCTACAATGACAGTGATTATGTACGAGTGATGATGAAAGTGTTGAATGATGAAAGTTTTTTCTTTTTGGGTTTTCCTTTCTTTTTGGGTCACTCTGCCTTGGTGGGGAATGGCTGACATGTTAAAAAAAAATTAAAAGAATGTAGATGTGTGGAAACATTTGGTGTCATATTCTCTCTGTCAACTGGGAAGACTACAGTGTTTCCTCCTTGTCTTCTCAGTGGGAGGATATAGTAGTTTCTCAGCTTTCCTTATAAGGCATCAAGGGTTTAGATAGACAGATAGCATAAAGTGTCAAAGATATGGATTGATTATATTTATAGCATCTTACATGACAGGTATTTGGGAAATCCAAATTCTGCACTCAAGTTTTTCAATAAAGCACGAAAGGATCAAGAATGGGGCCAACGAGCAATTTACAACATGATTGAAATTTGCCTCAACCCTGACAATGACACTATTGGTGGGGAGACATTTGAGACTGTGGATAGTGAGGTGAATCACTCTGGAGCAAGAGACACTCTAGATATGGCCATCAGAACAGCAGACAAGTTGCTGAAGGTATGCACTGATGCTAGTGTGTAGTGGTATTAGTTTTGCATATTAGCACTTCATACAAAAGGTTTTGTTAAATGTCAGGGGTCCTTTTTTTTCCCATCTTCTTGGTAGAGGCTTTCACACTTTACAGAAATTGGAAATTTTTATATTTAAAGAGGTACTAAACCACTAGGAACAATACAGCACCTGGGGAGAATGGGAGGAAATCAGGTTTCATCCAAAGAAGGGGAGGGCATATGTGATTCTTGGCATCAAGAGCCCCTTGCTGGCATCTAGGAACTTAACTGAGGGGGTCTAATGGGTTAATTGATAATGATGTTGAAGTCTCCAGTAAAATATATAAAAAGTTTTTTATTATGTAACTTGTGATCATTTAGCTTGTGCTGGCACTATCATGGCCATCACCAAAACAAAAGTGGTATGACCATTATTGATTAAATTTGAGATTATAAGAAACTGAGGGTCACTTTTGTTAGGATATGGTAAATTAATCTTATTGCAGATATTTCTAGTATACGTACTGAATAAATAATTGCCCTTCAGAGAGGTGTGCCGTGATGCCGGTGAAGGACTCTTGATCCAGGGAATTGGAACTACCTTCCCTGTAGTTTAAATTTGTCTCATTCCCCAGGAACTGTACAAATCCTGCAGGTTTAGTATTTCCCATATTTAGATTTTTAACACACTGAGGTAGTGACCCCAAAAAATAGAAATGCATTCACCATCACTCATGCAATAGCTATTTTACCATAAGTTGGTAAATAATAAATCCATTTAACACTAGTACAATTACTAGTACTGGAAGAAAAAGAATACACATGCCAAGGACACCAATATGAGATTAGAATCATAATAGAATCAGCATTTCAGGCAATCTTAAGCTAACTAATATTTAAAAGGTGTACAATAATTTTAAGGTTTATTCATTTTATTCATAATGTAAGAAACATTACTTATAAATACTGGGGTATCACAAGCAGCATCTTAGGTCCTTCTAATCCTTTTTTTTTTATATCAGTGGGCCAAGTGTAACCCAGCAACTAATATCAGTGCTATATGTAGATGACACCCCATGTATCACCTCAAATTCAAACTACCTTAAAGTCCTGCTCCTAAATAACATAATACATTATAAACTAAATGTAACACTACTGATAATTACTGATAATTAAATGTAACACACTGATAATTAAATGCAACACTACTGATAATTAACCGTACAAGTGTGAAACCTGTCTTGAAAGGTTACAGTACTTTTACAGTGTGCAACTTGTATGAAACTGTATGAATTAGAGGTTGTATTTATGGTAACTAATATTTCCATACTTAATGTACATCTTTATTTCTTGACATAAGTGTTACATTTTCTCCTGTTATCTACTTGTTACTCTCTTTCACCTAAAGAAATCTCTACTAGAAAAACATCCACCATATCCTCCTGTCATGCATGTGTGAAATGGAAGCACTTAGGCAGGATTGCTGGTCTTTTTTTGTTCTGGCAGATAAATCTATTTACATTTAATTAACATACATTTTTCTTCAAAGGAGGTTCTCTGAGACTGGTGAAGAAATTAGTTACTTTCTTTCCTTGGATCAGACCTATTTATCACTCTCTCCTCAGCTATTGTATATGGCCCTTCCAATTTTATTTTACTGTGTTTTTTAATAGTTCTTATTTCAGTAATATTTTCTTATTTATTTCAATACCCCCTGACTGCAAGGGTAGTGAATCCCAGAAGTATCAAGAGATAACTTATATAATTTGTCTAGTGCACTACTATTCTGAATCTTTAAACAGGAACTACACCCCAAGCCAGGAGACCAACAAATAAGTCTCCAGATCCTTACCAACTTCCTCCTGTTAGCCACCAAACAAAAGGCTAATGCTGAACGTGCACTACAGGAGTTCATGAACATTGCCAGTCAGGAGAGTTACAAGGATCATGTTGGAGCAATACTTGGCATGGCTACAGCCTACATGATACTTAAGCAGGTTAGTGGAGTATATAAACAAGCATTGTGGTAAGTGGCTAGTAAACAAATAAACATTCTTTCTGCAATATACAAAGTGTAGTTTATATGTAATAAAATATTGTTAAACACAAAGAAAGCCACTAGCATGCAGAACATGCAAATCAATTGTAGTTTATTTTTTTCCAGATACTGTCTAGATAGGGTTTTGTTAAAAGACAGACATTTTTGAACACTTGTTAATTCATTGATATATAATGCAGGAGAAGGTTCAATTGTTAGGTAAAAGGACACGTTCAAGTAATGAGATTTTATTGTGGCAATGTTTTGCCCTCCAGGAGTTTTGTCAAGTTATTACTAACTTGATAAAGCTCTTGGAGAGCAAAACGTTTCCACAATAATATGTTGCATTAGTTGCACGTGTCCTTTTACCTAACATTGTTGATCATTCCACCAACATTATTGCAAGGTTCAGATAGCTGTGGGCAAAAATTTTTCTTGCTCAATTAATTTATTGATGTAAAGTACATGGAGGAAGAATGATGAGAGTGGAAATTAATAGAAATTATAAGCAAGCGTGTTATAGCAGGTGAGAGGCAGCAAGAATATAAATGAAAGGTAGCAAGGGAAATTTGCTACTCTGGCCCATGGGCTAGTAAGTTGTTGGGCTGTTTCTTCTACCCTTGAATAGCAGTTGTGATTTACTTCCCAGTCTGAGTCACCTAGGTGATTTAGCAATATTGTAAGCATAAGTTAGCCAGAATTTATCAGAGTAGTATAGTGGTACTAGCACTTCTATTGATGTGAAGCATGGGTTTTGAATGTTGTAGTGAGAGGAGGCTGGAAGCAGTGGAGATATCATACCTGATAGCAATGTGTGACGTGAATATTATGCAGAGAATTCATAGTTTGGAGATTAGAAAGAGGGGCAGGATTACTAAGAGTATTTTCCAGATGGCTGATGAGGGATTGTAGATGGTTTGGACACAAGAGAGGATGATTTTTTTTTTAATTCATGATAAGTGCTAAACCCACTCATGTGGGTCATTCAGCGCAAAATGTGATGGAGGCTTGATCCTCCATCTGCTAAGCACAAGACAGACTTCCTATTTGTACCCTGGCTGAGTCTAGAGAGGATGAAGCACAATCAGATAACTTGGAAGGTGTATAAATCTGTAGTGGAAGGAAGGAGGGGTAGGAGCCATGATAGGAAAGGTTGGAAGGAGGGGGTAGAGGACGTCTTGTGTGAGGGGCTTGAACATCCAACAGGTATGTGCAAGCATGTTAGATAGGAATGATTGGAGGCAAGTGGTTTTTATGATTTTGATGTGCTGTTGGAGTGTGAGGAAGGTAGCATTTATGAAGGGATTCAGGGAAACCGGTTAGTCCTGGAGGTGGGAAGTACAATTCCTGCATTTTGAAGGAGGACTGGCAATATTAAAGTTTGGAGGGGTACCTACTCTGTAGTATCTGCATGCCTCTTGTAACAGTGATGGAGTGAATGATGGCAAATGTTTCTTCTTTTTTGGGGTCACCCTACATTGGTGGAAGATGACTGATTCATTAAAAAAAGTTAACCAGTTCAATAACCTGAATTGGATGAACTCCAAACATTCACCCAATTCAGGTAATGGAATGTACGGTATTGTAGGTGTGATGTTATTGGATGGGAGGGGTTATGCAGTATGAAAATGAGCTGAAAATGTAGGTTATAAAAGAAAGCTGAAGAAATGAGGTGTTTGGTATGAAAGTAACAAATACAGTAATTTGAACATATGTAAAGAATGGTGGATAATAAGATTGCATGTAAAATATGCAAGAGTAAATAAATTACTGAGGATTATGACAGGTAGACAGCCAACATCATGAAAAAAGGAAATTTGGTGGACCATACCTTACTTGAATTAAGAAAGCATTTGACACAGTACTTCACAGAATACTACTGTACTATACAGACTGCAAGAGCACAGAGAGGTAGCAAGGAAGGTACTCCAGGAGACAGTTTAAAATATTTGGGTACTTCCTCAGGGTAGCATTCCTGGGGACAGGTCATCATAGACAAAATATGAAAGAGGTAGATGATCATAAATGAGCAAGATTACGAATTAATATAAATACACTTTAAGTATACAGTACGGTATTATGATGTATTTAGTTCAAAAAGGTGTTTTTATAAACACCTGTGAATTTAACCACAAAGGTAACTTAAGAAGTGTTTGTGTTGTTTGTATAGAGCAAGCTATGGACAAAGTTCTGAGCCCTTTTTTGTAAACAACATTTACCTCATTCTGAAGAAAACATCATCAAGACTAATAGCTTGACCTTGTTTAATGTTTTCTTCATATGATTATGGTGTTATGCATGCACTTGGTAGAAAAAACACACAATAACTCATAGTACTGTATATCTGTCAAATAGCAGTGTCAGATACCTATTATTTTTCTTAACACTCTGGCCATTTCCCACCAAGGTAGGGTAACCCAACAAAGAATAAAACACTTTCACTGTCACTCAGGCACTGTCTTGCCCAAGAAGTGTTGACATTACAGTTCAGACTGCAACATTTCCACCCTCATTCAGAGTGCAGGCACTGTATTTCCTGCCTATAGGATTCCAATCTGGCTAACCAGTTTCCTAAATATTTTCATAAACGTTACATTCCTCACACTCCAATAACATGTCAGATCCTGAAAACCACTTGCCTCCACTCCTACATCTCACACAAGCCTGTTGGAAGTCCAAGTCCCTAACGTTCAACACTTCCTTTACTCCCTCCTCTAACTTTTCCTATACATGTAAATGTATTTTGTGGTTACATATAGATGATCAAATTGTTACAAAAACTACCAATATAATATAATTTTTTTAGACACCACGTGCTCGTAATCAACTTAAGCGCCTTGCAAAATCTGTCTGGAACTTTGAAGATGCAGAATATCTTGAAAGGTGCTGGCTACTTTTAGCAGATATCTATGTGCAGACAGGAAAATATGACATGGCAACAGAACTCCTAAAGGTATGATATAAAGTATATATTTTGTTTAATTGGTGTAATTTAATGTGAAAGTGATTTTCTCATTTTCTATTTAAAAAATCAATATTTGTTTTCTTATTGGAGGGAAAGGGCATTCTTTAATATCAGAGTAGACAGAATGTTCACTGTTCTGTCTAACATGTCGTGGTAGCAAAATAATCTTGGTAATTTTAGTTATTTCTCTTTTCATCTCGCTAAACAATCTTTTTTTTTTTTTTTAACACGTCGGTCGTCTCCAACCAAGGCAGGTTGACCCAAAAAGAAAGAAAATACTATCATCATCATTCATCACTTCACCTCACTCACACATAATCACTGTCTTTGCAGAGGCGCTCAGGTACGACTTAAAAAGTCAACCTCCAAACTACCAATATCCCAAACCTCTCCTTTAAAGTGCAAGCATTGTACTTCACATTTCCAGGACTCAAGTCCAGCTAACCGGTTTCCCTGAATCCCTTCACAAAATATTACCCTGCTCACACTCTGTTAAGTATATTAAGTATATATGTAATAGTCATCATTACTTGAATGCTCACATGGCTTGGTTCACCTGATTTTTAATGCAAAAACAGTTAATCTTTGTGAAATGCCATATGCTTTGGTGAGTTCACAGTACATGTATTTGCTTAGGTGATATTTGCATAATTCATTCAGTTTCCCATGTTTAAGTACCTACAGACACCTCAGGCATAGCATCTGCAAATTTTGTATTGTTGATTAATCACAAGATCTTTGTTGATAGCAGAGTCATATCAGTCAGTGGTATATGTTGTATGCTCTTGGGTCAAGGAAGTGAAGCTACTTTTCCCTTCCTTATATCAAACCTGATTACTTCCATTCCCTAGATGCTTTAAAACCCTTACAGGATTGATGCTTCCTTTTAATACAATATTCACTAATAATCTTTCACAAGTTCACACTTTGGTACACTTACATTCACGGGGAGCACTAAACTCATAGGAGTCATACAACTCCTTGGGCAGCGGGAGGCATTCAGGTTCAGTTCTTTTGATAAAGAGCCCCTCACTGGGATTAAGGAACCTCCCTTGAGGGGTTCAGTACACTAAGATTAAACAACAGGATGTTCTAGGCCAAAATTAGCTTGTAAAAATAGATGAAACTCTCCACATTCCAAAACAGGTCTCCATAAGTGTTGCTGAATCATGTCTATCAAATATGTCATGACTTTTTGTTGTTGCAGGTGAGAAAGACTAGTCAACCCTTTGAATCTTCTGGAAATTTGACCTCTGTTTCCACTTGACTTATTCATAGGTTATTCGTGTATTAACAGTTATCCCTATATTTATAGAAATGCTTTATGAATTTAAATGACAATAAATTACTCTTAGCCTTATACAGCATGAAATACAATACATTCACAAGTCTTTGAATTTCTACAAGTTATATAGACAGAAATTAGATAAAATGATGCATTAAAATTGAAAATTGACTCACACTGCCAGTCTAAAGTGCTTATCATATATCAATACCTTTTTGTTTTAGAAAAAAAAAAAATTTAAAGGTTAAAAATTGTAACAAAATATTAGCTTTTACCCTTTTTCTTAGCGGGGCCCTTGCACAAAACCCCGCTCTTGTATGAAAGCTTATGATACAGGGGCTTCTTTAAGGGAAGAAAGAACGAGCTATTTTTATGCTGCTTTTAACAAGAACGGGCCGGGAAAAATTTAGTGGCAACACAAATCCCCCCATAAATTGGGTAAGAAAATTTAGTTCTGAAATTTTGTGTTTTTTAATTTAAAAGTCTAGGGGGGTTTCCAGTCCCCCAAACATGTTTGATCATTTTTTTTTTTTTTTACAAAAATAAAAAAATTTTTTAAACAATCATTAATTTTCTCTAGTAATTCTTTTTAGGAATTTTTTTTTATGAGTCTAATACAGTGGCCCCCCCGGTTTAACGATATTTTTTTCCCTTCCCGAAGTAAAGTTCGGTGCCAGTACTGACAGAATTTTTGCCCATAAGGAATATTGTGAAGTAGATTAGTCCATTTCAGACCCCGAAACATACACATACAAATGCACTTACATAAATACACTTACATAATTGGTCGCATTAGGAGGTGATCGTTAAGCGGGGGTCCACTGTATTTAAGTATAATATTGTAAAAACATTTTGAGTAAAGAACTAATTCAAGAAAATTTACATGTGGTAGTGCCAACATTTTTTTTTTTTTTTTTTTTTTTTGGTGTGTGTATAATTCTGTATCTTTAAATTTAAAAGTTCCTCACTATTCTCAAGGATTTATAAATAAAGTTTTGATATTCATAAGTTAAAGAATATTTCATTTTTTTTTTTTTCAACAAGTCGGCCGTCTCCCACCGAGGAAGGGTGACCCAAAAAAGAAAGAAAATCCCAAAAAAGAAAATACTTTCATCATCCTTCAAGACTTTCACCACACTCACACATAATCACTGTTTTTGCAGAGGCGCTCAGAATACAACAGTTTAGAAGCATATACGTATAAAGATACACAACATATCCCTCCAAACTGCCAATATCCCAAACCCCTCCTTTAAAGTGCAGGCATTGTACTTCCCATTTCCAGGACTCAAGTCCGACTATATGAAAATAACCGGTTTCCCTGAATCCCTTCACTAAATATTACCCTGCTCACACTCCAACAGATCATCAGGTCCCAAGTACCATTCGTCTCCATTCACTCCTATCTAACACGCTCACGCAGGAAATTTCAGTCACTTTTATATTCAGCAACTTGCCATTTTCACTCTTAATTGCTGATCTGTTTGCTCCTTTGACTTCATCTTATTTCTCTCTCCAGAATGTTTGGTATATCTCAACAAAATTTGATGACAAATGCTTTAGCCATTCTTTTAGTGGCTCTTCCTGTGCAGTTTTCCATTACCATGACATTTTTTCTTATAAAGTACAGAAACAGTTCATACTTTAGTCACCTCCTATGATATGTATTTGTGAAAGGAAGAATTTTAACCCTCTCTTCCATGGAGTCAGATAAGTTAATCAAATACTTTATCTTTCTCAGGTTATAAATTAGCGTTCAACTATATGAAGGCAAGACGTTATGTTGATGCCATTGATGTTTGTCATGTTGTTCTTGCCAAGCATCCCGAATACCCAAGAATACGCAAAGATATTTTGGACAAGTCACGAGCTAGCATCCGCATATAAGCAGAAATAAAAATTACTTGCAAATATCATTCAAGGAGTCTCAAGATATTCAGTGAAATGTAATCAGTATATTTAATAATGTTTTTTCTTCATTATTTTATGTACAGTTGAATCCCATTATCATAAATACCTTGAGGCAAAGGCAGTGTACTATAATCAAATTTCTGTCTTTAATGTTTAGGAAAACTCTTAATACCTTACCACCACCAAAAGATAGTAATAATTAATAATGCAGTACTTATCTACACAAAGAATGAAGAATAATTGTTTCAAGTTGAATAAATTCAGGTTTATCAAGGATATAGGAGAGTATTATTTAACAATAGAGTTGAACATGAGTAGAACAATCTGCCAAGGAGTCACTGAAGCTAGCAATTTGAGGACTTGCTCAATAGGCCAGTAAGCCTACTACATTGTGCCTCTTGTGGTTCGATATAAAAGGGAGTATATATTAACCATTGTGAAGTTAAGAGTGACAAGTGTTTCTGAATTCAGCAGTCCAGTGTTGCAGATAGTTATTTTTTACTGTCTTATGGGTCTGACTCTTAAGAAAAAAATACATTTCCATTTTGAAACATTTAAGTCTGGAAAAGCAAAATTTGTTAACACTGAACCTGTGTATACTTGCCTTTGTGGTTGCAGGGGTCAAGTCTCAGCTCCTGGCCCCACCTCTGAACTTGCCACTTGCCAGATTCACTCACTCCTAGCCATGCCTGCTCTCAACTATGAATGGCAGGTGCCTCCATTACTTACCTAGATTATTTAACTTTCCAACCACTGACATACACATGTATGTGTGGGCAGTGTTGGTGACAGTGACTGTAGTGATGTAGTATCCCCTGGCACTATGATCAGTGTTTTATAGGCATTACAGTATAGTGACACCTTGATTTAATGGACTAATAGAAAGTAGAAGGCATCCAGTAATACCATTTATGTACCACTAAATCTGAATGGTAGGATAAGTTTTCCAGTCATAATAATAATTGACAATTCTGGAAACGACAGACTTCGTCCATTAGATTTAGGTTGTGCTGTGTCTTACAACATAAAATATTATGCACTATTACTACACACTGTTAATATTAATGAAAAGTAGAGTTGCACATAACTGTATTTATCGAATCATATTTTTGTAAGAATATATGAGGTAATGGATTTAGCAGCTATGTTTGTAATAATAGTGCGAGGTTATTTACATCATAATTTTCTCTAGTCATTATTGTGATAATGCAATGTAGAATACTGTATGGTATTACATAAAACATTGTTAGGCACATAAAATGAAGCCTTGTGTTCAACATTTGTTTTTCCTTTAATTATTATTTTTAGATGACTCATGAATAACTGAAAATTAATGAGCAACTAAAAATTATACAATCATCATATCCTGTTATACATACAGTATCCTATGTTTACTTAAAAATTTATTAGTTTAAATGGATCAAACTATATTGCATACAGGTATATGGAAATATATAAAACATCATTCAAATAAAAATAAAATTCTACAAAATTAATTTTTAATAAAGATACTGCTGTTAAAATGGCTGACTTTTAACTACTGTTACAAGTCATATCCATCTTAACAGCAGATATGCTGTATGACCCTTATGGGTTTAGTGCTTAGTTATGATTGTAATAGCAGATATGAACAAATGTCATTCAGTGCAACGTATGTAAGCATTACTGATACACTAAACCTGTATGAGAGACACAGCAGCCCTGCTTGAGACAAGATTTACCCATATTTATTATAAACTTAAAAATATTTATTAAATATTTTTGTTCTATTTTCATATATATTAAAGATTTTTTTATTGGGTTGTGGCATTATACAAAAGACTTAAGGAGACAAATGATTCAGTAGTTGTAGTCCTCATAACAAAATGCCCTTTGAGGCCAAGACTTAGAAGAGCTATATGACCCATCAAATGACACCCTGGATAAAATACATTAAAATTTTTTGTCAAATGGTTCCGTCACAAATGTAAGAAAATATTTCAAGTATTAAAATTAAACAAAATACATTATAGCAACACTGAGACATGTTAACCATAAAGACACCACATTGCATATATGTTTGTAATTGTGTTGTACACACCTGTTTATTTTCCAATATTAAACTTGAATGCCTCACATTCCCACTCACCTGGGCGCTGTATAACCTATGGGTTTAGCGCTTCCCCCTTGATTATAATAATAATACACCTGTTTGTCTGACATCTCTGCAATAAAATATGATTTCAGAAACAAGTTTCTTTATGCATTCCATAATTTGGTTATTATTAAAATGATAAAAGTCCTTTCTAGGTAGTAGGTTTGTAGACAGCAATCACCCAGGGAGGTACTACTGTCCTGCCAAGTGAGTGAGACAAACCTGTAATTGTTTTACATATCTATTTCTGCAAGTACATGTACAAAGTATACTGGCCTAGTTGACATCAATGACATACAATGGTACCTCAAGTTACAAACTTAATTTGTTCCAGAAGGATGTTTGAGTGCCGATACCGAACAAATTTGTTACCATAAGGAATAATGTAAACTAGATTAGTCCATTTCAGACCCCCAAAAATACACTTACAAAAGCACTTACAAAAATACACTTACATAATTGTTCGAGTTGGGAGCTGTTCGAAACTCGAGGTAGTACTGTCCTACTATATCGCAAGATGTTTGTTATGCAGAGCATTTCAGGCAAATTAGGTCAATTTTGTCCCAGGATGCGACCCACACCAGTTGACTAATACCCAGGTACCCATTTTACTGATGGGGAACACAGACAACCGGTGAAAAGAAACATGCCCAATGTTTCTACCTTCACTGGGAATCAAACCCGGACCCTCGCTGTGTGAAGCGAGAGCTGGTAGAGTCTTTTTCTTTTTCATCGCAAACATGTGGGATGGTATCCCGCATGTGGTACGTGTTGGTAAACAATGGCACACTGAGCATGAATGGCGTGGGAGACTGGCTTGGTGTGCGCGGTGACAGGCGGATGGGTATCGGACGGTCGCCGAATCATGAGTCTAATCGCGAAACTCGAGGCCAAATTTTGCCAAAAAAACTTGCCGAAATTCGAATTTCACGAAGTCGATGCTGCTGAAACTCGAGGGTCCACTGTATTTATAAAAGCAGGGAGAGCATGCATACACCTAAGTAAAACATTATACTGTACTTATCTGGACCTCAATGCAAGAAATGTGCATTAAATAAACAATAAATAAGTTAGCTAAATCAGAACAATAAACTGTACGGGGTATGTTTTTGAAATGTAATAAAATACATAAATAATGATAAAAATTCCTTAATCTTTCATTTGTGAAATACTTGTAGTATTTTTTTTAATTTAAACCTTGTAATTTAAGAGTTCTTTGTTTATTACAAATATAAAAACATACAGTACAGGTTGGCCATCAGTTATCCGGTTCCATCAGTAATCCGGCACTAACTGTGGCATTATTTCATCATTATACTGACTCCGAAATTGTGCAGATGGTTGTAAATCCACAACAGCAAGCCAGTGGAGGAGAAAGCAGTGATGAAAATGAGAAAGATGTAGCAGAGTCTCTATTGATAAGTTAATAAAGTGTATTCTAACCTAACCACTATGTAATCCGTCAAACTCACTAATCTGGCACACTACAGGTCCCAATGATGCCGGATTAGTGATGGCCGACCTGTACATGTAATTTACCATCTTAAAATAAAGATGATTATGATTCTGGGTATAAGCATTAAGTCTCAAACAATGAAGACTGTTTAGTGCTATAATGGTTTCTCACCCATGATTACAGGCTTTCTTAAGTCATATTCTTTCTTGATATCCTCAAGGTCTTGGTCAGCATTAATAATTAGCACTGGGGCTGGAGGTTCTTTGGGTTCGTGATTCAGTAACCACTTCTCGTAATAATTGTGAACCTGAAAAAGAAGAAATGGTTAATAATAGATATATGATCAGTGATACCAACTAGATAAGAAACTACATTTCCTTTCTCCAGAATCATGACAATGTAAATAGACTTACAGTGGACCCTCGGTTATCGGCTGTAATCTGTTACAGAAGCTTGGCCTAAAACTGAAATGGCCGAAAACTGAAATAATATTTCCCATACGAATGAATGTAAATACAATTAATCCGTTCCAGACAAAAATATTCACCAAAAAATAATTTTTTTAACAATTAAATCAGTATTACATACCTTTATTGAAGACTAATGCTGGCTTCTGGAATGCCTGCTACACTTCCTGCATGCCTGCTACACTTCCTGCATGCCTGCTACACTTCCTGCATGTCTGCTACACTAACAGCATGCCTGTTACACTTCCTACATGCTTGCTACACTTCTGGTATGTCTGTTACACTCCCTGCATGCCTGCTACACTTCTGGCATGTCTGCTACACTTCCTGCATGTCTGCTACACTCCCAGCATGCCTGCTACACTCCCTGCATGCCTGCTACACTTCCTGCATGCCTGCTACACTTCCTGCATGTCTGCTACACTTCCTGCATGTCTGCTACACTTCTTGCATGTCTGCTACACTCCTTGCATGCCTACTGTACTTCCTGCATGCCTGTTACACTTTCTGCATGCCTGTTACACTTCCTGCACGTCTGCTAGACTACCTGCATGCCTGCTACACTCCCTGCATGCCTGCTACACTCCCTGCATGCCTGTTACACTCCCTGCATGCCTGTTACACTTCCTGCATGCCTGCTACGCTTCCTGTATGCCTGCTACACTTCACGCTTAAATTCCATGGTGTTTCTCACTTTCTTTACCACAGGAACTTTACTAGGAACTTTCTTTGGAGCCATGGTTACTTATTTCACAGTTACACTACAAAAAACCCACAAAAAACAATGGAAAACAAGCAAAATGTTTGGATGTATGAGCAAACGCTTCCTCATGCACCAAAAGACACGGCCAAACTGAGGTGCCCCAGCTAGCGGACGGACGCGTCCGAAATGGCCAATCGCCGAAATAACGGCCGATCACTGAGAGCCGAAAAACCGGCCAATCACAGAGTTGACCGATAACAGGCACGGCCGATAACCAAGGGGTCACTGTATAGTACAATAAAAATACAATAAATGCATCATTAAAGATGACTATAACTATTACTCCTGTATTACTGAAGCAATTTCATAAACCCTATTTTCAATAATAATACTTCACCAATCAACCCTGGTTAACCATTCTGACAACAGTTATTTTAACATAATGGTTGGAGGTTGCTTGTATGTATGCATCAGAAAGTTATACAGTGGTCCCCCGCTTTTCGTAGTTCCCGGCAATCGTAAAATTCGCCAATCATAGGGGTATTTTCGTATAAACATGGACTCGCTTTTCATAGGTTGACTCGCGAGTCGTAGTTCGTCCGGGACGCGTACGCACGGCGTGGGCCAGGGCGGCAGCCAGTCTGGCATTGTTTACCAGTGAGCGAAGGTCCCCTCGCGTGCTCCAGCAAAATATTTCATAATATTCCATTTATTTTAGTGCTTGCAAGTATTAAATAAGCTACCATGGCTCCAAAGAAAGCTCCTAGTGCCAAGCCTGTGGTAAAGAAGGTGAGAAATACGATTGAAGATGTGGATGTGGAAGAATTGGTGGAAGACCACAATGAAGAGCTCACCACTGAGGAGCTGCAAGAGCTTCAGCAGGAAGAGCAACACATCGCAGCTCAGAATCTTGCTGCAGAGGAGGAGGAAGAGAGATGGAAGAAGGTACCTTCTTCAGAAATTAGAGAGATTTTTACTATGTGGGGTAAGATGGAAAGCTTTATGGAGAAACATCACCCTAACAAGGTTGTTGCAAGCCAGGTTGGCAACATGTACAGTGACAAAGTCTTGGGCCATTTTAGGGAAGTGTTAAAGAGACGCCAGAAACAGAGCTCTCTCCACAGTTATTTTGTGAGACAGGACTCCAGTGACTCTCAAGGCGGTCCTAGCGGCATTAAGAAACAGAGAAGAGAAGCAACCCCAGAAAAGCAAATGGTACCTGAGGTGTTGATGGAAGGGGATTCCCCTTCCAAACTATAAACAATCCACTCTCTCTCCTCCTCCAGTCTTCCATACACTAAGAAGAATCTCCAATAAAGGTAAGTGTTATGCTGTTAATGTTTCATTCATCATTTCCCATTGTATTGTTTATGTACTACATGTACATTTCATGTTAAAATTTTTTTTGTTTTAATACTTCTGGGTGTCAGGAACGGATTAATTGTATTTACATTATTTCTTATGGGGAAAATTGATTCGTAAATCGTAAATTTCGTTTATAGTAACAGCTCCAGGAACGGATTAATTACGAACAAAGAGGGACCACTGTATTAAGGAATTCTATCTGAAGTACCCATTCTGGTGTATATGATCCTTTATTGGCAATGTTTTGCCAATAAAGGTCTGAGACCGTGGCCCAGTCTGAGACCAGGCCACGGATCAGGGTCTGATCAACCAGGCTGTTACTGCTGGCCGCACGCAAGCTGACGTACGAACCACAGCCCGGTTAAGTAAGGTACTGACTTTAGGTGCCTGTCCAGTGCCTTCTTGAAGACAGCCAGGGTTCTATTGGTAATCCCTCTTATGTATGCTGGGAGGCAATTGAACAGTCTTGGGCCTCGGACACTTATGGTGTTGTCTCTCAGTGTACTCGTAGCACCCCTGCTTTTCATCGGGGGAATGTTGCATCTCCTGCCGAGTCTCTTGCTTTCACATGGAGTGATTTTCATGTGCAGGTTTGGTACCAATCCCTCCAGGACCTTCCAAGTGTATATTATCGTGTATCTCTCTCTCGCCTGTGTTCGAGGGAATACAGATCAAGGACCTTCAACCGTTCCCAGTAGTTTAGGAGCCTTATCGCGCTTATGTGTGCCATGAAAGTTCTTTGTACACTCTCCAGGTCAGCAATGTCACCAGCCTTGAAGGGGGCTGTTAGTGTACAGCAGTATTCCAGCCTAGGGAGCACATACGATTTGAAGAGAATCATCATGGGCTTGGCATCCCTAGTTTTGAAGGTTCTCATTATCCATCCCATCATTTTATATCTCAGCAAAATAAATTCTTCAAGGAAGTGCTCTGATGCCAGCAAAGAAAGGGTTCTCAATCCATGTAACTGGAACTACCCTGCCCTTCCCAAGAACAATCCTACTTACTCTCCATTCAACATATGCTATATGACTCTTACCTATGATATATCTGTGACTGACTTTGAAACTGTTTCTACTACCACAGCCCAGCCTGGGGCCAGGTATCTCTTGTGGTTGTCTGGTCAACCAGGCTGTTGGTGTTTATAGTCCACTGGCCTCATAGTCACCACAGCCCACTGATGTTGATACCAAGTTCTCATACTGTATTCATGGCTCCTCTGGTTCCCAATGGATTTGGTAATGTGCAGGTCTTCTGGTATCTATGTAAATAGTATTCTAGGTGAACAGTCTTACCATTGGCAATATTTCTCTTGTTTTGTAAGTTCTTATTATCCACCCAACATTCTTCTACCAATTGCAACATTTGTCTTTTAGTGTTCTCTAAAGTCTGCTAACATCATTATACTTGGGTCTTTCACATGTTCTTTTCTATCTTTCTATCTCTGTGTTTTGTTTACCATGTACCTTCTGAGGAATTTTTTTTTTGCATGAGTGAGCAGTCAGAATCTGTCACCATTGAACACAATGCTGTCTTCCACTGCCCACTGGCAATTTTTCCATGTCCTCTATCAACGTGACTTTCATGCTCATTTTCATTTTTAACACACTAAGGCAGGGTGAGAGATGGCCAGCAACACCAGAAATAGAAAAACACTTTCATCAACATTCACACACAATCTGCATATGATACAAAGCTGTGGCAAGTATTTTTTATCTGCATCTTCTCTGAAGATGATAAAAGGTAAAGGTGCCAGGACTATTCATTGGGATTAGGGTGCTTTCCTGGGAAAGTGGAAAAGAATCCTTTCTCCATAAGCCATGTGTGTAAGAGGCAACTAAAATGCTGGGAGCAAGGTGCTAGTAACCCCTTCTCCTGTATCAATTACTAAATTTAAAAAAGAATAACTTTCATTTTTCTTTTTAAGTCACCTGCCTAGGTGGGAGACTGCTGGTACATTAAAAAAAAATGAACAAAATAAAGTAACAATTTAATTTGTATTTACTCCTGTGGACTGCCAGCTGTTTTCCCCCCAAATCCTCAAAAGCCAGTTTACACCACTCTCTAGTACAAAAACCACATGCCACCTTCACCAGTGATTTTTTTTTAACATGCTGGTTATTTCCCCACCAAGTCAGGGATGCCCAAAAATAAACACTTTCAACATCACTGACTCCATTACTGTCTTGCCAAAGGAATGCCTATACTACAATTCAAAAGTGCATATATTCCCTCCTTGAGTGTAGGCACTGTACTTCCCATCACCAATCATATAATATTAAAATTTTGTACAACTAATGCTTTCATTACGACACTTTTCAAATGTCCCCCTGCCACCCTCTCCCATTTTTTTTTTAACTGAAGCATTAAACTCATATAGGTCATTCAAAGTAGGTAGTAGGTTGGTAGACAGCAACCGCCCAGGGAGGTACTACCGTCCTGCCAAGTGAGTGTAAAACGAAAGCCTGTAATCGTTTTACATGATGGTAGGGTTGCTGGTGTCTTTTGTCTGTCTCATAAATATGCAAGATTACAGGTAAGTCTTGCTACTTCTACTTACACTTAGGTCACACTACACATACATGTACAAGCATATATATACACACCCCTCTGGGTTTTCTTCTATTTTCTTTCTAATTCTTGTTCTTGTTTATTTCCTCTTATCTCCATGGGGAAGTGGAACAGAATTCTTCCTCTGTAAGCCATGCTTGTCGTAAGAGGCGACTAAAATGCCGGGAGCAAGGGGCTAGTAACCCCTTCTCCTGTATATATTACTAAATTTAAAAGGAGAAACTTCAGTTTTTTCTTTTGGGCCACCCCACCTCAGTGGGATACGGCTGGTACGTTGAAAGAAAGAAGGTCATTCAAAGCAAGAAATATATGAAGCTTCATCCTCTGTCCACTATTCACGAAATCAACTCACTACCACTCAGCATCCACTTATCTCTACCTTCCCTTTGTTAAAGTAAATATCTGTCAAGTGAAATTTCATATAGTAGGGTCTGCCTGCACAAATATCTACAAGAAAAATGGGAAGTCAAGTCAATAGATACCCACCACCTGTAAGTATTCAAGGGGGACACCAGCCTCCTCAGATCGACCTCTCCTTAGCATCCTGCTGTGTACTATTTCAGGCGTTGATCTCAAGTACACTGAAAATAGCAAAAATAAATTGATTAAATTATAACATATGTAGTTAATTTCATACATTCATACAAATGAATAAAGAAAAAAATGATAAATATTGAAACTGTACAGAGAAATTCATTATTTAAAACAGTGCTCAGCCTTCTAGCAGAAGTACACTTTTTTTTTTTTTAAACGCACTAGCCATATCCCATTATATGTGCTAAATTCAATACACTGGAAAACACATTCAGGTCATAGACACATTTTTGGCCTTATTCATTAATGCTTGTTATTTTTGTAATGTTGAGTCCAGCACAATCATGACCATCCACTGCATACACTGTCTTGACAAGGTGCAATAAAAAAAGTTGCATTATTTTCCCAAATCTATGTTGAATAGTACATCATATCCTTGTATTAACTTACTGGTTATTATTATTATTATTGTTATAATCAGAACTAAGAGCTAAAGCTACCAGGGTCATACAGCACTTACTGGTTATAATAATGCCACAGCATGGTGGTATAAATCAGATATTACTATAGTAAAAATCACTAAAGAGCTAATATAAAAAACTATTTTACTGTATATAAATGTTACTCACCAATAAGGTCAATCCCAATGTCCAACTGGGACTCCAGTAATTCATAGTATTCACACAAAACACTGTACTCAGCATCTTTAAGATGTCCACAGTCATGGCCGCTCTCCACAAAACAGTATCTGAAAGTTTATTATGAACTAATTATTTTCATATTTATTCTGGTCAACACAATTCAACTTTTACTACTGCTAAGATACAACTGTAAGCACTTACCTGGAGTTTACCTGGAGAGAGTTCCGGGGGTCAACGCCCCCGTGGCCCGGTCTGTGACCAGGCCTCCTGGTGGATCAGAGCCTGATCAACCAGGCTGTTGCTGCTGGCTGCACGCAAACCAACGTACGAGCCACAGCCCGGCTGATCAGGAACCGACTTTAGGTGCTTGTCCAGTGCCAGCTTGAAGACTGCCAGGGGTCTGTTGGTAATCCCCCTTATGTATGCTGGGAGGCAGTTGAACAGTCTCGGGCCCCTGACACTTATTGTATGGTCTCTTAACGTGCTAGTGACACCCCTGCTTTTCATTGGGGGGATGTTGTATCGTCTGCCAAGTCTTTTGCTTTCGTAGTGAGTGATTTTCGTGTGCAAGTTCGGTACTAGTCCCTCTAGGATTTTCCAGGTGTATATAATCATGTATCTCTCCCGCCTGCGTTCCAGGGAATACAGTTTTAGGAACCTCAAGCGCTCCCAGTAATTGAGGTGTTTTATCTCCGTTATGCGCGCCGTGATACAAAAAAAATTATGCTCTAAATTACTAGAAAGCAATACTGTAGGTACATTTCTAGGCTGGATACTTTGATGAAGAGCAGCTCTTAATGCAAGGAATCAGAGAAACCCTCTATTTCCCTGAATTAATTTGATCGTCTCCCATTCCCAGGTGCTGCAGAACCATTATGGGTTTAACACTTACCATGGCTATAATAATAAGTCTGTATAGAAGAAGTGCATTAGACATTACAATAAACATTTGAAAAAATATATCAAATTCAATCAATCTCACTGACATAATAATGTAATTACCTATTTTTAACTACAGGTGCAGTAGTTTATAGCATTCCATCTTCAGTATTTCAAGCAAGTGCAGCACTTACCACCTCCAGCTGAGTGAAGAGTAATACAGTTACTGTATGTAACGTACGTACGTACATACATGCATGTGTGAGTGCGTGTGCATGTCTCATGGTACGTAAGTAAGTTTATTCAGGTATACACAAATACAGTTACATGGAATATCATGCATAGTAGAATATGTAAACAGAACCTAGGATAAACCAAAAAAATCAGACAGAGTGACTTATTAAACATTCACTTTGCACTAACTGATCCATATGTTTAATTCTTTTCTACCACAACACTAAAAATTAAAAATTGTGGCAGTGCCCCTGTATGGTTTATACGACTACACTGCAGCAGAAACTGCTAAACATGACAGTGCCCCTGGAATGACTGGCCTGATCTACCACATTAGGAAATGGAATAAGAGATGAATATGATAAGAAGTTAGTGACAAAGTAAAACCATTAACAAGTTTCCTTGCCAAATAGCAGATTAGCAAAGTTATTTCACTCAAACTATTGTGGCTTATACTTGTAGGTTACTTGTGAACATTTCTTAAATCTTATTATTAATCAGTAACTTATAAATCAAAGAGAATTTATATAGAATTTTTCTGTAAACAGTACTGAACTGAACCTCCTCAGCTCATTAATTGTGAAATTTACAGATACAAAACTTGTACTATTTATTGTGTGTAAGTTTCAGACCCCCTTACCCATATATAGTCCTGCATTAATGTAACTTCTAACCCATGGAATGGGTGGAGACTGAACTCATGGAAAATGAGGACTCACTTGCCAGGGGTTCAGCCTCCGGCTGTTCTGTGATTTGTTTGCAATCGTGTTATTATAATTTTTTGAGTCATAACTTCTAAACCATATTTTATAAATTTTAACACATAAAAGTAAAACCTCTATATTGGAGCCTCATCCAGCATGGAAAAAAATCCACCAAATTACTCTTGAACACCTAAAACAAAGAATTTTTTTAATACTGATTTCCAAAACAGAAAGCAAATCTTTCATATTTCTCGACTGAATTTTATCACAAAAATCTGAGCTCGCCAAACACATACCAAATGATAATATATATAAAACAGAAATGCAATTGGTTACTAAACAAATGAAAAAATGAAATCCAAAATTCATTCATTATTCCTATACAATTAACAATCAGAATCAAACATACTTCTTGACTTATTATTAATAAGAAAAAAACAGGCATAACACACATGCCATAAGTTGTCATACCAAAAAAAAAAAAAAACTCTACAGTTAACACCCACTATACATGCAACCACCCAGCAACACTTCCTGTAATATCACAGAGTGTAAAACTAACCATGAAAGACTAGATTTAGAGAATATGGATGAAATGAATACTGAGGTTTCATTGTACAGAATAATATATTTAAATGAGGTGTAGTAACATATGGGAAGTGCAGTTATTAGAGCCAAAAATCAAGCTTGCAGATCACCTCATATACTGTAAACAAGTCAGAGTGTTAGGAGCCCAATCTGGAGATCATAGCATAATAGTACAGTAATGAATCAAACTCTTACAAACTTTTATATTATTATATGGCCATTCATAATTCATAAATGTTACATAGTTCAATATAAATTTAATAATGCAAAAAAAAAAAAAGCAAAAAAATTGCATCTTTGGTCATTTGTACTGTATAAATTAATAATTTAATTAATGATTAATGATTTAAACTGAAAAATAATACAGCATCTAATAACATTTTCACACTGTTCTCCAAATAATAGTACATTAGATACTGAAATGATAAAATACGACTGATATGGTAATCTCGCGTCATCCTCCCAAATCTGGAATTTAAATTTTTTATTTGGAATAATTTCTGAAATTGCATGTTTTCCAAAGAGCAAAAGTGTAATAAAGGATTTATAAAATACTATATACAGTACAAACATTATCCCTCAGTCTAAAGCAAGATTCGAACCTGCACACTCTGCAGGTTTGAAGCCAGATCCCAGATCAGGCTTTGTGGATAAAGTACTGTGTACTTTGATGCAGAGTGTGCAGGTTCAAATCCTGCTATCGACTGAGAGATAATGTTTGCAAATAATTTCCCTCATTTACGAATTGTTAAGCAAAATATTATACATACAACACTATGAGAGAGATGTGGCAAGACCTCTAATGAAAGGACAAAGGCAGCAATTTATCCTAATGCACCAAAATGTAGTGATACAAACAAAAGCTAAAGTGCAATGTTTATAAATGGACATACATTTGAATGCTGAATGTGTTATAGGCAACAAGATATTGCTGGAGGAATCATTATAAACCAGGCTCAGTAGAACAGTTTTGACTGACAAAAGATCTTGAAGGGCTGGAAGTATGATCTTTGCCCTGTATGCCACTTATAGTATGAATTTCTTAACAGTATATTAAGGTCCCTGTACTTAGAGAGAAGATATAGTACACATGAATAGGAAATGGGACTGTCTGGCACCTAATCCTCCCCATTTTAATGTGCTTCTGATGCTAGTGAAGGGTTCTTGATCCAAGGAATTGGAGCTACCCTTCCCCCATCATCAGATCAACCATGATTATGGTATCCTCCTTCCTCCTTTCCTCTACCATTTCTCAGGTGCCTTATGATCTTGATGGCTCTGGTGCTTCTCCATGAAGTTAATATTGCAATATCCATTTTTACATAAAAAGAAAGACCAAATTTTTAAAATTAAAAAGCAGAAGCAATTAAAACAATGCAAGTGAACTTTCAAAGCACTTGTTATTAACTCTATGATTTGCAAACGCTTATGTTCTAACAGAAGAAAAATACAAAAGAAGTTACCGATTATTTTGAAGAGATCTCTCAATTAATTTGACGGAGCTGCTGCTCTGCTGGAGGTGTATGTTAAGGCGGGTGAGCTGAACATATGACTGAAAGAGGAAGCTCCAACGTTCAGGATCCTCATATAGCTTCCCTAAGAGATTGTGGCCTTTAAGATTGGTCCATAAATCAATAGGTTCCTGGAATATTTGTTATTCTTGGTGGAATTCTCTTATATCATATACTTTTTATCAATTTTATATACAAAATTTTAACAACAAAGCATACTGCTAAACATGATCAGAAACATTCCAATATGTTAAACCTACTGAGATGAGATTGTAAAAAAGTGAATGATTGGGTGTTGGGGATTATTATTATTATTATTATAATCAAAAAGAAGCACTAAGCCACAAGGGCTATACAGGGGTGTTGGGGAGAGATGAGAGTTTGGAAGATGATGAATCGGACGCAGAGTGGGAATTGTTGCAGTTGTTCGCTGCAGATGACAGTTTTTTTTGGGAGATTCTGAAGGAAAGCTCCAAAAGTTAATACAGGAATTTGGAAAGGTCTATCGTATCTGTGTGACTCTGGCAAGATAGTGATAGTGTGAATGACGGTGAAAGTGTTTCTTTTTTGGGTCACCCTGCCTTGGTGGAAGAGTGCCACCCTATTAAAAAATGTAAAAGAAAGAAATTAAGTGTCTATAGAAAAGAGCAAGGTGATGATAGTTACAAAAATTAAACAATGAGACTGGAGGGAGGGAGTATGGAGGAAGCAAATGAATTCAGATATTTGGGAATGGACATGAAAGATGAGGTAAATCATAGAATACATGAAGGGAAAAAGATAGGTAGTGTGATGAGACATCTTTGAAAAGAAAACCTTGCTTTGAGCTTCAAATAGTAAACTAGAAAACCTTGCTTTGAGCTTCAAATAGTAAACTAAAATAGACAGTGACAGCCAGTTCATTTATGTTTGATCTGGTACAGTGAAAGGAAACTGTGGTTTCAATGGTAACACATTCATCATCATTTATTAATAGCTGTCTTGCCAAGTATGCTGACATCACAATTCAAGTAACCTTCTGAACTGCAACATTCTCACCCTTCCTTCACAGTGCAGGCACTGTACCTCCCCATCTCCAAGACTCTAGTCCAGCTAACCAGTGTCCCTAAATTCTTTCATAAAAGTTACCTTGCTCATACTCCAACAGCACAACCATTAAAAAACCACCTGTCTCCATTCACTCCTAACACACTCACACATGCATGCTAGATGCTTAAATCCTTAAAACTCAAAGCTTCTTTTACCCCTCCTTCCAATCATTCTTGGGATGTCCCCCTAGCCCTCCTGCCTTCCTAACCCTCACCAACCTCTCTACATGCCCAAATCACCCCATTTTCAAGTTAAAACAGAGATTTTAATCCTTAGCTAAATTATGTTTTCCCTACTGTTTGTTACCCTTCCCTAAGGGTCAACACCTGTGGGAAAATTCATTATTACCCTGTATATGAAAAGAGTAATGATAAACTGTTTTATAGCTTTAACTGAATCTATATGCTCTACTTGAATGTTTACATTCCACTACAAATGAGACTGTTACAGGTGGTAGAAAGGCAGCCAGACTTGAGGCCTGGAGGTAAAAGTACAGTACCTGCACTCTGAAGGAGGGTTAGGGATGTTGAAGTTTAGAGGGTTATTTGACCAGTGATGTTGGCACCGTTCTGGCAAGACGGTGATAATATGAATGACAGTGGAGATATTTCTTCTTTTTCGAGTCACCCTATCTTGGTGTGAGACGGGCAATGTGTTAAATTCACCATTATTCATTTAACTGCTATCTTGCCAGAAGTGTGCTGACATCACAGTTCAGATTACCCTGATATTTATTACAAATCCAGTGATAAGGTATTCTTGCATTTGAACTTTTCAAGCATTTCAGAAAAAACTAGGAATACCAAGCACATGTAAATCAACAGGTGAAAGTCTAATTAACTATTCTTACTATAAATTTGTCTAGTAACATATTTTGAGACTAAAAATTCAGATATATTTTCTAGTTTTATGATTCAACAATGGCTAGAGCCAACTTCACTTCAACTCACTTGATGAGTTATCACTCCAGGTATGGCTGAGAAGTAATTCAAGAAGGTAGATTTACCACTACCAATATTTCCCTCTATGGAAACTGTGAAAGGACGTGATCTTATCTTGTTCTCTTTTAAATCCTGAGAAATAAGAAAACTTTTAATTTTTGTAAATGGTATATAGGTATAGTTAAGTATGAACAGAATAAAAATGGCAAGGCTAAATCTATAAATATTTGGGCATGAAGCTAGAGAATTACAGTGCAGTATAAAAAATTGCAACACACTAAAACATATTACAGTACAGTATACAATAATACTGAGACAGAGCATGCTAGATTAAAGATATTCATAATATTAAACATTTTAATGGCATTCTCTTTACATAATATACATTTAATTTTTATTTTTAAAGATCACTTACCTTACAAAAGATCACAAGAATATCAGCCATTTTTGTATGGGTAACTAACTATCGTTCCAGTCACGGTATTGTGCCTTTTTTGTTATTTTGTATGGGTAAAAAGTATAATGGGTTTCAGAGTAATACAGTACAATATATGTAAAGCAAAACTGAGATCAAGTTATTCCAAGACGAAAAGATACATAACAAAACCATCAAGGTAAATGTTCAACTTAATAAGATACAGTCGGTAACTATTAATATTTTGTGATGGGTTAAAGAGTATGACAAAGCACAATATTCAAAGTACATTCTTCTTTTTCTTACGAAGGAAAGATTCTTATTCCACTTCCCCATGGATATGAAAGGAAAAGCAATAAGAACAAGAACTATTAAGATAAAATTAAAGAAAACTCTGATGAGTGTGTATACATAAACGTTTGTAGATGAATGGTTAAGAGAACCGACATGTTGATAAATTAGACACATGTGCAACTCTTGGGTATCTTTATTGAGGAAACGTTTCACCACACAGTGGCTTCATCAGTCCATACATAGGAGAAACTTGAAGAACAGGAGGAGAATGAGGTAATCAGTCCCTCAAGATTGATGGACTGAACACATCGACTCAAGGTTGAGGGACTGATTACCTCATTCTCCTCCTGTTCTTCAAGTTTCTCCTATGTATGGACTGATGAAGCCACTGTGTGGCGAAACGTTTCCTCAATAAAGATACCCAAGAGTTGCACATGTGTCTAATTTATCATACATAAACGTGTACATGTTTGTGTAGTGTGACCTAAGTGTAAGAAGAAGTAGCAAGATGTACCTGAAATCTTGCATGTTTATGAGACAGAAAAAAAGACACCAGCAATCCTATCAACATGCAAAACAAATACCTGTGGCTCACACCACTCTCTCCATGCAACAAAAAGCTGTACAGATGTGGGGCTGTTGCCAGGGAAGCCGGGATAACCAGATCTTTGACCTTGACTGCTCAGAACAAAATTTTCACAAAAATCAAAAAACAAGAAAGAGATTTTACAATAAATTGAAATAGGAAAATTTGAAAAATATTAGTATAGTATATGCAGTCATAGTATTCCACTATATATAAATATATATATAGAATGCAATAAAAGAAATGACGTTTTTTCACAACTTACAACCAATAACTCTAAGACATTCATTATAGCTGGTAATACTGTATACAGAATTCTACAGATGGTACATTGTACCAGTATAAACTTCAGTGGCAACCAGAGTAATAATAGTTAACAATAAGCTAAAGTAAAATAACCTAATAAAATAGGTGATATTAATGTTAACTCTGGTCAATCAGACAACCCTTAAGACTCAAGTTTCCTAATTAACATGTACTCTTGCCTTCTAAACACTTGATTATGAAATCCACCAGATTCACACACATCCATGACATCATTAGACCAAGTGTTAACCAATATACTGCCAGTAGTCCAACAAAAGGCTAGTATAACCACCGAAAAGTTGGCCGATACCTCTTCCAAACACTTCAATAAGCAATTTTGTAATGTCAATGAAATACAGTAACTGGAAAAAGAGAGTATCATACCAACTTGCAAACAACTTTTTAAAACAAAATTCAAAGCCTCTACAATTCCCGCTCATCTAAACACTGAACAAATCACAACAATAAGATCAAACAATTATGACTAACTGAAAGAATACTCAGATCCATCAGTAAGAAACAAGACTATGAAAAGAAGTACAGACTAGGCTAAATCTCCAAATGGGTGCCAAGTAGCTCAGTGAAGAGATCATCTTACAACTGAAAAAGTCCCAGGTTAAACCTCAGATTGGCAAAATGTATGGGCAATTGTGTGTTACAGTATTTTAAGGTGACCCAAAATATATACACACAGAGAACAAAAAACCACAATACTGTGATTAGAACAATACTCAAATAACCTGCACATAGGAGAATGCAATCTATGATGACATTTCAGTCTGACTTCGACCATTAACTAGTTAATGGACTATTAACTAGTTATAAACGGTCCAAGTCAGACCGAAATGTTGTCATAGGTTTCTTTTTCCTATATGCAGGTTATTTGAGTATATACACATATTACATTTTTACAATTTTTTTTTTTTTGCTATAACAGTAGTATTGCAAAATTTACAGACCTTTGATGCAATTAAACCAAAACTTTTTTGCAAAAGTAAAGAAGCTGGGAGAAGTGAAAGGCCTGATTTTGATGATACTGGTGTTGCAAGTGTGTCTAACTTCCTCTTGACAGATGACGAGCAAGGGGAAGAAAGCACAGTTTTCACGAAAGACTCTTGCGTGTTGTAGTTTCTGAAACATTCCACTGAGGATGCTTCATGTGTTGCAAGCTTGGTGGGAGAATCTGTTAAAACTTTGGAACACATCCTGAAAATGGGAATACCCTTTATTATACAGTTTATGACAAAAAAAAATGAATGATGTACAGCACTGTACATACTTTACATAATATTATAATACATTAATAAAATACAGTAAACCCTCTTTATAAGACTCTGGAAATATAGAACAAAATCCCCTATGTCAATCAATTTGGAAACAATGGACAAAGTCTGCTGGTTACAAAATTGTCCATTATTGTCACAATCATGGTCCACAACAACTGCCATTACCAGCCCACCCTCCGCTAATTAGTCTGCTATATGGAGGATTTACTACAGTGTGATGTGAAACCAAAATGTCAAAATATCTGTGAATAATGTTTTTCATTTAGTAAAATTCTCAGTAAGCTAAGATTTTGTTCGGATTTTTAACCCTGGAGGGTTAGCCACCCAGGATAACCCAAGTCACTGCGTCATCGAGGACTGTCTAACTTATTTCCATTGGGGTCCTCAAGCTTGTCCCCCAGAATGCGACCCACACCAGTTGACTAACACCCAGGTACCTATTTGCTGCTAGGTGAACAGGACAGCAGGTGTAAGGAAACGTGTCGAAATGTTTCCATCCGCCAGGAATCAAACCCGGGCCCTCCGTGTGTGAAGCGGGAGCTTTAGCCACCAGGCCACTGGGCTACCCCAGCAATCTAGATAAATTTATACATGAAGACACTTACTTATTTGCTAAGGATTTTGAACTCTCAGTAAATTAATATCTAGCTAGAAAGATATATGATTTAAGATTAAATAAGATTTTCTTGGTTATACTGCACAATACCTGTACCTCATTATGGCAGTTTTATTTTAACTAATCACAAGTATTCTATTTGTCATGGTTACACATATAAAAGAAATCTTGTACTTGAGTTAATGGTGGACATCACCTTGAAAAATGATCTTCACCACAGTATTCCTGTGCCAGGTAAATTAGGCAGCTTACAGCTCAGCAGTAGTGCCTTTGGTCCACAACTGAAGGATCCGAGTTCAATCTCGGGAGGGTGGTGACAATGAAAATTAAAATGAAAATGCTTATTTCCTTGTAAAGCTTACGATGTGTGGTTTACATGTTACAAAATATTAATTACAAAGAAAGCCACTAGCATGCCTAGACATTTCGAACAGACTAATACTAATTCTTACTCTATACTGATATAGTTATGGAGTAGTACATTTTAACGTACATTAGATACATACATAATGGGCAGATCTCCATACAACTATTATCCCTGTTCACCTAGGAGTATATAGAGTGTCAGGCAGCTATTGTAGGTTGCATCTTGGTGGAGTGCTAGTAAACCTTAGTAAGTAGGTTTATGCAGGTATACACAAATCCAGTTACATAGATTATCATACATAGCAACATACGTGTAAAGAAACTAGGATAATCCAAAAAATGTCAGAGTGACTTATTTCCATTAGATACACCCCTCAAGGAAGGTTCCTTGATGTTGGTGAGGGGCTCTTGATTTAGGGAATTGGATCTGTGCTCCAGTTCCCCGAATTAAGCCTGAATGCCTTCCACATCCTCCCCCCAGGCGCTGTATAATCCTCCGGGTTTAGCGCTTCCTCCTTGATTATAATAATAATAATAATCCATTATACAGAGATGGACCCCTATGGAAATAAGTCAGTTCTGTCTGACTTTTTGGGTTATCCTAGGTAATCTACACATATCCTGCTATGTATAATAATTTATGTAACTATTTATGTGTATACGTACCGGAATAAACTTAATTGTGATAATTGGTATAAAAGGTATTTATGTACATGTACCTTGATAAACTCTGCCACAGTAAGATGTCACATTAGTTGCACATGTGTCATTTTACCAATTTTGTGGGTAATTCTAGCATTATAAAGTGCTGGACATACCTAGTGGTTATGTGTGCCCGCCAAATCTGCCCAATTCCCGCCAAACAGCCGGTGGCAGAGTGCCACCACCTGGCACAACACTGCCACCATGTTTACAGCCTGGTGCCGCCTGCCATCACTGTGACACTCAGGTTCATCCTTGCCAACCAACACAACCTGTGTTGCATCACTGCCAGTGTGTGTTGCGCCAGTGCTAGGTAGTGTGGGCTGTATAGTCCTTGTGGCTTAGCGCTTCTTTTTTGATTATAATAATATAATAGGTAGTGTGGGTGATGTTGCTACTTGGCAACCTCATGCAATGTTTTGATATTGTGTTGTTATGGTTGTTAAAGGCGATTCGAACTCACGCCTGTTTCCTGGGAGTCTGACTAAATAATAAAAATAATAATAATAATAATAATAATAATAATATATAATAATAATAATAATAATAAAATAATAAAATAATAATAATAATAATAATAATAATAATAATAATAATAATAATAATATCTTTATTTACTACAAGTACATGTACAAGATATACAGACCATAGCTGACATGTGACATACTACTGTATAGAAAGCCGCTTGTTATGCTAGGTTCTCTACACATATTCAAATTCAAATTCAAATTCAAAGTTTATTCTCTATAAAGATTACAATGTTGAATTTACAGAATTTGGTTATTGTGTGGTTTACATGTAGTTAAATAATGATTACAGAGTGTACCACTAGAACGCCTAGCATGGCTCGGCATTTCGGGCAGACTTAGTTTAATTCTTTATTTTAAAATATTACAAATTATGAGGTAAGTTGGTATTATGGCTAAGTGACTAAATACTAGTTTGTGAGTTTAGCAATGTGAATGCTTTTGTTTTGGCACAGTACATAGTTTCAGTATTGGAGTATCATAGGATTCATTATTTTAAGATTGAGATTAATATTTCTGTTTATGGTCAAATGGGTGAGTGAGTGTAAGTGTGAACCACCAGGTGGTATTCGTGTAGTTAGTTGATGGGGTTTATCAGGGAGATAAGATGTTTTCTAATGGTAGTTTTGAAGGTGATGAATGTGTCTGCAGTTCTAGAGTTCTCAGGTAGGGTGTTCCAGATTTTAGGGCCTTTGACATACATTGAATTTTTGTAAAGGTTTAGTCGGACATGGGGAATGTCGTAGAGATGTTTGTATCTGGTGTTATGCCTGTGGGTTCTGTCACAACTATCAAGAAAGCGTTTTAGGTCAAGGTTGATATTGGAGTTTAAGGTCCTGTAGATGTAGATTGCACAGTAGTAAGTGTGGATTTACTGAACAGGGAGTAAGTTTAGATCTATGAAGAGTGGGGGGGGTGTGTTGCCAGGGATGGGATTTAGTGATTATTCTTACTGCAGCTTTTTGTTGGGTTATTATTGGCTTTAGGTGTGTTGCTGCAGTTGATCCCCAATCACAAATTGCATAGGTGAGGTATGGATAAATAAGCGAGTGGTATAGTGCGAGAAGGGCATTTTGCGGCACGTAGTATCGTATCTTGGAGAGGATCCCAACTGTTTTGGATACTTTTTTGGTTATGTGTTGGATATGGGTGCTGAAATTCAGGTTGTTGTCAAGGTATAGGCCTAGGAATTTGCCCTCATTATGTCTGGTAATTAGAGTGTTGTCGATCTTAATGTTAATTTGTGCATCTCCTTCCTGCTACCAAACATAATATAGTAGGTTTTTGTCAGTGTTAAGCGTAAGTTTATTGGCTGTCATCCAAGTCGATATTTTGATCAGCTGCCTCGTTAACAATGGTGTTGAGGGTGGCAAGATTAGGGTGAGAGATGACATAAGTCGTGTCGTCAGCAAAGAAATGGGTTTCAGGTGTTGGGATACGTTTGGAAGATCATTGATGTATATGAGAAGAGCAGGGGACCAAGGACACTTCCCTGCGGAACTCCAGTATCAAGTGGCCGTGTTGTTGATGCTGTGTCTTTAATGGTAACATACTGATACTATTAGTAAGGTAAGATTTGAATGAGCAAGCGCATGGCCTCTTATACCGTAATGGTCAAGTTTGTGGAGTAGGATGTCGTGGTCTACTGTGTCAAAAGCTTTTCTTAGGTCAATAAAAATTCCTAGTGGATATTCCTTATTTTCCAATGCTGTGTAAAGCAGATCTAGCATTTTTATGATGCATCATTAGTGCTTTTATTTTTCCTAAATCCAAATTGGCAGGGGTTGAGTATGTTTTGTGCTGTTATAAATGAATATAGTCTCCTGTGCACGAGTTTCTCAAAGATTTTGGATAGCAATGGTAAGTTTGATATTGGCCTATAGTTGTTTAAGTCTGTAGGGTCACCACCTTATGTATTGGTGTAACCCTTGCCATCTTGAGTAGTTTCGGGAAGGTGCTAGTTTCTAGTGACTTGTTAAAAAGTAATGAAATAGCATGCGAAATGATATGGGCCGCTCGCTTGTACAGTAATGGTGGGACATTAGACAGATTCCCTGAGTTGTTTTTAAGTGACTTTATAATCTCGGTGACTTCCGAGGGCTCAGTTGGTGCAAGACAGAAGGAATTTGGGAAATTCCCATCTAGGTAGTCCCCGGCATGGGCATTAGTATGTGGGATTTTATTGGCAAGATTAGATCCTATGGTTGAGAAGAAGTCGTTTATCTTGTTAGCTGTGTCAGTGGGATGTAGTGGTGTTTCATTAGGTTTAGTTAGGACAATATTCTTGTTTTTTTTTCAGTTTGTGGGTCCCTAGAATCTGTGAGAGTGTTTTCCAGGTCTTTTTTATATCTCCTCTAGTGTCTGTGAATCATATGCTGCTATGTATGATAATCTATGTAACTGTATTTGTGTATACCTGAATAAACTTACTTACTTACTTACTGAGCATTTCGGGCAAATTAGGTCAGTTTTGTCCCAGGATGCGACCCACACCAGTCCGCTAACACCCAGGTACCTATGTTACTGATGGGTGAACATAGACAACCTGTGTAAGGAAACACGTCCAATGTTTCCACCCTTGCCGGGAATCGAACCCGGACCCCGTTCAAGTCAGGAGTGGAGCGAAATTTCCACACTCCACCAAGGTGAACGCAGAGGTTCTAAATAAGGTCAAATAACCCCACGCCTAATTACCTGCAGAGTTAGACGCCGCATTGAGTCAACAAACAGGCTTTTCCCAGGCTTAGGAAATCCGCACAGTTGAAAAAAACACTAGATATGTACCCCAACATCAGTTACAGCAATAACATAAGCAGCAGCATCAACAGCTGCAGTAACAACAGCATCAACAGCTGCAGCAATAGCAGCATCAACAGCTGCAGCAACAGCAGCATCAACAGCTGTAGCAACAGCAGCATCAACAGCTGCAGCAACAGCAGCATCAACAGCTGCAGCAACAGCAGCATCAACAGCAGCATCAACAGCTGCAGCAATAGCAGCATCAACAGCTGCAGCAATAGCAGCATCAACAGCTGCAGCAGCAGCAGCATCAATAGCTGCAGCAACAGCAGCATCAACAGCTGCAGCAACAGCAGCATCAACAGATGCAGCAATAGCAGCATCAACAGCTGCAGCAACAGCAGCATCAACAGCTGCAGCAATAGCAACATCAACAGCTGCAGCAACAGCAGCATCAAGAGCTGCAGCAATAGCAGCATCAACAGCTGCAGCAACAGCAGCATCAACAGCTGTAGCAACAGCAGCATCAACAGCTGCAGCAACAGCAGCATCAACAGCTGCAGCAACAGCAGCATCAACAGCTGCAGCAACAGCAGCATCAACAACAGCTGCAGCAACAGCAGCATCAACAGCTGCAGCAACAACATCAACAGCTGCAGCAATAACATCAACAGCTGCAGCAACAGCAGCATCAACAGCTGCAGCAACAGCAGCATCAACAGCTGCAGCAACAGCAGCAACAGCTGCAGCAACAGCAGCAGCAACAGCTGCAGCAACAGCAGCATCAACAGCTGCAGCAATAACAGCATCAACAGCTGTAGCAACAGCAGCATCAACAGCTGCAGCAGCAGCAGCATCAACAGCTGTAGCAACAGCAGCATCAACAGCTGCAGCAACAGCAGCATCAACAACTGCAGCAACAGCAGCATCAACAGCTGCAGCAACAGCAGCATCAACAGCTGCAGCAACAGTGGCATCAACAGCTGCAGCAACAGCAGCATCAACAGCTGCAGCAACAGCAGCATCAACAACAGCTGCAGCAACAGCAGCATCAACAGCTGCAGCAGCAGCATCAACAACAGCTGCAGCAACAACAGCATCAACAGCTGCAGCAACAGCAGCATCAACAGCTGCAGCAACGGCAGCATCAACAGCTGCAGCAACAGCATCAACAACAGCTGCAGCAACAGCATCATCAACAACAGCTGCAGCAGCTGCCAACTTCGTTCCCAGGATAAGAAGCATATACATTAAGGAGGAACAGATTGGATGACTTAAAAGGGATTGTTCCGTGGAATTGGAGCTACCCTCCTACCTTCCTCGGATCAAACCTGATTACCTCCCATTCCCAGCCACTTATAACCTAAATGTTTTTAATACTAGCATATGTATATCACAAGTGTAGCTGCTATGTACATCACAAGCTGCAATATACTATATACATGTATATATATATATATATATATATATATATATATATATATATATATATATATATATAATATATATATATATATATATATATATTTATTTATATATTACTTATTTAAAAATCACAAACATGAATATATCGGTACAATATATCAAAGATTATAAGGACCCCACTGGAAATAAGTCACTCTGTCTGACTTTTTTGGGTTATCCTAGGTTCTTTACATATATGCTGCTATGTATGATAATCTATGTACCTGTATTTGTGTATACTTGAATAAACTTACTACTTACTTACTAATTCCACTCTGGATGGCCACGCTGAGGCGCTGGAACATGAAAGTGACTGCCTTTGGGTCCCGTGTGGTGTCAGTGAGTCTGGAATCCAGTTCTTTGAGGAAAGGTGTGGCATTCTTTCCCCATGATCCGAAGGTTTCTGATCCCGCTGAGACAGATTGATACTGATAGCTTATGTCTTTGTACTCTGTGTGAATTGGGGCAACGAGGCAGAGAGCCATTGCAATATGAAGGGTCTGTGGGCCGAGGTGTTCTCAATCTTCTCATTGCCCAAATACGAACTGTTTGGAGGAAGTCCCCAGAGTGATTCGCGCTCACAGCTTGGAGACGGGCAGTCTTCCTGTTGAATGTTTCAGCCCTGAGCATGTTGGCAAACCCCTTTTCAGCGATGGGGGCATCCCAACATGACTGTTGGTAGTCCAGTGCTGCACTATGTTTTGGTGCTGGAGCAGCGAGTCTCTCCCATACGCTCACTTAAAATTTTATGGAATCTTCCTCTTGCCGTCACTCCTTCAGAGTGATCACTCGATGCTGGTGAAGGGCTCTTGAACCAAGGAATTGGATTATTATAAAGGAGAAGCGCTAAACCCGTAGGATTATGCAGCACCTGAAGGGAGGATGTGGAAGGTATTCAGGCTTAATTCAGGGAATTGAAGCACAGATCCAATTCCCTAAATCAAGAGCCCCTCACCAGCGTCAAGGAACCTTCCTTGAGGGGCCAAGGAATAGGAGCTATGCTCCCATTCCTGCGATCGGTGCTGATTGCCTTCCATTCCCCAGGTAATGTATGACCCACACAGGTTCAGCGCTTCCCAATGAATATAATGTGTTACGTGCAGACACCATCCTACAGCTGCAACTAAATGAGGTAATAATAATAATTAGTAATAATAATTTATAAAATGCATATAAAAACTCATTTTGTTTTTATACTTTTAATTCAGGGCTTTTTTATATACACTTTCATATAAACTTATATATACACGTACATAAATATATACACAAGGATAGGCTGGTCGAGAAGCAGGAAACAGGTAATCATAGCTACAGTAGAAAGTTAAAGTCAGAGATGAGCCACAGGGATGTCAGGAAGTATTTCTTCAGTCTCAGGTTGGTCGGGAAGTGGAATGACATCGCAAGGAAGGGAAATGGTGGAGGCAGGCTCCATATATAGTTTTAAGAGTAGGTACAATAAGTCCCACGAGGCTAGGAGTGAATCTGGCTAGTTGAAAGGGACGGGGCCCAAGAGCTATGACTAGGCCCTTGCACCCACATACAGGTATTTCCATATTCTTGTGATTCTTCCCTGCCTCAGCCTACTTGAGTAGCCTGTCTCTTACACGCAATTAGCCTCATATATCTAAAAATATATATATCTAAAAATACTTTCAGCATATTCTTGTACTTCCCACGTTTACAGAGAAGAAAAAATATATAACAATACCTTGAAGATTCTTTTTTAGTAGTAATCAATAACAAAATACTATATTTCACCTCTACATCACCAGCCACACATTTATCCCTAAAACAGGGGTTAAAGTAATTTTTCATTTTACACACTTAGAGATGTACACCTTTTGGTGTATATGCGCCAAGATTCATGCCTCTTGGAGCATATACAGATATATACATCATACAATACCGACAAGTTGATGAATTAGAAATATGGAAAAGCGTCTACAAAATCAAGTTACCCACCCAGATGTTACACCTCTCGTCATACACAAATACACATTTAATGTACACTACAGTGTGTCTTCTATACAAATCTAGAAAGACACTGTATTATATATATATATATGTCGTGCCGAATAGGCAGAACTTGCGATCTTGGCTTAAATAGCAACGTTCATCTTGCCATATAGGACGAGCGAAAATTTGTGTATGCAATAATTTCGCCAAAATCATTCTGAACCTAACGAAAAAAATATATTTCACTGTGTTTGTTTAGTATTAAATTATTGTAAACAAATCTAAAATATATTTAGTTAGGTTAGGCTAAAATAAATTGTTCTTGTTATAATAAGGTTAGGTAAGTTTTCTAAGATTCTTTTGGTGCAAAATTAAATTTTTTTACATTAACATTAATGAAAAAAATATATCTTTAAACGTATAAGAGAAAATTTTAGAAAGTACTTAATTTTAAATGAGTTCTTGCTAATTGACCAGTTTTACATATTCGGCACGACATATATATATATATATATATATATATATATATATATATATATATATATATATATATATATATATATATATATATATATATATATATATATATATATATATGCAATAAGATCACAGTAAACAGGTGATTTCAGAATATGCAAAACAACCACTCTGAAAGAATAGAGAAATTCCAAGCGCTTTCGTGACTACTCACATTATCAAGGAACTATGAAAGTAAAGCATCCAAGGAAGGTATATAAGGGGTCTGGCCAACACCTCACTATCAGATCCCACAACGGTTAAACACCTGACGCACGCCGGCCCAACTGGACAGGTCCTTTGCACAACTCACTAACAAACTATTCTACCCAAGAAAATTTTTAAAATTATTGCTGTATAGCCCTTGTGGCTTAGCGCTTCTTTTTGATTATAATAATAATAATTTAAAATTATTATTTGTCCAGTGTATTATTATCAGATTCATTTGTAATTAATATAATTTGGGAAGAATTTAATAATACACTGGACAAATAATAATTTAAAAAATTTTCTTGGGTAGAATAGTTTGTTGGTGAGTTGTGCAAAGGACCTGTCCAGTTGGGCCGGCGTGCGTCAGGTGTTTAACTGTTGTGGGATCTGATAGTGAGGTGTTGGCCAGACCCCTTATATACCTTCCTTGGATGCTTTACTTTCATAGTTCCTTGATAATGTGAGTAGTCACGAAAGCGCTTGGAATTTCTCTATTCTTTCAGAGTGGTTGTTTTGCATATATATATATATATATATATATATATATATATATATATAATATATATATATATATATATATATATATATATATATATATATATATATATATATATATATTTACATATATATTTGCATAATGTACCTTGGCTCTCACCACAAGACAACCTGACCCTTCAAGAAGACAGGATGAGATGTCATGCTGGTGAACAGCTCTTGATCCAAGGAACAGGAGCTACTCTCGCTGTACTTGTATCAAATATGATTATTATTATTGCTATTATTGCTGCTGCTGCTGCTGCTCAATAATTATAATATGTTATCCCAACACATCTACATTGACTTAAGATTATAATACTCTTCGATCTCCTCCAGGGTCTTTCCTTTGGTCTCCGGCACGACCCAGGCGACCAGCAGCATCAACAGGAAGGAGGAGACAGCGTAGCTCCAGAAGAGGACAGCCAAGCCCAGGACAGCCTGTAGGCCTAAGAAGGAGTACATGACCACTAATCCAGCCGTGAAGAATACGACCTTTGATGTGGCTGACCCCACCGACCTGCCGGGTCATGAGATGTTATTAGGTAAAGTTAGACTGGTCAGGAAAGATCAGAAATGCCTCCTGACGCAGGTGCTAGTCATATGATCAGCCGCCACTAGAGCTTCTGGTCATCTGACCGAGGCCTTTCGTTGTCTTACCAGCTCGCCCCCCTCCCCCTCCCCTCTAAAAATTAAAGACATCCTGGATGTGATGATCATGGTTTGCCTTGATGCTGGTAGAGGATTCTTGAGTAATTACAGATGCCAACCTTTCATTAGATCAGTACTAATTACCTTCCACCCCCACCCATTACCCAGTCACTGATTGACCCGAAATGCCTTGCATAATAAGGGGACTCTATAGTTCATACATGTCAATTACCCTAATTATATAATATACTGTACCCTACTTAATAAAAATAAAATTTATTCGTTTACGAACTGAGAGCTTTCTCACGAATATAATGTATTTTCCGGCATATAAGGCGCACGAGAGGTATCATAACGTTAAATTAGTAATCATATTTAGTGGCTAATGACCCTGATACTTTATGGTCAAGCGTAGCCCAAAGCCTACCCTTGACCTTGACCATACAAGGCGCAGGCTGAATTTTCCAAGACTTTTTGTGAGAAAAATGGTGCGCCTTATATGCCGGAAAATAAGTTAATAATTCACTCTGTATTTCGTTTATAACCGCCTGTCCATCAGCCATTTATATGTACATTTTAGTGTTTTGCTCATGATTCTAATACCTATCTCACGTTATATAGTTTTTAGAAGGAAAAGAATGCTGAATAGATTCTTTTTGTATTGGATAACAGATAATTTCAATCCTTCAAATTGATTCATGGAAGGAAAACTTAATGCAGACTGCATGACAACCTTCCTTGCAGATGACAATGAACAATGAATCATTTTGGTGAGCTAAACGAGCACTTAATTACAAAGCCTAAAGAAGAGTCATGCTTGATGGATTAATAAGGATGGCAGTCAAAGTATTTATAGTGGATCAGGAAAAGTGCTCAGACAAAATGTATTGAAAGTCCGGTTGGAATGAGAATCATGCTAGCGCACTCAGCTCGCACACTGAGGTTCGTGGTTCAATCCCCGGTACGGGTGGATGATTACGACGTATTTCCTTAAAACACCAACTGTCCGTTACTACCTATCAGTAAAATAGGTACCTGGGTGTTAGTAGACTGGTATGAGTTGCATCCTGGGACAAAACTGACCTAATTTGCCCGAAATGCTCAGCATAACAAGTGGCTTTCTATATAGTAGTATGTCATTGATGTCAACTATAATCTGTATACCTTGTACATGTACTTGTAGAAATAGATTATTATTATTACTATTATTATTATTAACTAACTTATGGGGCCCCAGGGTAAACAACTTGTGGGGCCCCAGGGTAAACAACTTGTGGGCCCCAGGGTAAACTTGTGAGGTCCCAGGGTAAACAACCCGTGGGGGCCCCAGGGTAAACAACGTGTGGGCCCCAGGGTAAACAACTTGTGGGGTCCCAGGGTAAACAACTTGTGGGGTCCCAGGGTAAACAACCCGTGGGGTCCCAGGGTAAAGAACCCGTGGGTCCCAGGGTAAACAACTTGTGGGGTCCCAGGGTAAACAACTTGTGGGTCACAAGGGTAAACAACTTGTGGGGTCCCAGGGTAAACAACTTGTGGGGTCCCAGGGTAAACAACCCGTGGGGAGCCCCAGGGTAAACAACTTGTGGGGTCCCAGGGTAAACAACTTGTGAGGTCCCAGGGTAAACAACTTGTGGGGTCCCAGGGTAAACAATCTGTGGGGATCCCAGGGTAAACAACTTGTGAGGTCCCAGGGTAAACAACTTGTGAGGTCCCAGGATAAACAACTTGTGGGGTACCAGGGTAAACAATCCGTGGGGGTCCCAGGGTAAACAACTTGTGAGGTCCCAGGGTAAACAACCCGTGGGGGCCCCAGGGTAAACAAACCGTGGGGACCCCAGGGTAAACAACTTGTGGGGCCCCAGGGTAAACAACGTGTGGGGCCCCAGGGTAAACAACCCGTGGGGCCCCAGGGTAAATAACTCGTGTGGTTCCAAGGCAAACCCGTGGGGGGCCCCAGGGTAAACAACTTGTGGGACGTAAAAGGACACAAGTGGAACTAACGTGACATTTATTGTGGCAACGTTTCGCTCTCCAGGAGCTTTATCAAGCCATTACAAACAATACATGGACACAGAGGGTATATAAAGGCTCAGAGTGAGGTGCAATACTAGTGAGTTACCATTTCGATGTTCACTAGTGGTAGTAGTAGTAGTAGTAGTAGTGGTAGTGACAAAAGTAATACAATATGGTAGAGCAATTAATTCGTACATGAGTAAAAGGATATAAAAGCTATTACTTGGGTAACATAAAAATAGGTTGGACAAATAGAGATTGGAAAGAGGCAGCTTGTTTTAGTGTTCACTCTCTGTAATGTGCTTTGTGTAGTATAACAGGAGAGACTATGTAATGGCAGGGTTTACTGTTTTCAGGAGGATTCTTGCTAAGACTTCGGAGATGGTGAAGCTGCCGTTGTTTTGTTTAATTGTATTCGAAACAGCGATCAGTGCTGATTCGAGGCACTTGCGTCTGCGGAAATTAGTTTCTTTGATCACTAATTGGGCGTCTCTGAATTTCATGAGATGATTGGTGGACTTTCGGTGTTGTACACAGGCGTTGTTCAAGTCATCGTTCCTACATGCGTAAATGTGTTCATTGAGGCGGGTGTCGAGGTTTCTTGCTGTTTCACCTACGTAAATCTTGTCACAGCCTCCACAGGGTATAGTGTAAACTCCTGCATTGACTGGTTCGTGGTGCTTGGATTTTGTCCTGGTTAGATCCTTTATTGAAGTGCTAGAAGCGATGGCGACTCTGGTGTTAGCTTGTGAAAGTACTTTTGAGACGTTCAGTGCAACCTGGCTGTTGGGAAGAATTATAACTTTGTTGGGAGTGGTGTTGATGCGTGGAGAATTAATGATCTGAAGAGCTCTTTTCTTGCAGTCTTTGATGAAAAAAGAAGGAAAATGTAACTCAGTGAATGTTTTGTGAATGTATGTACATTCCTCGTCAAGAAACTCAGGACTACAAATTCGGTATGCTCTTAGGAAAAACCCGATGATGATGCCTCTTTTGGTCTTGGTATCTTGACTGGAATAGAAGTGTGTGAGATCATTTTTATTGGTGGGTTTCCGATAAACTTGAAATCTTAGGTTGTTGTCTACTTTGTGAATGAGGACGTCGAGGAAAGGTAGCTTGTCATTGGACTCTTCTTCTAGTGTAAACTGGATCGCCGGTTCAACTGCGTTGAGCCTTGCCTGAAGATCTCGTACATCAAAACGTTTTGGAGTTATTACGAGGACATCGTCCACGTAACGTAACCAAGTGACGCTTGAAGGAATGATGTTGGCGAAGTGTTCGGACTCTAGGTGTTCCATGTATAAGTTGGCTAGGACGGCACTTATGGGGGACCCCATTCCCATGCCGTAGGTTTGTTTGTAGAGCTTGTTATTGAAAGAAAAACAGTTGAAATTACCAGGAACCATAGACACAGTGACAGCAACTTCCAGAAGGGTTATATACAGGGCCTTCTCACTGCAGCTTTATGTGAACCTTCTTCTTCTAATCTTCCTAGACGATACATCACTGCCCTTAAGAACCTCGCCAACGACCCCAACATTATCGTCACCACCGCCGACAAAGGAGGTGGAGTCGTCATACTCAACACCAGTGACTACAACACTAAAATGATGGACCTTTTGAATGATCAATCTACATACGAACCCATCAGCACTCAACAGTGGGAGACGCTCACCAAAGATTTTCTATACAAAACTAGACAAATACTCAAACGCACTAGAGAAGGGAAGAAACTTCTGTACTTGTTACCAAGCAACCCTAAACCAGCACACATGTATGGTTTACCCAAGACCCATAAACACAATATTCCTCTCAGACCAATCACGTCAGGAATAGGCAGTGCTCCACACAAACTAGCCGGAGTTCTTGCCAAACATCTTTCCTGCCTTCTGGGGACCATCAGCCCCGCTCATCTTAAACACTCAGGCGACCTTCTCAACCGCATCCGTAACCTCTCCATCCGTAACAAGAAACTAAGCAGTTTGGATGTGACTTCCCTCTTCACAAAAGTACCTACCAAAAAGCCATCGAGGTTCTACGACGTAAAGTCAATCAGGACCTTAATCTTCCTCTACCTCCCGGAGATTTTGTTGACTTGATTGAACTCTGTGTTAATTTCAACTGTTTTTCTTTCAATAACAAGCTCTACAAACAAACCTACGGCATGGGAATGGGGTCCCCCATAAGTGCCGTCCTAGCCAACTTATACATGGAACACCTAGAGTCCGAACACTTCGCCAACATCATTCCTTCAAGCGTCACTTGGTTACGTTACGTGGACGATGTCCTCGTAATAACTCCAAAACGTTTTGATGTACGAGATCTTCAGGCAAGGCTCAACGCAGTTGAACCGGTGATCCAGTTTACATTAGAAGAAGAGTCCAATGACAAGCTACCTTTCCTCGACGTCCTCATTCACAAAGTAGACAACAACCTAAGATTTCAAGTTTATCGGAAACCCACCAATAAAAATGATCTCACACACTTCTATTCCAGTCAAGATACCAAGACCAAAAGAGGCATCATCATCGGGTTTTTCCTAAGAGCATACCGAATTTGTAGTCCTGAGTTTCTTGACGAGGAATGTACATACATTCACAAAACATTCACTGAGTTACATTTTCCTTCTTTTTTCATCAAAGACTGCAAGAAAAGAGCTCTTCAGATCATTAATTCTCCACGCATCAACACCACTCCCAACAAAGTTATAATTCTTCCCAACAGCCAGGTTGCACTGAACGTCTCAAAAGTACTTTCACAAGCTAACACCAGAGTCGCCATCGCTTCTAGCACTTCAATAAAGGATCTAACCAGGACAAAATCCAAGCACCACGAACCAGTCAATGCAGGAGTTTACACTATACCCTGTGGAGGCTGTGACAAGATTTACGTAGGTGAAACAGCAAGAAACCTCGACACCCGCCTCAATGAACACATTTACGCATGTAGGAGCGATAACTTGAACAACGCCTGTGTACAACACCGAAATTCCACCAATCATCTCATGAAATTCAGAGACGCCCAATTAGTGATCAAAGAAACTAATTTCCGCAGACGCAAGTGCCTCGAATCAGCACTGATCGCTGTTTCGAATACAATTAAACAAAACAACGGCAGCTTCACCATCTCCGAAGTCTTAGCAAGAATCCTCCTGAAAACAGTAAACCCTGCCATCACATAGTCTCTCCTGTTATACTACACAAAGCACATTACAGAGAGTGAACACTAAAACAAGCTGCCTCTTTCCAATCTCTATTTGTCCAACCTATTTTTATGTTACCCAAGTAATAGCTTTTATATCCTTTTACTCATGTACGAATTAAATGCTCTATCATATTGTATTACTTTTGTCACTACCACTACTACTACTACTACCACTAGTGAACATCGAAATGGTACCTCACTAGTATTGCACCTCACTCTGAGCCTTTATATACCCTCTGTGTCCATGTATTGTTTGTAATGGCTTGATAAAGCTCCTGGAGAGCGAAACGTTGCCACAATAAATGTCACGTTAGTTGCACTTGTGTCCTTTTACTTTACATATTGTCGGTAATTCTACCAACTTTATTACAACTTGTGGGACCCCAGGGTAAACAACGCGTGGGGCCCCCAGGGTAAACAACTTGAGCCCCAGGGTAAACAACTTGTGGGGCCCCAGGGTAAACAACCCGTGGGGGCCCCAGGGTAAACAACCCGTGGGGGCCCCAGGGTAAACAACTTGTGGGGCCCCAGGGTAAACCCGTGGGGGCCCCAGGGTAAACAACCCGTGGGGCCCCAGGGTAAACAACCCGTGGGGCCCCCAGGGTAAACCCGTGGGGGCCCCAGGGTAAACAACTTGTGGGGCCCCAGGGTAAACAACCCGTGGAGCCCCAGGGTAAACAACTTGTGGGGCCCCAGGGTAAACAACTTGTGGGGCCCCCAGGGTAAACAACCCGTGGGGGCCCCAGGGTAAACAACTTGTGGGGCACCAGGGTAAACAACTTGTGGGGCCCCAGGGTAAACAACTTGTGGGCCCCCAGGGTAAACTTGTGGGGCCCCCAGGGTAAACAACCCGTGGGGGCCCCAGGGTAAACAACTTGTGGGGCACCAGAGTAAACAACTTGTGGGGCCTCAAGGTAAACAACTTGCGGGGTCCCAGGGTAAACAACCCGTGGGGCCCCAGGGTAAACAACCCGTGGGGCCCCTAGGGTAAACAACTTGTGGAGCCCCAGGGTAAACAACTTGTGGGGCCCCAGGGTAAACAACTTGTGGGGCCCCAGGGTAAACAACCCGTGGGGGGCTCCTGCCACTAAAACTTTATGGACGAATCACATACTGGTGTTACTATATAACTTTGATATGAAATTATTTGAGAATCAGAACAAAACGTTCCTTCACAAAACTGAATGTAATTTACTAGACCCGTTGTCCAGAACTCTTTGTTGGTGGCCCCTTTGTGTTGATGGCCCCTTTGTGTTGGTGGCCCCTTTGTGTTGGTGGCCCCTTTGTGTTGGTGATCCCTTTGTGTTGATGGCTCCTTTGTGTTGATGGCCCCTTTTGTGTTGATGGCCCCTTTTGTGTTGATGGCCCCTTTTGTGTTGATGGCCCCTTTTATATTGGTGACACCTTTTTTTTATTGCGTGGTCACAGATATCTGTGGATCACTTCTCAAGTGTATATCCCAGTAAAACGATACAAAATCTGATTGACTGTATTGGTGGCTTCACGGTAAGCGCCCTTATTGCCCCCTCCCCTCCATTTTAATAAATTTGTAATTAAATAGCGACATTAGCAGCTATATCTGTGGAAAATTCAAGACAAGATAATAATAGGGGTGCTGTGAATATATATAATAATGAAGTAAGGATACCTTCAGTAAATAACATACTAAAAGCACTGATTTAGATTCTATGTTAAGAGTGATTAGCACCGGGTTTATATAGTGCTGAGGGTTAGGTGTGGTAAGCGGCAGAATATATGGGGTAGACATATCTGGTCATACGTCACTACCTCCGCTACTATATAAACTCACTGACTCGATGCAAAAGTCTCATTTTTCACTGACTCTTATTCTCTGTACCTGACTGAAGAAGCCACTGTTGGGCGAAACGTTTCCTCAACAAATACCTCAATACTCGAATACGTGTCTTTCTCAGATCTAGACTCTAGTATGGCCCACCTGAAGGTAATAGGTAGGAGCTCGCTGGAGAGGAGGAAGGGTATAGGGCTAACGGTAGCACCCACGATGACAGTGTAGATGACGAGACATATCACAGGCATCCAGTTGATGGATAAGGCGCTGATGGGGTCGGTGACCTTCACCTGGAAGTAGGAACCCAGGACCAGGAGAGATAGAGTCACGCCCACGGCACCCACTATGAGAGAGGGGCGGCGACCTGCTCGCTCCACTACCACAGGGCTCACACATGTCCCAAGCAAACGCGCTATGCCTATCATCACTGCAGAGATGTAAGGGCTGAGTCCTGTATTAGCCTCTTGGAAGATAGTCACAGCGTAACTATAAACAACGAACGGCCCAGCCATCTGTCCTAAAATGTACACGCCACAGGTGGTTAGGAAAGGAGTGCGTGTTGCCGAGCATTTCAGCGTTGAGAATTGCTCCCAAATACTCAACTCTTTGACGTCGCTGCACACTTGCATAATCATCTCGAGTTCCTGAGTAACGTTGCAGTTGGGGCCTCGGAAGAACTGGAGAGCTCTGTGAGCGTCCTCTTTGCGTCCCCTTAAGGCTAGGTAACGAGGAGAATCCGGGAAGAGGGCCATTCCTACGACGAGTGGTACTGTGGTGATCACACCTAAGATGAAAGCTGACCAGCGCCACCCAACATCCAAGGCGCCCAAGGCGTAGGCGAGGAGAATGCCCAGACTCACGTAGATATCGGTTACACAGGTGAGGGAACCTCGCACACTCTTGTGGGACGTCTCTACTATGTATACCTGTACGCTCGTCCCCAAGATTCCGATACATACACCTAACACTATCCTGTGGACGAAGATAACAGTATTATTATCGTATTCACAATAAAAGGCAACTGAAGTCATCAGTCCCATTACCAAAAGTGAATCGTCATATGATTATACAGGTGCCAGGTATTTACATATACATACATGGTCTGGTGGTTAACGCTCTCGCTTCACACGGCGAGGGCCTGGGTTCGATTCCCAGCCAGAGTAGAAACATTGGGCGTGTTTCTTTCCACCTGTTGTCTATGTTCCCCATCAGTAAAATGGGTGCCTGGGTGTTAGTCGACTGGTGTGGGTCGCATCCTGGGACACTGACCTAATTTGCCCGACATGCGGAGCATAACAAGGGGCTTTCTATGTAGTAGTATGTCATTGTTGTCAACTAGGACTGTATAACATGTACTTGTAGTAAATAAAGATATTATTATTATTCTCTACTGGCTTTATAATCCAATGTATGGGCGAAACGCTGTCGTTAATACAGATATCCACTGCAATTAAGTGTCATTTACCCAATATTTTTTCTTTAATAGGGTGCCCCTACCTCATCCTTACATACCTGTAATTGTGCTCTTTTGTGTAATTACCTGGTGACCAGCAGGAGGTAGACTGAAAAAGCTGCCCAGGTAGCGAGCCAGGTGACTAAGACGACAGGGGTAGTAATTAATACAGCTCGACGCTGTCCCACACTAGCCATGAGTGAGCCACACACCAGCGACCCCAGCAATGCCCCCAATGCGTGTAGAGATGCTGTACGCCCATAAAAATCAGGTTAAAGACAGATATAATTCATAGACTAGAAATGAAAACTAGAGGACGTTTCTTTCAGTTTTGGACCATTATCAGGAAGAACTGAAACATTGCTCATTTTCATTTCCAGTTTGTGGATCATCCGTGAACAGTTCCAGTCACAATATTGTGACTTATTATCCCACTTACACTAATAAAATATGCTTTATAATAATATCACTCAGAATTGGTAATATAGTTTTAAATCAAATCACACAGGCATATTTTTCACTACAAGATCATTAGAGGCTGTAGAAGACAAATAATGCACTAACCGAACCATACAGCATATTTCGGCTGCAGGTATATGGAAGGGAAGGGGGTGTATAAAGTAGGTATGGCTGTGGAAGGACACAGATCTTCATAGTCTGGTGTTGTCGTATCCTCTTCTGTTGACGGCAGCTCTCTGAATCTGTCTGCGAAGTTCGCTGACGACTCAGTTCCAGTTGCTGCCCAACTTATTTCCGTAATGAACATATCTGGAGTCAGTTCACTGGTTATCCAGGAAGGTGATGTTACATTTACTTCGTCTTGGGTGACAAAGGGGGTGCAATTTCGATAAGTGGTGAGGGGCGGTAGGGCGATGGCAGGGTAGGCAAGGACAGTGCCTAAGATGAGATGTCCCAGAGAGGCCACCAAGCACACCAGCACCTGAGGCAACGTATAGAAGTATTCTAGCAAGATGTGCGTGCTTGTATCCACACAATTTTTTTTTTTTTGCCTAAGATATGACCTACAGTAGGACTGGCGCTCACAGGGTGAGCATCGACGGCACAACAAAGTGAAAAAAAAATATAAGGTTAGAGTGTGTAACAGTATAACAAAAATGCATAAAAAATCGCTACTTCTAATTGATGGCAGCCAACTAACAGAGACGAACCCACAGAGTAACAATAAAATAAAATGGATACTGTATATTCGGCACTTGCACTGAGCGGCTTCTTTCACAGTATGACGCCAAAATATACAGAATCCTCTATATTTTCTGTTTTGCTGCCTCCATGTTGGCTCTTTTATGTAATAAACAATTATTATTACAATCAAAACTAAACGCTAAACCCATAAGGGTCATACAGCGCTATGCAATTAAAATTTCTTTTATTTACACTTATATTTCTAATGCAATGACTGACTTTGTTGCTACGGAAATGGAAATATATTTTTATATATAATTGGGACACATGCATAACATTTGCTATCTCTCTGATCAATTTTATATGACATTTTACAATTAAAAAAAAAAGATACCGATGGTTTAATTTCCCTGGATTCTCCTAGGTTATATTTGCATAATGTACTATATAGGTGTCTATAACACTTGTGTACCCTAAGAGCCACTTAAGTTCCTCCATCTTGTAATAACATGTTAATTTTTCCACTATAATCTACCTTGTCCATAATTATTATCACATTTCTTTGTTTCGTAAAGTAAAGTCCAGGATCTTTAATTCATGGTATAAATTAACAAATCTTTGATGACAATTGTGTTGTAGATGTCAGAGCTTCACTGACATCTACTGTGGAAAATTGCATTTATCTGTATGTAACTCATTATGTACATAACAGTAAATAACAAAGATAATTATTATTTATCAATGTTAATAGACAAGTAGGAATTTGGGACACCTAGGTCGCAAAAAATGTCCCCCTTCGATACCTACCACTGTCATATCCACAAGTTGCTCTGGACTTATTAATTAAATGAAATATACATACACCAGGAATACTGGTAAATATATAAATTTGTGGACTGTACATTAAAAATAATAAATGGTTATATATATATACACAATTACATAACAGAAGGAAAATATATCTTAATATCACTCACTAATTTGACTGGAGATTAATGTGTATTATACCCAGAAAACCTCACTGTCTAAATTTATGAAATTACTGGCCAGAATTAAACATAAACAGACTTATCTGAGGTTCCTGGAGCTGTGTTGTCCAGTCGCCTGATACTCAAATTATGCAGGAATGCACATCCAACAATTTCGCCTCCTATTTGAGAGGTGTCAGCCCAATTTTAACCTCTAGAGCACGAAAAATTCTTCCCATTCACTCTAACGTTCTGTTCAATTCAAAACCAAGATGGCGAGTCTCCTGCCCAGACGCAGGCTTTCCGTTTTCTATGACAAATATTATTAAATACAGTATAGGCCATCTATTTACCTATAAATTACCGTATTTCCGGAAAATATATACAGTATTTTCCACATCTACAACACAATTGTCATCAAAGATTTGTTAAGTTATACCATTAGGAAAGATCCTGGACTTCACTTTACGAAACAGAGAAAGAAATGTGATAGTAATTATGGACATGGTAGATTACAGTGGGAAAATGAGCATATTTTTAGAAGACAGGGGCACTTACGTGGCCCTAAAGCCTATTGTAAGAATGAAAGCAAATTTCCTTAAACAAAAAAAAAAAAAAACTTTACTACACATGAATAAAATACGTGTGGAACACCTGGGTATTTTTAATGTAGAAATATTTTGTCGAACAGTGGCTTTGTCAGTTCAATAATAATAATAATAATAATAATAATAATAATAATAATAATAATAATAATAATAATAATAATGGACATAATAGATACTGAAGTGTTGTATATGTGTTATATTTATCTACTTATCGCTTTAGTAAGCAATTAATATTCATCACTTAAGGTTTACACTTTGAGACTCACCTGTGGCCAGACCTTCATGGTTCCTCGGTCACTTGTTATATCTAAATCTGTAGTTGAGGATTGTGGTGAGGGTGAACCCATGGTAGAAGCAGCTTGGTGGTCGGAAGTTGAGACATTTGCAACCTCAATCACTCGTCCACTCAAGTCTTTTACAACCTCTCCTGTTGCCTCATAACTCTGGCACATCCCACCACAGTTCCCAATATCTTTATGGTGGATTTTAGCGAGATCGGAAGCTGAGAGGAGGGAGAGCGAACGACGTTGCTCCGGGAAGTGGCCATCACACTGGGCACTCTCCACACAGATGGTCCTGACGGACGGGGGACGTGGGGAGTGAAGCCTAGGATGAGTATTTGTTAAAATAGGTTTGCAAGATACTTAAATATTAATCGAAAGCCTAGTATTAAATGTTGATATTACGAGAAAAAGATAAGTGTATGGATTAAGAATAAGATTGCCTCTAGGTATATACAAAACAAATTCTGGCCACAAAATAGAGCGAAACGCCAACGTCAAAGACCTGGGAGTGATCATGTCGGAGGATCTCACCTTCAAGGACCATAACATTGTATCAATCGCATCTGCTAGAAAAATGACAGGATGGATAATGAGAACCTTCAAAACTAGGAATGCCAAGCCCATGATGACACTCTTCAGGTCACTTGTTCTATCTAGGCTGGAATATTGCTGCACACTAACAGCACCTTTCAAGGCAGGTGAAATTGCTGACCTAGAAAATGTACAGAGAACCTTCACGGCGCGCATAACGGAGATAAAACATCTCAATTACTGGGAGCGCTTGAGGTTCCTAAACCTGTATTCCCTGGAACGCAGGCGGGAGAGATACATGATTATATACACCTGGAAAATCCTAGAGGGACTAGTACCGAACTTGCACACGAAAATCACTCACTACGAAAGCAAAAGACTTGGCAGACGATGAAACATCCCCCCAATGAAAAGCAGGGGTGTCACTAGCACGTTAAGAGACCATACAATAAGTGTCAGGGGCCCGAGACTGTTCAACTGCCTCCCAGCATACATAGGGGATTACCAACAGACCCCTGGCAGTCTTCAAGCTGGCACTGGACAAGCACCTAAAGTCGGTTCCTGACCAGCCGGGCTGTGGCTCGTACGTTGGTTTGCGTGCAGCCAGCAGTAACAGCCTGGTTGATCAGGCTCTGATCCACCAGGAGGCCTGGTCACAGACCGGGCCGCGGGGGCGTTGACCCCCGGAACTCTCTCCAGGTAAACTCCAGGTAGGGAGCAGTTCGAAGGCAGCTTTGAATTATTCTTATAGCTTGATATAGTACCTGTTTTATTGTAGTTTTACCTAGAATCAAGAGTAGATAATCAGCACAGTCTATAACATTCCTGTTGTATACAATGTACATCATACGTTGTACTGATATTGATGTTCCATTCTCTTGCTTCTCAGTGATTATAGGGACACTGACAACCTACGCCGTATCGAACCATAGTGATGCTCGGCTTCAGTACCATGACAATTAGTTCAATTCAATTCAATTCAAAGTTTATTCTCTATAAGGATTACAATGCTGAGTTTACAGAATTTGGTTATTGTGTGGTTTACATGTAGTAAAATAATAATTACAGAGTGTACCACTAGAACACCTAGCATGGCTAGGCATTTCGGGCAGACTTAGATTAAATCTTAAGTTTAAAATATTACAAAATTATGAGGTAAGTTGGTATTACGGCTAAGTGACTAAATACTAGTTTGTGAGTTTAGCAATGTGAATTCTTTTGTTTTGGCACTATACATAGTTTCAGTATTGGAGTATCACAGGCCAACTTATGACTAGTTAAGATTCATTATTTTGAGATTGAGATTGATATTTCTGTTTATGGTCAAATGGGTGAGTGAGTGTAAGTGTGAACCACCAGGTGGTATTCGTATTATTAGTTGACAGGGTGTATCAGGGAGATAAGATGTTTTCTAATGGTAGTTTTGAAGGTGATGAATGTGTCTGCAGTTCTAGAGTTCTCAGGTAGGGTGTTCCAGATTTTAGGGCCTTTGACATACATTGAATTTTTGTAAAGGTTTAGTCGGACACGGGGAATGTCGTAGAGATGTTTGTGTCTGGTGTTGTGCCTGTGGGTTCTGTCACAACTATCAAGAAAGCGTTTTAGGTCAAGGTTAATATTGGAATTTAAGGTCCTGTAGATGTAGATTGCACAGTAGTAAGTGTGGATGTACTGAACAGGGAGTAAGTTTAGATCTATGAAGAGTGGGGGGGGGGGGGTGTTGCCAGGGATGGGATTTAGTGATTATTCTTACTGCAGCTTTTTGTTGGGTTATTATTGGCTTTAGGTGTGTTGCTGCAGTTGAACCCCAAGCACAGATAGCATAGGTGAGGTATGGATATATAAGTGAATGATATAGTGTGAGAAGGGCAGTTTGCGGCACGTAGTATCGTATCTTGGAGAGGATCCCAACCGTTTTGGATACTTTTTTGGTTATGTGTTGGATATGGGTGCTGAAGTTCAGGTTGTTGTCGAGGTATAGGCCTAGGAATTTGCCCTCATTATGCCTGGTAATTAGAGTGTTGTCGATCTTAATGTTAATTTGCGCATCTCCTGCTCTGCTACCAAACATAATGTAGTAGGTTTTGTCAGCGTTAAGCGTAAGTTTATTGGCTGTCATCCAAGTCGATATTTTGATCAGCTCCTCATTAACAATGGTGTTGAGGGTGGCAAGATTAGGGTGAGAGATGACATAAGTCGTGTCGTCAGCAAAGAGAATGGGGTTCAGGTGTTGAGATACGTTTGGAAGATCATTGATGTATATGAGGAAGAGCAGGGGACCAAGGACACTTCCCTGCGGAACTCCAGTATCAAGTGGCTGTGTTGTTGATGCTGTGTCTTTAATGGTGACATACTGATACCTATTAGTAAGGTAAGATTTGAAATATGCAAGCGCATGGCCTCTTATACCATAATGGTCAAGTTTGTGGAGTAGGATGCCGTGGTCTACTGTGTCAAAAGCTTTTCTTAGTTTTCTTAGGTTTAATGTGTTTATTATGCACCCCATATACCCATCCTGTGGGCGGTAGTCAAAAGATTACAGAGGTACATAATTGATCCAGGGACTGGACTCCAAATTTTTGATAGCTGAGCAAGTTACAGAGGTAATGAACTCACAATTTACAAAGGTAATGAACTCCAGGTAGGTCTGGTCACAATCATGACAAGTTACAAAGGTATTTACAGATTACAGAGATACGTAATGGGTCCAGGGACTGGGCCCCCAAAGTTTTGATAGCTGAACTAGGTACAAAGGTAATGAACTCACAAACACAGGAGACATCGTCAAATCAACAGTACAAAACTCCAAGGTTATAGGACAGTTATCCCTCAGTGCCAGTCGTTGGAAAGAAGTGAATAGTTAAACAGTCAAGGTTAATGTTTTAGTAGCTGACCTATATTCAGCTGACCAGTGTACAGTGAGAGAATTATAGCAGAAAACGCCAAATATATCTATAGACTCAAGGAAAGTCGTTGTAGGTGGCGTTTTACTTCCCTCAGTGTTTTAAAAATGGCTGAGTCAGCAGACCAGGTCAGGAGTCAACAACGCGACACAACCCCGATAAATGGAATTGAGGGGGATTTGGAAGGATAAAACCATTGATTAAACCTTTCTGATCTACCAGAATGGAAAGGAGTTAGAAGTTAATAGGTGAAGCCAGACTGTGAAGTGAGGTGGGAAGGAGAGTGTGTAATAAGGGGTTGACTGAAAGGGGTTTGTGAAGTTAAGGGAAAAGTGAGCAGTGAAGAGTGTTCTGAAGAAGAAAATTTACTAGTAATTCAGTGGTGATTGCTAAAGCAGATACTAAGTGTACTAGGGACTGGAAAAGAGAAATAAATATTATTGTATATGAGTAAAAGAGCGAAGAGTGAAAATGGCAGGCATTAGGGGGGTACAGGCTGCCATAATTATATTGATCTTTCTTCTTCAGTTCCATGAAGAAAGAAATCAGTCATGGGGGCTGGAAAAGGTGAATGGAGTAACAGCGCCCTGGACAGTAAAAGCCCAACAGTTGCCATCCTACCAGAAAAGTAAATGTCACTATCGCTGACCGGGTGTGGAAGTGTGAATTGCTCATTACTCTAAAATTTGTTCATGATTGTAGCCATGTATAAACGTAAGTAACCATTCTTACAGTATTCATTACCTTTGTAACTTGTCATGATTGTGACTAGACCTACCTGGAGTTCATTACCTTTGTAAATTGTGAGTTCATTACCTTTGTAAATTGTGAATTCATTACCTCTGTAACTTGCTCAGTTATCAAAACTTTGAGGCCCAGTCCCTGGACCCATTATGTACCTCTGTAATCTTTTGACTACGGCCCACAGGATGGGTATGGGGTGCATAATAAACATATTAAACTAACTAAACACTATCGCTGCAAGGTATGGCAACACCACATACCCAAACAAAAACAGTGGCACACAGCTCTTATTGTAGCGCTCTTAAGTGGTGATATCCAAATTAATCCAGGACCTCAAACTATTGTGCAGAGGCAAAACAGACAGATAAATGACGGTGATAATGACGGTCTAGTAGCTAGGAATGATAACCTTAACTCCATATGTAATACATACATAGGTCAATGTGAGACAATACAGCCATTATTATCTCAAACACTACCAAACAGGTGCATACACTGTACTAAAGTATGCAGGAAAAACAGAAAAGGCACCTTATGTAAAATGTGTAAGGGGTGGGTGCATGATGGATGTATGTACAATTATAGCAACGGTGCCAGAATTCATTTTGTGTGTAACAAATGCACTTTGGCACAGTTACCCTTTAGCAGTGATGACATTGATTTACCTAATTTTAATACAAATGACCCATTGCCATATATAGATGATTATAATTGTTTTATGAAAACAGGCCTTCACTTTATTAATGTCAACGCAAGATCACTTCCTAAATTGGCAGAGATTAGGATTCTAGCTAACAAAATTAGGGCGGCAGTTATAACCATCTCTGAATCTTGGTTGGATGATACGGTGACTGACGACGAGGTCAAAATAGATGGTTACAATATAAAACGCTTAGATAGGAACAGAAAGGGTGGTGGAGTATGTGCCTACATTAGAAATGACTTAGCTTACAACCCAAGACCTGATTTAAATAACAATAAACTGGAGATTCTATGGTTTGAAGTGCTGCTTCCCAAGACCAAACCCATCTTAGTAGGAACTAGTTACCGCCCTCCTACCCAGGACCAGTTCTTAGAAGACTTTTCCAGAGTCTTGTCCGGACTTGAAAACAATTGCGAGACAATAATACTGGGCGACTTCAAT